GTTTATAGTGATCCCTGAGAAATAGTCCGTTGAAGGGTTTTTAGAACAGAGTAGGAGGATCAGATTGGCTGAACAGGTCAATAGAGCTATTTTGAGTGAGTCGTACTTGTTCAAGACACCATCATTTTCTGTCATATCATCACTCCCCTCAGAAGAAGGACCGAATATGTCAGATGGGCACTGGGACCAGGAAGGGGGGGGGGGGGGGGGAGTTGGGGGTTGTAAGAAAGGGAGGAATGACGAAGTAGAAAGAGAAGGGGGATGAAGATTCGAAACTGACACCAACAGAATCCGTAGGGGCAGAAACACAAAGTATGTTAGAAAAATATTCCAGAAGAACAATAGCTTTATTCTCCATAATGGAAGAAAAAGAAATCGATCATCGTCCTTCATGGACATCGGCAGATGGTAAGAGTAAAGAAGAATTAGCTCAAGTAAGTCATACTTCTCTCGACCTTTTTCTTTCCTTTTTCAAGGTTCTTTCACCTTGCTATCAAAACCCATTCTAATGTTCAAAAACCCTTTCATCGTTCGCACCTTCTTCCAACTCACCGTCTAATCCTCTTTCTTCTCAATTGTCACTTTACGATTTTGTTTAATCTTCCCCTCCACATAATCTTTACTTAATGATTATCAAAAACCTCTCTCACCCTGGTCTTTTACTGATTGTCAAGAAAACCTCTTTCAAACGATAATCATCAACTGACCATCAGTTTCTGAAGAATAGACCTAAAGCTTCTTTCACCTTATCAGAATATATATCTCATACTTTTGCTTGATCCCTCTTCTTTCGATACCTCTAGTTCATGAGTCTATCAGATCGTTTAGGGCGTCGAAACCCTTTTGTCGACATATCTTACTTTCTGTCGATCTTCACCGTAATTCTACCTTCCACTTTGTCCCAACGACCATTGTTACCTCGAACTGACGGAACATAACTTGTTCATGCCTGTCAATTCATGACATCAGATCAAGGAAGGTTGATAAGGTTTTCCAAGCTGTCGATCTGAAACAACAGATAAAGGAAGGTTGATAAGGTTTTTCCAAGCTGTCAGTCAAAGAAAGAAAAGATTATTTTAAGTGATGAGTAATATCAAGAATGTTCAGTGTATAGTGTATAATGTTTTACTTGTAGCCGTGGCATGATGCATTCAAATTCAAGAGCATGAATCTCTATCAAAGTACATTCCATTAAGCATGCAACTTGTAATTATTTCAGATCATTTCGTTCGTGAACTTTCCTTACTCTCTTCTCTTCTTCATACCTTTTCTGCATTACTTTCTTTCTCAAATCAATCTTTGTCGTTCCGTCGTCATTTGGTCACTTCCTTATCTCGCGTTGATCTAATTTGCCTAAGCGCCCTTCCATCTGATCTTGATCCACATCACGATCCTCCTCCCATTTGTGTACTCCGACCAAGCACTCGAACTCTACGACGTATACTCTAGAGTAGGGTCGCTTTACCAAAACCATTTCGTATGTGATCAACGAAATACCATCCGTGTCTATAATCCAATAAATGGACTACCAGGAGACTATCAATCAAATGACACCTCGTCTTATATCAAACGTAAAAGTCTTTCTTCAATACTTTGAGAAAATACAATCTTGATAATCCAAACAAGATAAGGACGTAAAGTGATATAAAGTTACGTATACTGTACGACCGTTTTACTCTACTTCCTCATCAATATCCAAACCTCCATTTTCAAAAGCGGCTTTTATAGAACTTTCCAACTTTGGTTGTAATTCTCTTGCATGGGTGAAAGATACTGCCGCATCGGATTTCCGATCGAGACGTAGGTAACATTTTCCCAAGAGGAAGAAAACGTTGGCTTCGTCTGGTGAATGTCTAGATAAATGTTCTAGTTGAGGTAAAGATTCCTGAGAATGAGCATGGTTTCTGAATCACATTGACTTATCGGGTTTTTTCTCGTGTACACTTTCTTATGCATTCATGTGCACGATGAAAGGTATTGATGATTATAGACAGTTTCTGGACATCGAGTGAGGGGTGGAGGGATATATAGTATGAATGGGCTTTTGAAGAAGAAACAAATGTACAGGTCCACATGTTTGGTATAGAAGCCTTCAAAGACGATAGAGAATGAGAGTCGTGTTTGTTTAGTGAAGTATGAAGGAGTAAGAAAGGCGTGAGTGGTTCAGGAGGTTACATGAAGACAAAAGGGGGAAACCGAAAACCCACCTCTATTCTACCCAAAGAAACCAAAGCCCTTATTCGCTTAAAGACGACCATAGGACTATTCGGTGAAAACCTAACAGCTTTATCGTAGTATTCCAAAGCTTGAATTACATTGTCCATTTGTTCAAGTACCATACCTATACAACATAGCAATACGGCATTTGTTGGGTTTAACTCTGCCGCTCGACGGAAATGATGTTCTGCATGTTTAGGTTTTCCAGTTTTGAGATAAACGAGACCCATTCCATACCTTTTAGTCAGTTGATCAATCATCTTTCCTCCCCTCCTGATCCGTAAAGATCGAGGGGATAATCGAATATGTGTGACTTGCTCCACGAGCGAAGACGAAGAGAAATAAGAAGCGGCGTAAAGAAAGACGTTCCGACAAAGGTGCACTGTTAGAAGGAGATGAAGGGAAAGAAAAGAACAATGAGAAAGCTAAACGTACCAAGCATTATAATGCCTAGCATCCGTCCTTATAGCCGTTCTGAAAAATGCCACCGCTCTTTCATATTCTTCCATCTCTACAGCTTCATACCCACACAACGTCCACGCGTACGCACAACCTGGTGCCACCTGCGTAGCCCTTCGAAAACATCGCATAGCCTCATCGTGATCTTTTTGCACGCTGAAACAATTGCCAGCTGCGATCCAAGTTTGTGGTGCCTCTCTTGATACTGACATGAGAGTTTGGGATAGGTGTGAGAGAGCTGGAGCATCGCTTAGATGCCACAATAAAGTAGAGAGATGTTCCATTCCGTTCAAACGGTGAGGATCGAGAGCTAGGAGACGACCATATACTCTTTGCGCCTGAATGTCAATGATCCTCCCTCTGTTGAAGACTATAAATCTGATAAAGTGTCAAGATCACCCATGATATCTAACAAACCCAGAATAGCCGCACAGTCCGCCAGGCTCGAGAACATCTGGAATTGACATGCCTGAGAAATAGGGCAGGGCGAATGAGAAGTAGATCAGATGAAAGCCGCAGAGAGTGAGCAAACAACAGAGCGAAGAAGAAACAGAGTAAGAACGAGAGAAGGCACTCACGGCAGTATAATGTGCCATCTCATACAACGCCCTAGCCATCATTTCCAAACCCCATACTCCACTTTGTACCTCCTCCGGTAACCCCTCAAGATGTCCAATGACTTCAGGACATTGAAACATGCTCAAAGCGCGATAAGCCCTCCCGCACCGACGTACCACATCACGCAACCAGTCGTCTGCTATCTGCTGCGACTTATCGTCGATGGAATGAGAAAGAGGAGAGAGATCGGTAGCAGTAGAAGCGGATGATGTGGCCGAGTGGGACCGAGTGGATCGTTTTTCTCGAGGGGCCTGAGAATTAGTTTATTTTGCTGTTTAACTCGGACAACAACTGAGTTGCGTATGGTACTGATTTATTGCTACACTATGACCTTTGGCTACCCACGGAATAGATCAGTGGTTGAGGTTACGAAGATTTTCAAAGAATGGCAGGACTCACTTTTGACGGTACAGCCTTACTAGGCGCTCCAGCGGTTGTATTTAATCTTCTGCTTCTTCTCACAGCGCCATCATGATCTCCGTGAGGATCAATAACCATCAAATCCTTTCCATTTTTATTACCATGACCATTGAGTTGAGTCTGTGGTGTCTCTAATCGTTTTCCCTGGGCTCCACGAGGCCTTTTCATCGCGGGAGGCTTTGAAGAAGCGGGATCGACGTTGGAAGTGGGGGTGGCTATGGACCGGATGGAAGCAGGTAGCATTGATGCAAAACTGGGAAACGGACGACGGGAGTGGGTGAGGGACGGGGGTGGTTGTTGAGAGTTGTCAAATGTCGTATCTCCGAGTACTGAGGGGGTTCTAGGATTAGCGGAAGTCGAACAACGAGGGGATATTAAACCACCTGCAAGCAAGTTATACAGTGGTGGAGCGGTAAATAATGGGAGCTGGGCGGAAGTTGTCAAGACCGGGAAAACATCTTACAACAGAACGAGAAGTCCTGAGAGACCTCTCTAGAAATTCGATATGTTAAATGAAGTGAGAGAAACAAGAAGGATTAGGGTTGAAAAGGAAATTACACCCACTCCCATGAACCAACATTTCCCATCAAGCCCAATCGTTGTCCTCCAGATCCTACTCCCGACCCAGCTCCGATATCAGGAGTGAACAGACTCGAACTGGAACTGACTAAAGGGCTCATCTGACGTTTAGAAGGTGCATAACCCAACTCTGGTCTCATGGGGTTAGGGGATAATGTGGGTGGACGTGATTTGGATTTGGGAGAAGGATCGGGGAAGATGAGGTCGGGTGATGGGGGTGAACCTATGTGTCAGTATTGGCATTGCACCTCAAGATACCTATTCGAACCAGTTGGAGAGTGAGGTCAAATCGTTGAAGCGGGTACTTCGTAAACACACCTTCGACCGAAGCGATGTCTGAGAAGCTAGGTAAATGACGATCCTTGAACAAGTGTCATAGACTGAGAGCTGATAAGTATGGGGAGGGATGGCGCTTATAGTCTCACCAGCATCACATAACCCCGTAAATGCTTCCCATAACCAAGAATCTTCCTGTAATGCTTTTCGATATTGTTCTACTGCATGCTCGGGAGATTTGCCTTTATGACTCAACCCTGCTAATAAAAGATGAGCCGTGGCGGTGGTCGATGTCGGTGATGGTGTTTGTATATCTGTTCATAAGTAGCCCTTCTGCTCCTTCTACCCTCACACATGTGAATTGTTGAGATTCGTCACTGGTGAAACTCGTCCCACCTGGACTGATCAAGCCTACAGTCGAAGTCCATGGGGGAAGAATGAAGTTTTGGACGAGCCACGGAGGTGTGTTGAAGGATAACCCACTTGATGGTCCACTTATCCTCATAGCGCGATTCAAGACTTCTTGACCTTCACTAAACCTTCCGACATTCTCACAACATTTAGCAACGATGAATGCGCAACCATAACATGATCCCATGACATGATCCCCATTGGCAGTGTCCCTGACGAGGTGTAGAGCGGAATACGGTCGTTCTGTCTGGAGCAGACATAAAGCGAGAGTATGAAGAGAATCATGATCTGCCAGATTAGCAGGAGGGAATAAGACGTGCCAAAGTCTAGCGTAGAAGAGGGCGGTTGTTGGGGGAGAGCATAAGGAGAGGGAACGAAGGCGAGTGATCAGGTGACCGTTTGAAGGTCTGTTTGGCATGACACGAGATCAGCGGGTTGACGATGATGAGACTTTTAGATGGGACAGAGAGGGCAGAGAGGGGTGAAGAAGTAAAGGGAAAGGGTAGTAGTAAGATGAAGTTAGTTGATCAAGAGACGAGACGGTGTGTGTCGAGGTCATGTAGTAGAGTTTGTTAGTATGAAGTATGAGGGTGACGTGGCATTACACTACTACTACTCCTGGACTACTCAACGCTGACTACTAACTTGATACATACAACTATGAACATCTCTTCAAGTGGGAATCTTTCCCTCTGTTCCCTCGGGACCCATCATGAGGTTGCGCAAGAGATCAGCACGTTGTTTCCTAACTTCAAAATCCAATCGACGTTTATGTTCCAAGTTCCTCACCTCCTCTTGCGCTTTTTCACCCGCCAACACTTTCGCCTTCTTGTTTCCGCGGCGCTTTCGCCATTTGTATATACCAAACCATATCAGTCCTAATGCGACTATTCCACCTTGATTGTCAGTTGACATACACAATATTTCAGTCGTAAATCTGAGTCATGAACCATCGAGCAAGTATGAATCTGACAAGGATATCAACCGACAGAGCATAGGAGACACTCACAGGTTGCACCTATATAAGCATGTTGTTGGACTAAATTAACCGCCTCATCACTGACGCTCTCCCCATCGTCACCCCCGTTATCTTCTCTTCGTCGTAGTGTGTCGTCCATTCTCATCGGGAAGGCAGAGACTACAGTCATCAGGAAGAATAATAATGATAGAATGAGGTGATTGAGTCGGTATGATGAGAAAGACGGCATGGTCGTTATCGTACAAGGGGGCGGTCCAGCCGCCCTTTCCTGTTGGTGATCTTTCTTCTTATCTCGTTCTTGATCTTCACACGAACGTCTTTCAATCGATTTTCGGATGACAGTGAGGCCTTGTGCTATCTGTTTGTCAAAAGTGAAAGAGTCATTCCGTCAACGCTTGAACCAGTCTCTATCCCCTTCAAGGAGAAAAGCCTCAAAGGAAGTCAACTTCCAAACCAATGTCCCTTCATCCCGGTTTGTCTCATCATTGCCAAGTACGATGGGTCAAGTCAATACGAGGATCCATACATAGTGGATATTAGAGATGAGAGAAGCGTGTTGGTGATACATATTACACAGTGGGATGAAATCTATTGAGAAGTTTTGGTCTCTCCTCCATATGGTAATCGGACAAGTTGTGGTAATGGTTCTTCATCTTCTTCTTGAACGTTAACAGTGGACAATGATGTACTTCCAGCGGGAGGTTTATCTTCTTTGTCAGGCTAGCACGACCGGAAACTTAGATAGGGAGCTTACCGAAAAGATTGAGGATGGAGAATACATGAGGCCAATTACGCAAAACAGCACCGACCGCTATACCGTCAACTAACATTTTCTTCTCTTGCCCACTTTACAAAGGTATGGCTGAGGAGCAGAAATCAGAGAGGAAATAAATGAGAAGAGAGAGGTTACTTGTGAAGACTAACCCTCTCCACCATCAGCCATGGTGTTGCTCATCTCGGCCAACTTGTCCACCCTCGACAAGAGATTCGCCGAAGCTTCCCTTAGAGCTTGTAAACCGGCATGTTCTTGTTGTTTTTGAAGTAAGATCTGTTGACTCGAAGTGAGCTGTATGAATGTGTTGGGAAGAGACATCTCCCTACTAGACAGTTGTATCGACAATGCTGCCCTGTGGAGTCTCGAGTCTGAACTGGTCACTTCTGGAATGGTTGAACAGATCCGACGCGTCTTGGACGCGTAGCCACGTGGAGCGGGGAGAAACCCACGGACATTATGCTCCATCTCCGTTTTCACCCTTGGCCATGGAAAGCTCGACTCACCCCAACTTGCCCTCACCATATTACTTATTGTACTTACAAGCAGAAGCATCCGGAGCGAGCCCGTGAATAGTGGAGCTGTGTAGAGTCTGGTAATGATACATAGCTCTCGGTTAGTGACTGACTTCGGATGGACGCAACATGGGTGTCAAAGGTCTTTGGTCGCTCTTGAACCCCGTGGCCAGACCTGTACAGTCAGCTTATCTTTCCATACCCTTTCTCAAAAGCTAATTCATAGATTGGAAAGTCTGGAAGGGAAGAGGTTGGCTATAGATAGTTCGATATGGCTCTACCAAGTGAGTGCATCCGACGGCTCACCCTTTGTACCCGCAGAATCTCGATTTGGCATGCTATTTGCGCGTGGAGAGGAGGGAAACACTGACGAGTAGTTTCAAGCTACTATGAGAGATAAAGATGGACGTGTACTAGTCAACGCTCATGTTCTTGGTGAGCGAATCTTGTGGGGCTACCAAATAGGGAGCTGATGTCGAGGTTTCTTGAGACGGATCAACAAGTTGTTGTTTCATGGGATTAAACCTGTCTTCGTTTTCGATGGAGGGGCTCCTGTCTTGAAGCGTAATACGATTGTACGTCTTACTTGACTCGTCACGTCACCTCCCACCCTCCCCTTCCTTCTCCTCCCCCCTCTCTTCTTTCTCCATACTGGATCAGCTGTAGATGACACCATCATTATGTGAGGGCATGAGTAAGAGGCGGACAGGTTCATTGACGACGTAGGCAGAAAGGAAACGACGGAAAGCTGGAGCAGCAGCCAATCATGCACGTATGGCCGAAAAACTCTTCGCCGCTCAAATGCGTCGTGAAGCCGTCAAAGCCGCTCAATCAGCTCGTGAATCTCGCGCGGCACGGGAAGCAGCTGCCTCAGCAACCGTCGCCGCTTCTTCTCGACAAGAAGAAAGTGAACAAATACCAGAAGGTGCCATTTATCTCGAAGATCTGGAAGGTCGTGCTGGTCCATCCTCTCAACGTCCTCTACCCTCCATCACAAATCCAACATCTTCTATATCGCCAAACCCTCCTGATGCTGCCGAAGAACGTCGAAAGAAATTCCGTAAACATGATCCATACAAATTACCCGCTGCTGAGATGCCTACCCTTTCCACCGATTCTAGACCAGATGCAAGACTAGCTACAGAAGCTGAATTACAACAGTTCATAGAAGAGATCCAACCTAATGATATAGACGTAGAATCTGCTGAATTTCGAGCTTTACCTACAGAAGTCCAATATGAGATCATCGGTGATCTCAGAATTAGATCAAGACAGCAAAGTCATAAACGTCTTGCGGACATGTTGAGAGCAGCTCCGTCGGCTTTGGATTTTTCTAAAGCTCAAATCAAAAATCTCAGTCAGAGGAACGCCTTGACTCAACAATTATTGACGGTGACGGATATGGTGGGAAAGGCACATTTGACAATACCGGTGAGGATCGCCGCGGAAAGGAATAGAGAATATGTATTGGTCAAACGGGGTGAGGAGGATGGGGGAGGATGGGCTTTGGGTATAAGGGAAGGAGCTAAGGAGAGACCTATAGAGGTAGACAAGCAAGATTCGGAGGACGAAAGTGATGAAGAGTCAGAAGTTATGGATGACTCGGATGTAGAAGAGGTCAAACAGTACGTTGAATGCTTCTACACTACATCACTTTTTTGCCTTTTCATTCGACCATCAATGCACCATCTTCCTCCATCGCTTGCCATCGTTTGGCTATTGATATGTGACACAATGTGCTAAATCACAGGACTGAGCAAGTGGTGGCGCAACAACGAAGAAAGAAACTACTGGACGCTATAACAGCCCGATACGCTCCTATCCCTTCACCCAGAAAGTCGGTAGACGTACCAGTCAAGCCCTTTGGTCCAAAAAAGACATTCGGTGCCGCTCCATTATTCGAAGAAGAGGATGAAGTTCAGATTGTAGTACCTACGGCAAATGATGAAGCTCTAGCTTTGGCTTTACAGCAAGAAGAGCTTGGATCAGATGAGGAAGAGGTGGATCAAGATTTAGCTAGAGCTTTGGCTCTCAGTCGGCAAGAGGCGGAAAGGCAAGACGGTTCCACACAGATGGATACGCGAGAAGTGTCGGATGCACGATCGGCATCAGTTTCCAGTTCTCAGGTTGAGGTGGGGGAGGAATTGGGGTCGGACGATTCGATGGAAGAAGTATCTTTGGTCCCTTCACGTCCGAGCACACCCGGTGTTATCACGGGAGAGTTGATAGTTGACGAAGAAGATGATTTTGAGGAGGTGCCGACAATACCAATACCTAGTCAGCTAGCCCGTGTCGATTTTTCAGCGCCCGGTCATACAAACGGGACTGAGACGACGACATCAGCAATGAGTTCCATCAGACAGACGACGGCTACTGTCCCAACGAGGCCATCGGTTCTGAGACGACCCACTGAGGAGGTCATTGAGATGGACGGGGATGGGTCTGAACGTGTGGCATCCGCTTTCGCCGCGAGCATGCCGTTCAATCTCGAGCGAAGAAGTCAGCCCGGCATTGTAAATTCGTCGTCAAAGAGGTCGATACCTCCTACATCTGCTCCGCAGCCATCGATGACACAACCGACGGAAAGAGATGGAAGGGCACGCCCGTCGTCGAAGACGCAAAGTGTAGTAGGCGTCTCGGCAGACGTTCCTGCGGTTCGATCGACCTTGACCCCTCCCGCCTATCCGACTGCGCCGCTGTTATCTAATCCCCCTCCATCGATACCCTTTGCTAGTGTCAAACCCATTCCGCCATTGTCCACCGCCGCCCCAAAAAGACCATCGGTGAATCACGGAAATACACTAGACCAAGTTCCCACAAATAAACCTGCGATGTCTCGTACCGTCACCGAATCTAATATTCAATCCATCGCCTCTACTCGTGACACCATTGTCACTTCCACAAATTCGGACGTGAGGTCATTTACTGGCACTCCGACTCGCTTTGACGATGACGGAGAAGAAGAGCAAGAGCAAGAGCAAGAAGAAGAAGAAGACGAAGAAGATATCATCCCATGGTCACGGTCACCCTCTCCCATTCGACCCCTACTTCAACCCGAAGCATCCAACACAAGTCTTCAATCCCTTCCCTCAGAAATCGAACCTGACATCGAACATGACTCCGATAACGGTGCACTTCATCCTGATGACATCATCGCCGAAACTGATGATTACGCAAGATTTCTCTCTCAAATCAAGAATCGTGATTTAGCAGAAGTCCAAACTGAAATAGATGATGAAATCCGAGTTTTACATTCCGCAGCAAAACTCGCAGCTAGAGATGCAGATGAAATCACAGCTCCTATGATCGCTCAAATTCAAACTTTACTTCGACATTTCGGTATACCATATATAACAGCACCGATGGAAGCTGAAGCTCAATGTGCTAAATTGGCAACATTAGGATTAGTAGATGGTATAATAACGGATGATTCTGATGTTTTTTTATTTGGTGGAAATCAATGTTTTAAAAATATCTTCAATGATTCTAAATATGTTGAATGTTTTTTATCATCAGATATTCAAAGAGAAATTTCTTTAGATAGAGAAAGACTTATCTCTTTAGCTTATTTATTAGGATCAGATTATACTATTGGATTACCTGGTGTTGGACCTGTTATAGCATTGGAACTATTAAGTAATTTTCCTGGAAGAAGAGGATTAGAAGAATTTAAAGAATGGTGGTTGAAAGTCCAAAGAGGTCAAGATGAAGTTATTATAGAGAATAATAATTGGAAAGAAAGGTTTAAAAAGAAAAATAAGAATAGTATTTTTTTAACTACAGATTGGCCAAATCCGTTGGTTAGAGAAGCTTATTTGTTTCCTGAAACGGATGATTCAAAAGAAGAATTTCATTGGGGTTTTCCAAAATTATCTTCTTTGAGATCGTGAGTCGGATTCCCCCTTCTCCCTCTCCCTCTCCCTCTCCGTCCTTCCTTCTTTCCGTCTTTTCTATTGTTCCCTCAACCGCTACCTTTTGGCAAAGCCACAACCGTGTGCCCTTCCCTACATAGAATCAGACTCTCCGCATGTTATCAAAAATGCGACTTTATCGCATTCCTCACTAGATTGAAAGGAAGGAAGGGAGGCTAAAGGTCAGATTCCTACACGAAGAACTCTCTTGGTCAATATCCAAAGTCGACGACGAACTTACTCCTATCGTTCAACGAATAGCACGTCGAGGTAAATCCGGTGCACTCAACGTACAAAGCACTTTAGATCCTTTCTTTGATACTTCTGTCATTTCAGGTAATTACGCACCTAGAAAACGTATGACAGCAAACGTTTCAAAGAGATTAATGGGGGTTATAAAACAGTTCAAAGAGGCAGAAGCGAGATTGAGTGGGGGACGTGAAGTTGATCAATCTCAATCGGGTTTGGAAAAGTTTGATGATGAGAATGAGGATGCTCATTCTCATGCTCAATATGAAATCGTCAAGGATGAGATAAATATTGAGGGTGGTTCGGGAGAGGTTGGGGTAGTTGAGAAGATGGAGGAAAGAGGGAAACGGAGGAAAGGTTCGAAAGTTAGTATAGAAGATGAAAGACCTACGAAAAGAAAGTCCAAGGGGAAAGAAGTTGGAGAGAAAAGAAAGACGAGGAATAAAGGTGGGAAGAAAAGAGGAAAGAAAGATTTGACAGTGGAAGATGTTGAAATGATGGATATTGATATACCACCGGAAGTGGAAGCTATCATTGATGGGACGACTACCATTGAGTGATCATCGAGAGTAAGTGTAACAGGGATGAATGAGGTCAGGGGAATGTAAGATGGAAGGAGACGGATTTGGACGTGATGTATAACATAGGTTGTATCGCATGGGTTTATGAAAACATTGCAATACAATATGAATCTCTTATACGGATCAAGGAAGCTTCATGCTAAGTTTCAATCAAGTCATGTTGAACATCTGAATGATTGATTTTCACGATATAATCAACTCAACTCCGGTAAATATATCTCTGGAGAGTATTAAAACCGTTTCCCACGCTCCTCCTTCACCTTGGGGGGATCGATTGACCAACACTGAAAATCAAATCATGTCGAGAGGGTTCTTACTTTCCGGTCTATCCATCACCAAAAACATCACACCTTCTAGCTGGTCCACTCCGAGTGATCGAAGGTATGCTTGAGGTTTAAGGGTGATGACTGGTCCTCTTGCACCCTATCTCACCCTGGCGATACTGGACGTGACGTTATGGAATTTTGTAAGCATGATCAATTCGAACAGAAGAGAAATGACCGTAGAGTACAGTAGTAGAGGGGTGGTGTGAACGATGCAACTACGTCATTTCCCGATCGCAACTTGCCTCATCCCTCCACCCACTTCATCCTCCTTCAATCTTTTCTCTCTCTTTTCCTCATCGCAAATTCTCTTCACTTGAGAAATTCTCTTGACAGAATGGTATCTTCACCTTCTCCCGCACCTTCTATCACTTCGGACGAAGCGGATGGATATCTTTTGTTGTCTATCCCGAATGTCACCGTGAAACAGGTTTATCAAGGGGAGAGTATGATACTTGCTCGTGGAGAGATGCGGTGGGTTAAGCTTTTCGCTCTTCCTCTTCCTCTTTCTCTTCCTCTTTCTCTACCATTTCGTCTTTTTGACTCTTCAATGTAACCTGATCAAGCTCAAGAGGAGACGCCGAATAGAGGTGTGGATCAAGGATAGAATGTCAGTGTGAGGGAATCTGAATGATGACTGATGAACCAGCCTGGAGTGCATTTCTCTTCCAATAACCAACGAACAAGGAAAACAAACTGCCAACCCTTTCTCTCCTTCCCCCTCTGATCCCTCTGTACCAACACATGATCACTGGTTAGTTTTAAGAGTATCGACATTCGAAATGCCACTCATCCCTTCTTCTCCTATCCTCCCTTCATCTAATGTAGAAGGAATAGCGTACATCCTATCATCACAACATATACCCGATGCGGCTTTACATTTAATTTTCTCTTCACCACGGTCCATTGCGGAATATGAAGATTTGGATTCTTTTGAGATTCTACTACGACAATATGGATCTTTGGGTGAGAAAGCCACAGCTTTGGAAGGTGTGCAAGTTGGACCAGCTGGATCTACCTCCAATAACCTTGGGATCACAGGGACAGGGTCAGTGGGGTTGAAAACCCAAGGAAAGGATGAAGATAATTCAGAAGGATTGAGAAGAAGAACTGGGAAAGGGACACAAGGAGAATTGATGGATCTTGATATGAGAGGAAAAGTAGTTTTAGTCAATGAAGAAACCGGAGAGGTCGTAGGTGAATTAGATCATAGATTGGATGTTCAGGAAGGTCAAGGAGTAGCAAGTGGTGGGAAAGATAAACCTGTCATGTTGGATTTCGGTGATGTTCTTGATGAATATGCTCCGAAAGTGGTAGTACAGACTGTACCCCAGGAAGAGATGGATGATTGGATGTTACGTGGAGCGCATAATATTAGGTGGGTTTCAGACTCTCTTCTTGTCATTCGTCATTTATGTACTCGATCTCTCTTCCCAACACAAACGAAGAGTCCCCGTCAAGCACATATGACTATAACTTGATAGCTTATTCTCGCTTCATCTCGAGTTGAGGTGTGTCGTGAGTTAGTATCAGACTATTGAGGGTGCTTGTGGAGTTTGATGAGTTTTAGTGACGACGCTAATGATCAGCAAGGGGATTTTGACTTTCGGAGCTTGGTCTTCTAGAATGATCAACAACTCCGCTGAAAACTTTATAAAAAATACAACACCTAGTAAAGAACCTGTCAAATTTGGTCCTTCTACAAAAGCGGGAGTTCGGATGGCTCATAATGCCAGTGTGAGGACTGTCAAGGTTACAAAGTCGACGGTGGGGATGATCAACAATGTGAGCTGTCCTTCTTCATATGTCTCCTTTCTTCCCGAACTCCATATCAATTGGAAATCTATAAAAGCTCTGACCTTGTTTTTCACACTTCTCATGAAACTCCCTCTTCTAACGATACCTTTTCCTCCCTCTCCTCTCTGGATAAGCGATCTCTTTTCTTGATAATTCGTAACATGGGAAGACGGAATCAACGAACTGACAAAAAGGCTATATCTTCCATGGTAGAAGTAGGTTACGAAAAAGGTTATCAACCAATGCAAGAATTATACCAAGAATATCGTAATTCATCTCCTTCATTAGACAAACCTTCTTCTTCTACCATATCCAACAATCCCAACATTTCTACTCCTGTCAAATCCAATCCCTCCTCCAAACCTCCCACACCAATACCTATCCCAACCACATCTTACGTTCCCAGACAATCACCTCGTGGTACACCATCAATGCTAGCACCAATACCCAAACTTCCACCTCGTTCTCGTAGTCCATTAAACAATCCCCGAACCGCTCCTTTGATCCAAATTTCAACACCGGATCATATCGGTCAAAAAGTCAGTATACCAAGTACGACCGAGTCTTTATTAGCACAAGAGAAAACGGCTTCTTCGACGACTAAAACCCCTTCTTCTGCCCCTGCTATTTTGTCCAACGGTGATGGAGCTGGGGAAGGGAGTCATAAAAGACCTTTTTTGAATAAATTGTTATTAGCTGGAGAAGTGGTTTTGACAAGTTTAGAAGCTACTGCACATGAGTTGATAGATGTTGGTACTGCTGCCGCGTCTTCTGCTGCTGGGTAAGTCTTTCTTTTCTTCTTTCTTTCCTTTTCAGTCCCATTTTCCCCTCAAATATGAAGTAGATAGGGGTTAGGAGAAAGTATGGTACTGATTATCAAGACATAAATTCGGTCCTGAGGCAGGTAAAGCGACAGCTTTAGTAGGAGGTAGTGTACGTAATGTCGCCGTGGTATATATAGACGTAAGAGGAGTAGGTAGACGTGCTTTATTAAAATCAACAGCTAAAGGATTCGTCAAAGCTAGATTGAAGAATGGTGAAACTGTTCAACTTCAAGGTTCTCATGTTTTACCTATTGAGGATAATAGGGGTGTGGTTGAGCAAGTAGGTGTAGGACAAGTTGGTAGAGGTGAACAAGGGGTTGTGGTAGGTATGCAAGAGGTACAACGAAAAGTTGATTAATAAATTCTGTTGAAAGGTTTGTCATGGGAGTTGATGGTTTCGTACAGAGACAAAGAAGACGTTGGGAGAATAAAGAGGATGTTAAGGTGAATTGTGAAGATGTTGTAACTTTGTTTAAAGGTTAGATTGAGGTGAACGAATATGAATAGACAGTTTTCAAATGTATTTTATTGCATTGCTATTTTCTCGCAAGATCTTTCTAATTCTATCTTCCTTCATATTTCATATTTCATATTTCATATTTCGATTCGTATAGATTCATGTTTGTGTTAGATCGAGTCCAGGTTTCATATTTCATGTTCGTATAGCGAGTGTCGTACGATATTTGTATGTTATGTGATATTCGTTTAATCGTGTTATGTGGATATCATCTAAGAAGAAATGATGTGGTGATATTTCGAATCCGACGGTACCTTATTGGTTTATCTATAACCGTTGTCGATCGTCGAGCAAGATGAATGTAGTCATACGAAAGAGTCATGTCGGTGTCAAGAAGGTATGTAATCATATGAATATTTCTATCGGTGTCCAATATGGTTGTAGTTATACGAAGGATTGTGTCGATGTCGATGTCGGTGTTGAAGAATGGGATATCACACGATATATCGTAAGTTTGTATATATAATTCGATATTCGTATCGTACAATTTTAAGAATATCTTGAAACTTGTTACTCGTAAGACGTTCTTGACAATTTTCTCAATTCTTCACACTCCACAATTATCTTTTCTTCCATATAATTTGGTTTGATGGAAGATGTAGGGAATAATCGTCATAGATCCATATGGAAAACACCTTCGAAATCCTCTTCGTTATCATTCTATTCATTAGCTTGTACACTTGTATACTTGTACTCTCGTACTTTCCATACGGCCGCGGAAATACGGGGTTACGGCAATGGATGACGGACGATCAATGATCTTTTTGGTCATGTGTCCGACTACTCCGACTACTCCGACTACTCCGATGGGTCCGACCAAGTCGCAAGACCAGAAAAAGGGGGGTTTGTGGATGAACTGGACTTTGCGGTAAAACCGGGAGTGTGGAGAAATCAAAGGATTTAAATGGAGCGGGGTGGAGATCCACCGATATCGGGATGACAAGAAGAAGGAGGGGGCGGGGCAGGGGTTGAAAGTTCACAAAGTCATCTGCGAAAGAATCAAAAGGAGCATGATTGTTTCCGGGGGATATGTGTTCAAGTGAAGTAGAGGAATTGGTGTCGAGAGCGAGTCGGGAAAAAAGGGGTCACAGTTGAGATTAGATTGAAGGATACTCACGTAATACCTAGATACGTCGCATGGCCACTAGACTATTAGTCCATGTGCTTCTTTACACGTGTTACTACTCGCGTGGGAAGAATGGAAACAATCAGCGCGAGGAGAACCTCTGATAAAGATGTGGCGGCGACTAGACAGTGAAAAGAGGATAGAGTTGGAAGAATGATAGGAATGGGAGGAATGACTGGAAGGTGGAAGAAGGAAGGAAGGCCAAAAAGATTTACTCACATCGTAAAATGTTATACCTGGAGCAAGCACCCGACGTAATCTGACTATCTGTCCAATATGTCGTCCGTGATTGACATGTGTGAGCTCGAGCATTTCCGAACAACCTGAGGTATGTTAACGTTGCTTCGTGTGGGTTGATATTGTTGTCGTGCGAGTCAAAATATGTGCATCGCACGGGGCACGGATTCGAGACACGACCGAAATGAGGGGGAAGATTGAGAGGGGATGGGGGAGTTATTCTGCAGGGTATGAAAGGTTGCGCCAGCTCAGAGTGGGGCAAGCCAGTGACAAGATAGAAGAAACATGAAACTCACCCTCCAGGGCATACTCGCAAGTCTCGTCCCAAGCATCACCGTCGTTCTGCCATCAGCATACTCCGGGCGTAGACAACAAGTATGTGGCCGAAGTAACCTGCTGATCTCCCATCTTTGTGAAGAGCGGGCGGCAGAGATGAGCATTCGTGACATGCGAAATGGAGAAAGATGGAATGAGACAGTTGCCGGGACGACAAAGTGAGATGCCCCACGAACGGCTACAAAACAGGCGAGGAAGGGAAAAATACTCACATAGAGCTCTATTAAGTCGTCTACAATCTCTTCGAACCAATCTGCAAATACGCGCCTGACGATCAGTATACATGTTCACGCGCCTTGCACGCACGGTCCGTGAACACTGTTGAAGGCGCCAGTCAATAGGATGAAGGTAGAAGAAGGAATGAGAGGTAGCGCGCAGTCGAAAGAAGTATACTCACATGTCACCGTCAGCGTCATCTCCTCCCCAACCCCAAGCCTGTCTTAATCTCTGTGGCGCCTCTTCAAAGTTCTCCTGGGCATCTAGATTCAATCGTCTGACACTGGGCATGATTGTTGAAAACAGAAGATAGTGCCGAGCCGTTCGATAAGGTTCAAGACGCCGGTAGATCAACGAGACCTTTATATCTTCGATTGAGCGGTGGCAACGGCTGACTAAAAAGTGACAAGAAGGAAGGGGAGATAAATGTCAGAGCAAGAGTTTCAGTAGCGCGTGTGAGGGGTGGGTTGACGTGTACCCAGACGGCGATGGAGCCGGGTAAGACGTGATCGGCGTCGCCAGTGAACATGCGGAGTCGCCAGTACCGACTGAAACCTGCAGGGAATGACGATGACGATCCCCATTGCCGACAAGTGGGGGGAGGGGTAAGGGGAGGAAAAGGGTATAACCGGTAGCGGTAGTGTTACTGATAGACTACCGGACCTGACGGAGGGGGTGGTTCAGCGGGGCCGCGGGGGTGTGGAAGACATGGAAAAGCCACGGAGGCAACCAAGAAGGGACGGAGGCTTTGGGGGGGCGTTGGTCAGTCGGGGCGTCGGGACTACGGGCATTGTTTGGATCGTTTGTTTTTCTTTGGGTACATGGTATAGGGACCAAGGGGTAGAAGGGGAAGAGAAGGAAAAGGTGCACAGCATGCCCACGGACGTCTGGCACAAGCCATCATTCCCGCTGACCGGGATCCGAATCTTCTTGTATTCCTTTGATATTCCCATCCACGTTGCTTCTGACGGATACCACTGGTGCCGAAGCCATCTGCTGGAAGAAAACAGTAGTCGTAGGTGTGTTAATGGCGTTAATGAAGCCACTCAACAGCAACAAAACAAGTGAACTTGTGTGGGGGGATGTTAGTAAGCTGATGAGTCTTTCTAGGGGTAAAAGAACATGATGTGGAAACCCTGAGCCTCGTGTTTAGTGGCGAGGAAAGGTGAACATTTTTGGGAATGGGCGTCCGAGGAGAGGTGAGAAATGGGGTTGTTACGATAATGAGCTTGGGGTGATGGGAAAGAGGAGATAGCCGATGATGGGCTGAAGAGATTTCTGATGGAGATGGAGAACGAAGAGTCGGATCAAGACGGCGAGAAGGACCGGAGACGGCGGAGCGGCGACGAGGATGGATAGATCGGCGGTAATGGCGAGCAACGAGTGTTTTAGATATGGGTCATGTTGTAGAGAAACAGAGAGAGGGATACATGTCACTATTGATCCATCATCGGGACTGGCTGGGGGTGGTTACGAGGGGAACCGAACTTCGCGCACGACACGAAATCTCTTCACGCACGACAAAATCACGTGATAAAGCGTTAGGCATGCAGCACAGAGACGTTAGGCGCACGCAGGGACACCCTTCCGTCCTCCCCCCCTCCCCAATTGTCCTGTGGCCAGAGTTGCTAACCTACTCCATGATCTATGCATAGAAAGATCCTGGTTTTTACACGGACATGTAGAGATCGTCCCCCTCTATTGGTCAGTAAAAGTTTCAGGCTCAAAGGTCAAGAACTGACCGAGATAAACTGATCTCCCTTCCACCCCTTCTCCCCATGAATTTCCGGCCGCCTCAGAGCCTATACTGACTGGAAGGTATTCAATGGGGATTATCGAGGGTCCTGAGAACGATGGTCAGTGTCTCAATATCATAGCTTATCTCCTGTAAGTTGCAGAAAGTGATGAAGTTAATTGATATTACTTGAAAGTATGAGAAGGGTGGAAGGGCGATCTGTGCACAAGAAGCCACGTGGTTTGAGACGCCTAACTTGATTCTGCGGCATGCCTAACGGCTAGTCACGTGATTTTGTCGTGCGTGAAGAGATTTCGTGTCGTGCGCGAAGTTCGGTTCTTACGAGGGAGTACGAAATCGACGGGGTGTTTGTGGTTGAAGGAGGGCGTCCATACAGGTGAAACCCGTCCGTACCGGTAGTCGAAGGGGGGTAGTTGGAGAGAGGGTAGCGTGACCATGACATGTGCTTTTATGGGAATGTACATAGTGTGAGCTAATATCAGTATGGTGCGAGTTGGAGGAAGAGGGGGTTATCCTATGAATCGGCCGAGGTGGTGCGAGTGCGAGTGCTAAATCAACCTAGCCAGCTAGCGACCTCCACTTTTAGGTCGTGGATGCCTACGCATGCCTATTTGGACAGCGCTCACCCAGATAGGCGTTTGGATCACGTGACTAGCCTTCCCTCCTACTATCCTAACTTTTTCGCTGGTAAAGATAGACACTCTACTCTTAACATCTCTCGTCCATGATCTAACAAACCTCGCACCATGTCCCTATGTACCAGATCACGTCCTTTTTCACCTAGGATATGCTTTCCTCTCCACCGATCTCCTCAACTCCTTGGACAAGTCCGATTCAAAAAGGCAAAGTCTTACCCAGGTCCTCCTCCACCCATCATCCCCCTCACCGGTCCTGAATCTCCCCTGCCCCCAGCTGAGCCCGCTCATCTTAATGATATATCATCAGATGAACCCACAAGCTCGACTACAGCCGCTAAACTGGCTGAGGACAAGTATACAGCCGCACATCTGCAAAAGATGTTACCGACCATGTCTGATTTAGGTCTGGTCAGGAATGACAAGGGTGGGTCTGTGTTCTCCTTATACTTGGTCTCATTTTTAAATTTTGCATCACTCTGCTTCTTACACCACCAGCTCCAAACCTAAGCGTAGAATTTGATCTAGCGCCAATTTCATCCGATCATGTGGTGAATATAGACTTACAACAGTGACCGTGGCTATGTCAGGAGGAGTTGATTCTTCCCTTGCTTTGAGGATATTGGCAGATATGGTAAGTGCTCCCTTCGTCCCATTCACTTAACCCAATCAGCCTTATAATCTGTCTATTATTCCGTATACTGATGCTCAGCCACTGGATCTGAATGTGGTGTATATGAGAAATTGGGATCCACTTCTCTCTGAAACCCCCTCGTTTGAAGAAGACGAACCTCTTGGTCCAGGTTCTGTCTTACCTGACAAAAACAAAAAGGGAAGACAGAAAAAGAAACCACAATCCAAAGGGAAAGGTGCTGAGGTCGAGACTTGTTCTTGGAAAAGAGATTGGAAAGATGTTCAGGCGGTAGCTCAATACGTGGGAATACCTAAGCACAGGGTTTTTTTATTGGATCTAAGTAAGCCGTATTGGAATAGGGTGTTTGAACCTGCTATAAAGGAATGGTCAGCCGGAGGGACACCGAATCCTGATGTGGCTTGTAATTCGTAAGTCATTTCCTCCCGCCTGTCACGTTACTACTCTTGTATGTGTCCCTGTTCAGCTGGGTGTTGTTGTCTTGTCCTTCTTTCTCACTTCCGAATTGAGATAATGGCGGTCATGATCTCTCACTGCAGTATATAACGAGTTTTGACGACATCACGAAAAATCAATATATGATAATGGGATGTATAACTGATCCCCAGGGAAATCAAATTTGGGGAATTGCTTGATTGTCTTCCCGGTGGTCAAGGTGGGATACAGTTCATAGCTACCGGTGAGTCCTACTTCTGTTCTCTTACATTGTGCGTTCGAATCATTGACTGGGACGTGAGCTGTGTTGAGAGTATTAAAAACTGAATTCCAGGTCATTATGCCCGTGTGAAGAAAGTGCAACATGCCACAAGGCTCTGTCGGGGAAAGGATGTGGAAAAAGATCAATCATACTATCTGTCAGGTGTAACGGAAGCTCAGCTGAAGAACGTGAGTTGATCAAACTGGCCTTGACTTGTCAATCTCCCTTCTACACTTGTTTCTCCGCTTTTTTCCATATGCAGTGGACGGGGCGTACAAAAGGAAGGGCGATCTTGTGAAGATGGGAGGTATGTTGACGGTTAGATGATCTTACCTTTGCAAAATCTGACTAAACCTTGGGTCAGGCGTCTAGCCAGGTTTTACGGTCTTCCAACTGCCGACAGAGAAGAAAGTATGGGTATATGTTTTGTTGGTGAGAGGCAAAGGTTTGGGGACTGGTTATGTAAGTGATTTCCTTCTATTCAACTAACCATCTTCTTCCTTCCTTTACACGCATTTCAGTATCGTCTGGTCAACTTCCTCACATGAGTTATGTGATACAATTATTGAGAACATGTCAAGTGCAGTCATCGAGGACGGCAAGTATTTTTGAGAAAGAGGCGGTACATTTGCTAAAACCCAGCGCAATACATCCCTAAACCCGAAACCAAAGGTCACCTCGTGACTCCTGAAGGCAAGCGTATAGCAGAACATGAAGGTTTATGGTATTACACCATTGGTCAACGGGCTCGTGTGGGAGGAATGGATGAACAGTATTTCGTCGCTAGGAAAGGTGTGGGTGAAAGTGGACAGGATATCTTGGTTGTACCTGGATCGTTAGTCCTCTTTGACTTCTTCTCATACATCTTCCACATTGCCCATCTCACAAGATCATGATGGAAATTGAAATTCCACTGTGCTAGAGGAATCACGCAGATAGTTGAAGGATACACGGTAATTGTCTAATCAACAGAGATCACCCCGCTCTTCAATGCGTATCAGTCAAGACTGATAGTTTCAATTGGATAGCCGGTAAAATACCTAAAGGTTTCGTTCCTGGTGGAAGGAAGAAAGCACAGATTCAAGTCCGACATCGTATGTCGCCAGTCGTAGGTGTGGTCGGGATAAATTGGAATGGAAGAGGGTCAGTCTTGCTTTTCTTCCATCATCCATCTTTACTTGATCTTTCTTCTTGTTGAACATTTCTCAGTCCCCTTGTACTCTGCTCCTGCAGTCCTCTCATGATCCCTCTATTCGATTATATCTTTTCGTTTCTTCTTCTTGCTGCGAGGAGTCGAACTGACAAACAGGATCATCGTAGATTTTCCTGAACCTATAAAAGGTGGTGTTGCACCAGGACAAACGATAGCATTATGGTATCAAAAATGGTGTTTAGGTAGTGGTACTATAAGATCTACCACTTCGTTGGATCAATTATCACCTGAAGAAGCCAGTGCTTATATAGAACGATTGGAACGTCGTACGAAGAAACCAGTCATGGAACATGTTGATTCTTTGACTGATAGTGGAGAGAGTGAAGATATTCAGTTGGATTCAAGTGTAGTGGAATCGGGTGAGAAAGGTGAATCAGAGTCTCAATCATTGCACCTTGAGTCGGGTGGTGAGAGTCAAACTATGGAAGAGACGACGAGTGACGAGAATGATATTGAAGAGAACAAAATGAGAGCTGCTGGATGAAAATAAAATGGTAAATATTTGTGGTGACATCGAAACGGAAGATGAGTAATCTTGTTGTAAAGCATTGTATTCAATATGAATATACAAATCACTCTTCTCTTATTTTTCAATACCAACACCATTTCATCAGCTCATACTATACAAAAAGTATCATACTGTATGAAAAGATACAGGTGATTGGATCAATCGGAAGAACAATGTTTTTCATATCTCTTTGTCTATCTATCAACAACTTCAAACAGTCCGAGGACCGAGGAGAAAGGTGGGCCGATAATCTAGTGGAATACAGAGAAACAATGTTGTCAGAATTTTTCATTGGATGGATCGGTGGTCTCGGTGGATTCTCCGATCATTCTAATTCTCACTTGAGCTATAGTAACATGAGATAAAACCATAATCCACCGGCCACCGATAAAATCCTGGATTTTCTCCTGGTCTTGCGAATTTGTTCAATCCATCGTTTTGCGTTATTTAACAAATGCATCAAGTTTTCTTCTAAATTTAAACATGATCAAGACTTATCGCATCTCATCTCATTTTTCCTTCGGCTTGTCCAGAGTCGAATGAGTAATCATAAGTCATCGTCTTCTGGATCGAAGCTATTTTCGGGGTACTAAAAGTTAGAATCTCAGTTATCTTCCTCTTCTCTCATAATTTCTATTCATCCTACGAATCATCTTCATCCTTACTTCTAATTAAAAAGACCTCGATCTTTCCTTACTTCTCATCGAAAAAAGCTCAACCTTCCCAGACATCTGATCAAGAAGAACTAAATTTCCTGATATCTGATCAAGAAGAAATGAAACGTTTTCCTTATACCAGTATGTCATCAAGAAGAACTAATACCATTCCTTAGACCTGATTAGAGAAAAAAGATAAACTCTCTTATCCTCTCTCCATGATGAAGAGGAATGGACGATATCGAAGATTTCTGGTGATGGAGGGCAGAAACATGGAAGTGGAAAAAGACTCACATCTTCCCATATTTGATCAGGTCTAAGAATAGCTCTTATAGATACTATATCCTCTACGTGTCCTTCGGACCAATGAGGGATATCTAAAGATAATATAGCTGCGCAGCCTATAATGAATTTTAATATCAATTACTTTTGTATTGATATAGATAAGAAGAACAAAAACAAAACAAAACAAAACAAGAAAAAGAAGGAGCGAAAGGATAAGAATCAGAATAAGAAGCAGGAGGAAGAGGAGGAGGAGGAGGAGAAGGGGAAGGAGGAGAAACTCTTACATTCTAAAGATATGGTTTGAGTAGAGTTTTCAAGATTATCTTCTGCCTATACTTTAGTTCCCAATACTAAGATCTTGTCCAAAGGGAATCAACTCACGTAGAGATCTAATATACGTGAAGTAAGTTGTCTAAACCATTTATCGTATTGTTTTCTATCTCATCAGTTTCTCTCATTTAGACAATTATACTCGATGGGCGATACCAGTAGTGAACATGAATCGAATGAAGAGAATTTCCGACATTCGAGATGGTACAAAAATGATAAAGAAACAAAAGTAACACAAGTAGGAACAGACTTACATTCCTCTCTCTCCCTGAGAACCACCTTTACCCCAAGCTTGTTCTAACCTACCTACTGCAGACCGGAAATCATCTTGGACACGTCGGTTCAAACTTGCTTTATCTCGAGCGTTATGAAGAGTGTGTTCGTGCGTCGACACGGGACCTACAGTCAAGGATTTTTTCACCATAGGTTACACTTCAAGAAGAGCAGTCAGTGTGGATGGGGGATAGAAGAGAAAAAGGGAAGCAAGTGGAGGAAGTATACCCTATGTGTATTGTTGAGAGGAATGCGGTTCGCGGGGGTGAGGCTTCTTATGTGGAGCCCCGCGTGGTCGGTTCCGATGACCGGTCGGGAGTAGTTGAACCGGATCAATTAGGATGCAAATGCTATTCGTATCGTACTTTTGAACTAGAATTCTCATTTTCGCTTCTTCTTCTTCTACTTCCTCTGTGATTTTCTCATCCTTCCCCATCATCCTCTCGTTCATCATCTTCCTCTCCGTCACCATCTTCATCATCTTCCTCATCCTCATCTTCATCTTCATCATCCTCAGGCACCTGTCATCAGCTCGCTATTCACAACTGCCCCAGGTCATCGAGACACTCACATACCACGGAGACAGATCACAAGGCCACTTCATCATCTATCAGCTCACGCCCGCCAGTTCCACTGACGACACCAACTCACGTCTTCCCATTGTAACAGGTTTATCCCAGGATTGAGACATAGTCGCAGGGCGATGATGGAAGACATATGTCCGGTATGATCCACATCTGTCATGCTGAGAATATCTGTGCACGCTGTATTGTGAGTTTATTGTGTCTTTTTCATCTCGCCCGACAGACAGTATGAACAGTACTCACCTTTGAGCCCTGCGTCCGTGACTGTTTGGGGTTGTGTCTCGGTCTGTAATGTCAGCCGAGAGATTCGACAGGTACACTCACCCATAGTTGTGCTACCTCTTCGGAAACCCCAGCTAACCAAGCCGCAAACTCGGCTCTATCTGTCAATTCAATATGATCTGAAGTTCATATAACTCACAGTTGTTCTTCCCCTTCTGCGTCCTCTAGTCTCCCTGCTGCTTGTCCCAGATCGTTCAGTATTTTCTGCTCGAAGACCTGGCTCATATTGCTGCCGACTTCTTGGTGACTTTCCGATATGAATACGAACAGGTGTGAGAGAGAGAGGACTTGGATTTTTCGGTGAGTTTCTTTCCTTCTCCTTCTTAATCGCCTTCTTATACCATTCATGTCCACTCTAACTCCCCATCTCGCAGCTCTCATCACACGTCATGTCATCCCTCCCCCATTTCTTGTCACCGCTTTCCCAGACCAAGTCGAAAACGCCTGTAACACACCCTACACACCTGGCAAGCCGTCAAACTCCTCTTCCTGGTAAGTAACCCAGCGCACCACTTCACCGCCCTCGAGCACACCCAAAAAAAAACAGCTACCGACCCTTCAAACCCAGGGGCGTCGCAATCTCACTCATCGCCGGGATGATTTCCCGCAAGAGAGATTGTCTGCATTACAGACGCCCGAGCCATAAAAAAGAACAGACATTCGAAAAAAAAAGAGGCGTGGAAGACGCATTTGAAGAGGGCGCAAGTATATGTGCAATCATCGTATCTCTTTCAATCCTGGTCTAGCGTCGGTTTTGGGGTGACAGTGAGGAATAAGAAGATGATGGTGATAAGAGAGGGATGACACGCCCCGTGAGTCGACTCGACCGGGATGACGTCAGGTGAAGTCAACTGAGAGGGCGAAGACTCGTAAGCGTTTATGAACGGAAGGTTCGAAGAAGAAAAAGAAAGAAGCGACGATTAGGAACGATGTTTGATCCGATTCGACCGGTCATGGAGATGTTTCCCTTATCAAGTGTCTAGACATTCTGCAAAGATTGAGTCATTCCGGAGGAAGAATCATGTCGAATCGTCTGGGAAGGTGGAGCTTGATTCTTGGATCAGCAAAGGAGGGTAACTTGTGATAACATGGGACCAACACCACGGAGCACGAGATACATACCACGAGGATCGAAAGATCGAAAGATCCCCAATCGTTCGAATATTCCCAACATGAGAGATTTCTTCTTTCACATCATCACCAGTCGAAAGGGAGCGCCCTCAACTCGTGTCCGGGTTCCTGCCCATTCCGTCGGCTTTGACTCCGGGTTCCTGTCATGAGGACATGGAGACGATCAGTTTTAGTCATGTCGAGGTGGAGCTACGTGCTCGTGTGTTAAGCATGTTCGTTGGATGATATGGTACCAATTCGAAATGTTAGGCTGATTGGACGACTCTCGAGACCCGGGCTACTTCCAGAACGTGGAAAGAACGTAATCAAGACGGATGACATTGGTCTTGACGATGTCGGTGCGAACTTCTAGATTCAGTTACGAGTACGAGTACCGAAGTCCATGTCATGTCTCGACGCAGTATTGGAGGGACTTGTTTGATTTGAGAGAGGTTGGTCGAGCTCGACACGTCACCGTAGGGATCGTCATGCCGATACGAACCAAAAAGCACAAAGATCCACTTTCATCTGTTTGCTTGCTTCGAGGCAGGGGGCTTATCGGCCTGGACGTGATCGGATCAAGAACGTCTAGGGTGTTCGCTAATAGTAGCGAAGCGGGCGATGACAAGCGTCATAGTTGTTTGGAAAATGATGCGCAGCGTACGCTTGGTCGTCTACTCATTCACGACGTGTTATATCGGTCCAAGGGTGAGGTTTATGTTGCTGGGCTTACATTCAGTCGTGTTGTTTGGGAGAGACGGGATTGATGATGGAGTTGACGGGAATTGCTGACAAGAGGGTAACAAGAACGATACAAAAAAGGATGACAATTGACGAGATGGAATTTGATACTTGATACAGAATAGATGACTCGACTACAACTGTCTCTTCTTCATTATTCTCTCCAAAGCCTTTTCAAGTTTATTGGCTTGAACAGTGTATGTACTCTTCTCACCGTTATATTGTCTACAATTAGAGAATATGAGTTTAGCGTCGGCTACGAAATCTTCAATGGTAGCATAATGATTGTTCTCAAGTTTACTCTCCATAGTTGATAAGTCTGTCATCAGTACCGCTGGCTCTCTCCTCTTCCTCAACTTTACGAGTACGCCATCTTTTTCCACCATCAAAGAAGAGAAATCCAGAAATCCAGAATGTCACGTAAATAGTATGGGAGTTCCGCAACATGTGTGAAACATGTACTGGTATAGTGCAAGAAAGACGGCATGTATCAGAAAAACAAAGGGACAACTCAGAAAGTCAAAGGGAGAACTCACCCATTGGAGTAGTTATCACATCGTAATAATCTTGTACCACATTCCTATCTACAGGTTTTGTGAAAGGCCATGCAGAAGGTTCTTGTTGTAAATCGTTTAAAACATGTTGTAAATAAACATGATGAGGGTTTCTCATAGGTTGTAAGATCATTGCGTCTAAATCGGGATTCCAACCACTTTCAGCTAATCCAGGGACATCTTCTTTTGATAATTTTGTTTGACCGGGTTTCCGTTCTTTGAATATTGTTAAACCTGGATGAACGATGTGGGATCTAGAAATGGTTCGAATCTTTGCTAAAATGGCCTGAAAGTCAGAATGATAATGTGACATTTGAGAGATAAAACAGAAGAGGAGGAAGAAGAAGAAGAAGAAGAACTGACAGCCTTTTGATCCGCTAGCATTTGATGTACCTCTGAATATTTGACTTTTGGTAACATTGAACATTGCATTATAGTTCCACCTTCGTAATCTTTTATATACCCGACCCAACGTTCGCGAGGATAAGCGATTTCTTTTGTAAAGCCTTGTTTTTTGAAATACCCGACGGCGTAATTATCCGCATATGTGAGAAAATGGTTGATAGTTGGATGAGCTTGTCTAACATGATCTTTTAAGGCGTTCATAAGATGAGATCCGTAACCCTATACGTCAACACGTTTAACCCACTGTAACCACTTTCTAATATATCACACAACCAGTCATAAGTTTACCTTTTCGATGTGAGGTTCGGATACCATATCTGTCATTCTGAATGAGTGTTTTATCACCTGAGGGGAGATGGAAATGAATGAGAAACAGTGAGAAAATAAACACACTTTGATTTGCTCCGAACTGTCCACAGCGCAAAAAACTATCTCAGCAAAACCTCTACTCTCAAATGGTCGATAACAAATCCCCCCTACAACTTTCCAACCTCTTTTGACTATAGCCATACTTAGATGATTCTTATCCAATACCAATCGAGTGATATATTCACGAGGCATTTTGGGTAATTGACGTTGGAAAAGGTTCTTGAGACCTATGAGAAGGATGGTAGCTACAGGAGTTGGATTACGAGAAGCGACGACTATAAGCATGATTTCTCTGTTAGCTTCTTCTATAGCTGCTGGTCTAGGAGGCAATTTAGGCTAATGTCAGTTTCGATCCTTTCGTTACTTGAGATGCAAAAGAAGTGAGATATCAAGAAGTGAGATTTTAAGCATTGAGATATTGAAAAATAAAGATGAAGATGTCTCACCAATTCTACTCCTTCCCAAACTTCCACTTGGACACCTTCCGTTGATTCTCCTTGACCATCGTCACCACCTAATCTCCTCACTACTTCATCTTCTCTTTCTTTTTCTCTCTCTTTTGCTGCTTCTCTTCTCCTTCTTTCATTCTCATCCAATTGAGGTCTACTGGCCAAAGGAACTTCCTCCTCTTCCTCTTCCTCTTGGTCTTCAACTTCAACCCCTTCTGGTAGATTTTCCAAAGCACTATCCGGTAATCTACCAGCAGGATGTTGATTTCCATCTGGATCCGTTTCCATAGAAACTAATCCTCTTTGACCTCTGACGACAGTCCGAGGTTTTGTTCCTTTTCCTGGGGCTGAAACAGGTTTCTTACCATGTCGAGGTGAAGTGGGAGATGGTTCTGCTGTGGTTACCGTTCGTTGACGTTTCCGTTTCCTTCCAGATCCGGAGGTTGGTTCTTCTGGTTCGATAACTTCGGAGATTGTACTGCCAGGTGTTGCGACTTCGGGATAAGGTGACGCGGATGAGGAATTTCGTGTGAGATCCAGAGCTGGAGGAAGAGGGGCCATGGGTTTCTTTCCACCTTTTCTAGTTGGAGGGACGAAATGATGGAGTTGTTGAAGGAGGGAAGTGATGGATTCTGGCTGAGGAGTTGGGTAAACGGTGAGAAGGTTTTGGTCCTGAGAAATCAGCTTGTCCTCGCTGACCATTTCATACACCTATGTGTATCCCACTTTCCCTGCTTTGACAGGTACAGTCTATGACGTGCATTGACGGATGTGGGAGGGAAAAATGTGCCAGACTGGTGTAACAATATTAAATGAGATTGCAAAAGAAGTACGAGAACTCGTGATTAAGAGGGGATAATGATGAGAGAGGGAAAGCAGAGAAAGAAAGACCAACAACACACATGTAATAATTCTTCTATTCGTCCTACTACCCTCTCCCTTCTCTTCCTCTCAACTTCATCCAAACCATCAGGTAAACTATGTCCATTATCATCTTCCCATCCATGTCCACAGTTCCCACATTTCAACCACCAACCTTCTTCCGATTTCTCTTCCGTCTTTCTAACACTTTTACTCCTTTTACCTTTCCCTCTACCCTTCCCTCTTTCCCTAGATGTTCTGATAGGTGAATTCTCATCCACATCCATGATCCCATTATCCGAAACTATCACAACGGCTCCTTCTGGTGGTTCCAAACCCTCACAGTCACATCCATCCACTTTACATCTCATGAACCGAGCCAATTTGAACCTCTTCATTCTCTCTGATAATCCTGGTAAATCGTCAGAAGGAGATGGTATGACGTATATGGTCTTCTCTCCTCCAGAAGTACCATCTTGAACTTCTAAACCTGGTGTACCTAAGCCTGATCCACTCTGACCTCCTGGTGTATTCAACCCTCCTGGTGTGTTGAGACCTTCAGGCGTGTCGAAGTTGGGTGTACCACGTGCGGACAGAGAAGCAGTAGGAGAAAGGGATATAGCGGTTTTGATAGGAGATAGGGATGATGATCCTGCTGAAGAGATGGATTGACGGGATATGACAGGTGTACGTGTGGAAGGTTTAGGAGTAGGTCGAGCCGTGGTATTGCGTCTTGCTCGAGGTGGCATCTTAGGGGTCAAAGGGATTTGATGTGTCAAGTATGTCGATATTGCTCTCGAAGGCGACAAGCTTCGGTCACTTCAGATGGGTGATGGAAAGAGTATGATTGATGAGAGATCTCAGAGCTGAACAGAGATTGTAAGGTCAAGGATGCAGATTGAGGATCAACATAGAATGCAGTGGACGTGAAGGATGGGGTAAGGAGGAGCGGAATCAAATTGAATGTGGCGAAAGTACCAAAGTGGCGAAAACCCTCTGGGATCACTTCTTCCACTAAAGCTACTTGTAACACCGTGGAGGGACGGCACGGGATCAATGTGGCTCGGGTTTTCTTACTGGTCGCCAGTATACGGGAACTTTACACTGTACAAGTGGAGGAAAAGTACATATTTGTACTTGTACGTAGTGAGAATAACCCGGGAAAGCATCAATGCCACAGATATCCTTTTCAATACATAGATCGTCAACCTACCATTTTTCACTTCACGTGCAACTTGACAGGGTGCAAAATTGATTTAGTCTTAGGAATCTTCCATGGATTCATGAATTCATGTCAACTGTCATTCACCTACTCTTGCCATTCTCAAATAGGTTCCTTCCTCAAATAGCTCCTCAAATTTCTCCTTCTCTTGAATCATCAACATCTGCAGTATATGTCCTCCTTACCTGTTCAAACTCTGTATAAACCTTTGAGAAAGTTTCCCCAACATCTTTCCACTTCCTTCCATTTGTACAATACTTACTCTGCCACCAAACTTCTTCCATGATTCTATCCAGTTTCTCCTCCTTCATCTCTCCCTTAGACGGAATCTCATACATGTTTGAATCCTCTTCCCTTAATCCTATTCCATTACGTGTTTCATACAGTTTCAAATCGGCCACAAATATAGTCAAACAATGTATGATATCTTCCTTAACTTTATCAGACAATTTATCTCCTAATTCCTCAATAGTCGGGATTACTCTTGTTCTTGATACTTCTTTCAAAGTGGTATAAGAAAGATGAGAATTAACTTGGATTTGAGATTGATGACGATTTTGAATATAGTCTAAAAAATCTTCTAAATAGATTGGAGAATGTGGATCATCGGTTGAATTCTCATCTTCAGTTGAATTGTCATTATCACTTGCAGAGTCATTGGAAGGTGACTCTGAAGAGATATTATCAACAATTTGAACCTCATTAGGAGGACTTTGTTCTGATATATGATCAATCAACGAAGTCGTACTAGAGGGAGTAGAGGAAGAGGAAGTGTTCTGACTGTTATCATAAGAATCATTGATGGATTTTTCTTCTTCTATCAATTTACCTAATGCGCCAGTCATCTTTTCTTTCTCAAGTATGGTAGAGATGATGTTGATGATGGAATATAGAGCTTTGATGGAACCCTCTGAATCGCTATGATTTCTTCTGGTCATCTCTTTCCATTCTTCGTTTGTGGGTAATAGGCTGGTTGTGTATGAACGTGAAGTCGATGAGTTGGTAGTTGAGAGCGACATGGTTGCAAATCTTGTATTTGTTATATGAAGTATGTTATATGAAGTATGTTATATCAAGTCTATGATATGAAGTATGTTGTATGAGATGTAAATAGATTATGTAAAAGTATGTGATATAAAGTATGTGATATAAAGTATGTGATATAAAGTATGTGATATAAAGTATGTGATATAAAGTATGTGATGAGATGTCTGGCAAGTGTTATATATGTGGAAGAAACAATGTGTGAAATGAATCAGTGAGGGGAAAGAGAGAACAAATGACAACTTCCGTCTCATGCCCTCAAAAGCTACATATGTAAAGAAGGCAACACATCCTTTGTTTCATGAGCACATGTGATGAGATACAAGATGAGAGTCAGACTTAATTGAGTGTTTCATCTTCACAACGGAAATCTCAATATCAGTCAAATATCAAATGAAACGCAATACGGAAGTTGCGAAATGATACGCCATACGGATGTTGCGTGAGTAAAGTAAGAGGCTCCGCGAGATGAGACATGATTGAAAGAAGTGAATTACGAATGCTATGATATTCATCAAACCCTTGATAATACTTTGTCGTTACTTGTTTCACCTTCATTTCAGAACCTGTTGGGTCTGACTGTTCAAACTTCTCTTACTATCTTTCACCTTTTTCCTCAATCCCCTATAATCATTCCACCCCTTTTGTGACATCCCTCTCATACAACTCAAACCCGCACCACACGGGAACATCCCTCCCCACGCCTGAAAGCCCAAAGTACTCTTCACAAATCAACTCCTACCTCCATATCACACCAGTGACACAACCACCATATCCGCAAGGAGTGTCGTCCGAGACCCCACCACCTCGATGTAAACCTCGAAGGTAGAGAGTTGATGTCCATACCCCCACACTACTCTCTCCTGACGACCCTCGCATACGAAGGTCCTGTCGGCGCACTCGATACCGCCGCCGCCATGTGAACCTTGGGAGGTCCAATGACAACGTTAGCACTGATGCTCACTTCCCTCAACTTGGCCTCGATCTCCGTTTCTCCTGCTACCACAGGAGCGACAGCGGGGGTTGGTCGGGGTTGTGGAGGTGCCGAGGGATCGAACAAGACAGCTGCCGGTCGGGCGGAGGGAATGCGACGTGGGAAATCCGGATCTTCAGAAGAAATGATGACTTGGGGTGGGACTACTGCAGTTAAGTGAGATGTTGATGAAGTCAATTGAGCTGCTTGAGAAGGATGAGACATGACAGAAACAACCGGAGTCGTCTGTATTATCGTACTGGGCGCTGGTGTCCTTGGCCTGGAAAGAGTAGCAGTTTGAATTTTGGGAGAAGACAAGGGTGATGATGATTGCGTAGGACGACCACTGTTACCATTCCACGCATTCTGCCCCGCACGTATCTTCGCACGCTCCACTTGCATTGGCTCGGCGTTGGTCCCGTTTCTTCCTAAAGGTCCAGACAGAGGTGGGAAATCGGTTTGGCTTGATGCTCCGTTTGGTATCTGAGGGACTTGAAGGGGCAGAGGAGAGGGATAATAAGGTACGTTATTGGCTGCCCAATCTGGTCTTTGAGGAAGGGGGAATTGACCAGGAGCAGGAGGTGCTAGTTGTATGGAATTGGTTCGTCGAGATGAGCGTGATGATGATGCTGTAGTGATAGATGACTGTTCATGAGTTATTGTACCTTTATATATACATCGTTTGAATATGGCAGAAATTCATCGGGTGAAGGTGACGAGTAGGATGGCAATGATAAAGGATGTGATAAAAGAGTCCACTTACAGGACTATGCCCTCTTGTACTCCGTCTGTCGCTATGAACTAAACTCGTCATTCCATTGATACCCGATTTACCCCCCTGTCTTAACCCATTCATCGGATATCTTTGTCCGAATCGTATACTACTCGTCGCGCTCCGTGTGCTCGTGGTGGATCCTCTGGAATGAGGACGTGATCCATCCGGGTATGATTGATACGACACGCTGGATATAGACGAAGCGGACGACGAATGGGGGAAGATGCCGGGACGATGTGGCACAGGCTGAGCCAAGCCGCCTCCGTTGGTCATGCTGGGCCTTGCCACAGGTAGTGTCCTTGAGTTATAGCTCTGGCTGGGAGGATAAGGGAACGGTTGTGGATAAGCTGGCATACCTTGTGGTATCATTGGCATTCTCGGTGGTATCCCCACGGCATTGGGAGGTTGAGGACCGAGGTAGACCCAACCTGGTGGTGGCATGGCCATATGTTCCGGAATCATCGGATGAGGCGGGGCATGATTATGGTATTGAGATGGTGGTTGGGTCGGCCAGTCTGATGGTGCATATTGCGGCTGCGTGGATGGACCGATATATGTTGAAGAGCCCTCGGAATATTGAGCGGAGGGACCGTATGGAATAGGACCCATGGGTGCCATTTGTGGGGTGGGATATCCGCTCTCATCTGGATATCCTTGTGGCCCTATGGTTCGAGGAGGACAATAGACGAATTGCGTCGGGTGTTGATTGGGATGATACATATAGCCTGCGTAAGCTTGTTGAGGTGCTTGACGTTGAGGAACGGGCTGAGACTCTGATTTGACAGGGTGGAATATTGATGCGTACACAGGTTCACCCGATGCGTTATATGGGGAGCTAGGTTCACCGGCGTATAAATGTCGAGGGACAGGGTCAAATTCGTCATCCATTCCTTGCTTGACCGAACCGTTGATTTCATTACCACCTCCATTGGCATTTGAAATTCCCGTTTTGGAAGGGTCGGAGCCTGAGCCATATATTCTCTGCCGAGCCAAAGCGTAAGCAAGCTCTCGCTCTTCCAGGGTCTTTTTCTTCATAGCCTGAGCTTGCGCAGAGGACTCGGCTGAGAATTCTGTTGAGGAACCGCGATGACCGTCGTTGACGTTATCGTTTGCTCGTTGCATTATCTTGAATTTCTGAGTGGGCGATGGAGGTTTAGGAACCATTTCGGCGAGTCTCAGAGAGTGGCTACAATCAGCCCAGACTTTTCTTCCAGCAGTAGCATCCACAAATGAGTCTCGTCATGAGTGATAGAAGTCATAGAGCACAGAGAGTCTTCAAGGAGGGAAGGTGTAAGGTGATTGGAACTCACGCTTTCTCACTCAAATTCCCTTGAACACCTACAACCATCTTCTCTTCCGCGCCAGGACATGCTTTGAGACCATACCATTCCGCCGTCTTATAAACCAGCATCCTCTGAAACTTGCTTCCTGGTGTGCTACCGAGTTGAAAGCTCGGACCCAATGTAGCAGCCAATGACCCGCCCGCACCGCCGGGAATCATCTGCACTGCCGCAGCACTGGCGCCCGAAGTTTTCAGCAGAGCGAGAAACGATTCGACCTCTCTTGCAATGACGAGAAGGAAGAGACGATCTTTGCTGAGGAGTGCATTACGGAGCTGAATCTCGTCTCGTAGCGCGCAGAGTCCCACTTCTGCGGGAGCTAAATTGTCGAGGACCTGAGCGCGATCAGAAGCAGCTGTAGAGTCCGGCGCGACGGGATCAGAGGAAAGGGAAGTGGGTGGTGAAGGGGAAGATGAACGTTGTGAGGGTGTAGTGAGGTTTGTGAGACTCGAACGATTTGAAGATGAGTCGGGCATTGGTGTCAAGCGACTAAAAGTGAGTTTGACTATATATTACACGAAAACTTTGGTCGAAAACACCTATCGACAGGGTGAAGATGAGGGAAATAGTGGATTGGGAGTTAAAGCAAGTGATCAGATACCCAGAGGTGGCAAACGCAGGTAATTCGGAGTACACGAACAAAGTAGGTGATTGATGTGTGACGTGGGGAGAACAGGAGAATAAGTAGTTGAGATGAAGAAAAAACTCACCCATCCATATCACCCTCATTGTCAATATCAACATCGTCATCTCTCGTAACTTCCTCATTTGAAAGTCTGTCAAGCTTCACCTTTTCCATATGACCAACACGCGCACCGATAGAGATCTTTTCAGGAAGAGATAATCCTTCTATAGGTATATCCAATTTGATAGCTTTTGCTTTTGGGGTATGTGGAACAGGAGAGGATGATGGAGGAGGAGGAGGAAGAGGAGGAGGAGCAGGTATTGGCATTGTTTTTTCCTATGTGTGTTTCTCACGCGTCGGAGTTGAACATGTACCAAAGCGGTGTGAAAGGCTGTGTATACGATGAGAGTTTGATAACGCGAAAAATTGAGTCTGTTCCAGATAAGCACTATGAATCTTTTGTTAGAAGTGGGATAGAGATAAGAGGAAGAAAGGGTGTGAGGTTTGAGATGAATGAGATGATCAGTCAGAGCTGAATTATTTACTCTTTCTTCACTTGGAGAAGGGTGAATTGTGGGTTCTTCTGATTAGAGATGGAGAGTATTGCGATGTGAGTGATATGAATTGGTAGGTAAGATGACAATGATGATAAAGGTCAGAGGACAAGGAAAAGTCATGAACAAGGGTGAGGAACATGATGTCTTGTAAGAGGGATCAAAGGGTTTCAGAGTGGTGAAAGGAGGGTTTTGAGACTCACCAAGCGTCGGTCGTCGGTTATTCGGATTATAATTCGGCTTTGATTGTAGGGGGTGTGAGAGGGGAGGTTCCTAGTATCCTGAGAGAGATGAAGTAAACTTTGGATGTGAAGAGGTGGTGTGGAAGAGGAGAAAGAGGGATGATAAATGATGAGAAGGGAGGGGACGAGTGTGTGACGTGATAGGCAGTCACAGTAGTTACTGCAGACCTGACAACTGTCACGCTCAGTCACGCTCTGAATAGATGGCTCGTCGATCTGTTCGCTATATCGAGGTAGAAGGTGGAGGTAAGAGAAGTATGATAAGGTGTATGGGTTATGGACGAAAGGGGGAAAGTGCAAAGTGTGACGAGAAGCAGAAAAGTGAGTGCCGGTTGGGGGAGTCGTAATTTATTTCCACTTGCAACTGCGATGCGCGTTTGCCGGTACAAGTATACTACTACTACACAACCTACGCTGCTATGCAACGGTGCAACCATTCGTCCGTTATCAAAACCTGCATCATGGACTTTACATCGTAGACCAGGTATACAAGACCTTGCCTCAATGTCCTTTTCAAAGTACAAACTAATCAAGTGTCCAATCATGATCAAGCGACAGTTCGCAAGATTCTCCTACTTCTACGAGGTTCTCCCGCTGGCTTCGCATTCTCTTTTCCTCGTGAAGATCGAGCCTCCAGGCGAGTTTTGATCGGCGAGACAGGGGTGAACATGTCATTTAGGTGTTTGTCATCCTCCTCACCCTCATCAAAAAATGATCCTTTGGTCTTGATCTGCGGTTTGGAAGGAGAGATGAATAAATTGCCCTGACCGGGTGAAGAAGGAACAGATGTTTTTGGTGCTGATGCTTTGGGTGTAATCCTCGATTTGGTTTTCTTCGTTGGAGATCCCTGAGAAGTTGTCGGTCGTCGTTTCTCTGGTGAGACGGGGGTGGGCGGAGCGGGACGATTGAGGATCCTCGAAGGGGCTGGAGAAAGAGGAAGGGGTTTGATTGATTTGACCTTTTTGATCACCTTTGGACGGGGTGGGGTAGGTAAGGCTTCTTGAGAAGCGGGAGGTGTAGGTAATTGATCATTGTTGAGTTCCTCCCCATCTTGTGAATTTGACTTTGCTTTTGTTGGCTTTTGTGGTTTATCTGTCGTATCAGCTTGTTTCCGTCTGCAGTCCATGTGATAACCCGTCTCAAAAGTAATCCTCAGGACGGAAAGAGTGTAGAGTAGACGAGTATGAACAGCAACCGATCTCAACTGGTCATACACAGATAAACAAAATTGAAAATAGAGGATTGAGCACTTGTATGACTCACCCTTGACAGAATTCTTCCCAATCCCACCAAAAACAACCTCTCCATCCAAATTCATTTGCATCTCCCAATCACCCGGTCGAATCTTTTTCCACTCTTCTTCCACTTTCTGAACCCATTTATCCGTTTCTCCTTGAATATGTACATCTATGATACCTTGCCATTCCTTACTCGGAGCGGTCTGATTGATAAATATCACTTTCCCATTTCTCCCATGAACTACCTTTGCGAATTCTTTCACTAATCTTTTGAGACCGTGAACTTTGAGAGAAGTACCCATGATGAGTAATAAATCTGGGGAACGAGACATGTCGTATGTTTGTAATTGACCGATATCATCACCGAGAGGATGAGGTTCGTCGTAGAGTACTATACTTGGACGTAGAGTACCGATAGGTGTTAAACGAGCGTTTCGAGATATTCTTTCTTCACCTGGAAATCAGCTTGACACGTTGATGAATAGAAAGTAGAAAGATCAAAGATTGAAAAAAAAAACTCACATCTATCTTGACAAGTTGGACAATCCGGTGCATCACCATCTCTGAACATTTTCACCCATTCTTCCCTCGTTTCATAATCTTTCCAACAAACAACACATCTAACCCTTCCTAAATCCCCATGTAACTCAACATTCTTAGTTTCTTTCTTTTTCAAACCTTTCCCTCTTCCTCCACTTTCTAAACCTAATCGTCTTTCTAATCCATCAACGTTCTGAGTGTAAGATCTCAATAACTTTCCTTTCGTTTCTAATCGAGCGATGAAATGATGGGTTTTGGTAGGTTGAGCAGCTTGACATTGAAGTGATAATTCAGCTATGAAAGTGTAAAAGATTGAAGATGTTGAAGGGTTGAGAAATAGGGAAGATGAGAATAATTCTTTGCCTGATACTACTTGATCGGGATATTTAGCTTTCACGAGGGAATAGAGTCCTTGTGGGGAACGGAAGTCCTAGTTGGTCAGTAGAAATTCACAACATACGATTCCAATTCGTTAGACGAGGTATTGTATGTTGTGTATATCGCAAAGGCACTAACGGCGAAACCTTCATATTGGAAATCTAAGGTTTTTCCAGAAAGCATGAAGAGATGAATGAACATCATGAGGGAGATGAAAACTTGTTTGTTTGTGAATGAAGATGAGAAAACTAACGGGTATACCACTAGAACAACTTATTCCAGCTCCACTAACTACCACAATCCTCCTCGCTTTGATCACGCTCAACGAAACGTCTGATAAAGCTCTTCTCCCTGAGAAATCTTCATGAGAAGTGGAAGAGAGTAAATGGGCAAGGTCAAGAGTTGTTGGCATCGTTCTGGGTGTTCATCCAACCCTTGATCGTTTCTGACTCGGAGGGATGTTGATAGTCGACTTGATCGATGTTCGTGGTCCGTACCGTATGAGAGGGAGAGCTACAAGAGAAGCAAAGCACCCAGATCCGAATGCAAGATGGATGAAAAGCACTTGAATCGAAAGAAAGAAAGATGGATGGGAAGAAGAGTGGAATAGATACTGTTTGGGGTGGCTTGAAAGACAGCCGCGTCGGAACCAAACACTTCAAACTCGTTTAAGTTTTACTATGTTCGATTTTAGAGGGCTTTCTCTCCATAATACATGCATACGATAACCACTGGAAAACATTCGGATGCTAATATGCCATATCTTGATATGGAACAAGCTACAATAAAAGCATGAGGATGTATAACGAAGTGAGTGCATGATTTCATACGCGGTGGGATTGGTGGGGGGTGGCATGTGGCATGTGGCAAGTGGCAGAATGGTCATCAAGGAAAAGGTGATACTCGGTTTACCAATTAATCCATTGACCGAATCAGAGCCGTTTGTCGTACCGGAGCAACTGCGCCCCATACCTGCCTTCGAGTCTTCTCTGAGTGCCTCATACAGATAAGAAACGGGGGAAGGGAAGATCAACGTTTCAAACGGACGATTGAATATACGCACGGAAGGCTCAAATGTGGCCCTTGTACCGGTCAATGCAGAGTCATGGAAAAGTTGGTCACACTCTCATTGCTTATCGAGCTTTACCTTCTATAGTAGAACGGAGGAGGGATGTAGAATTAGTCCCACAAGTGACCAAAACTCCTCATCATCATGCATTCCTACGTGATTCTATGGCTACACAGTCTGATTGGCAGTTAAGGGGCAGGGTCTTACTGTGGCTCCCCATTATCTGTTTTGCCATCGCTGTAACCTTTCAGACCGAGCGTGTGGTTTGTCCATTCCGCTACGTTTTGAATTTTCTAGGTGTTTTGAGGTTGAACCAGAGACCAGGCAAATGTGATTCTACAGCCGTAGCAAGGTCTCCTCCAAATGCCCCCCTCAGTCTGTCCAATAGTTTGTTCCTGCCTGAACTTTCCTTGGAGAGAAGATTGCGGGACCAAGAGTCGGATTCAGGCACTGGCAAAGGTTGATCGATTTGTTTTTGCCAAATAGGTCCCCAGGTCGGTAACCAATGCTGGTGATGTCCTATGTAGATTCCTGCTATACGGCAATGCATTACCTCAAGGGCCTGGATCACATTTCGAGAGTCTTTGCTGTCCAAACCCTCATGGGTGAGAGTTGTAACAAAAGGCTTTAAATGGTCTTGTGACACTTCCTTCATGTCAATGGGATGTCGTAAAACATGCTGTTGTGTCCAACAAATTATTACAGTCTTATCTTCCACCTCAAAATCAACCGCGCTAAAGATTGAGAGCTCAAAATTACTTGATTCAGCCGGAGGTCCAAATTGTAGCTTCCTTGGGATATCAACCTGAGATATGAGCAAACATCTTTGTTTGGAAACACTGTCTTCAAAGGAATTTACACACCCATGTTTCAATGAACAACTCCTGAGGCTCATCGTTCACCACCGTCGTGACTGACGTCCGCTCAAATCGTATAGGTTTGTCCTCGGAGGGGCAAAGTGTTGAGCTTCGGGATCGTATGCTATCACCAGAAATGGTCCGAGAGTCCTCATCATTCTTTCCTTGGCTTGTTTTGGCACTGTCCATCTTTTCCAACCCATCTGACACTACAGTGTGCAACTCCCCGTTGTGACTTATAACATCAGAAAATGACTCATCTACTAATGTTGAAGTACTGGGGAAGCCTTTGACCACTCCTTCGCCGAAGTGGTTGCCCGACAACATCACACTAAAGTCTTGCTCTTCTGATCTCTTTATGTGTAGGAAGTAAGTGTTGTGTTCAGGTTGACGATGATCTGCGTATTTAGATGTAGTTGGTTCAGTGTGGGGAAAAAAACTCAGAAGAGATGATAGAGGGTTGACTACTTCTATACATTTCTGAATCTGTCAAACTGTGAGAGGCTGTGTTTGTTAACAGCTATGCAAAAGTGGGAATCCCCCAATTGCATCCATGCTGGTTGTCCTATTTCCAACACTCCCCCTCAAGCAGTACGGATGCTAAGTACCACAGGGTGGACTCGAACCCTGGACTTTTTCCTGCATCACTCCCCCTGCTTGGCTGTCCCTTCCTCGTACACAGAGGTAGGCTCCGACTGTTAATCTGATTGCTGATAATTAGATGATAATGCAGAGGGGGAAAAGAGCATGCATCAATTCTACATGTCTCTATACTTGTCACATTCCACTCACACGCAGTAAACCAGAGACGATCGGATAAAGTTCAGAGGATAACTTGAACAGAGAAATATTCGACGGAAGGGGTAATTATCTAACGGCGGTTCGGCCGTCCTGGCCCGATTCTATCGGCTAACAGTGTTGTCAACCTTTGTTCATCATCATAGCCTTTCACATAAGCTTCAGTCTCTTGTGAGCAGGACAAAGAAGCTTGAGTATCTCATTTGACAAAGGTGGAATGGACAACCTTCACCGGGCATTTTAGCGGGTGGGTTTCTCTGACCCCACCCCCGGAACGATACGGTGGTGACAAATCAACAGGGGCTAAATGCTGAACGAATACCACACGCACCTGGACAGGGACGCGGTCCGAGTGTAGTAAGTCAATGATCAAATGAGCGGAAAAATTCGATACAACATGCATTCTCAACAGGATGTGTAGATCGAGGTCCTCACGATATTTACTCCCTTTCTTCTTCATCCCCACCCCCTTCAACTTCGTCCTCTGGTACTGTATGCAACAAAGATAACATGTCTTGTTTAGCAGCTTCGAACAATGCTCGTTCTCTACTCCAATCTTTGTCCGGATTGAACCCTGCGGATTTCTGAAGATAGGCGATATCTAAGAGTTAGAGATGTGCCATCGAAGGATATCCGTCGGTATAGGAGGTTGGAGGAAGATGGGGAGTGTGGATATATGATTGACATTGGAAAGTCGGATGAGGAACTCACCCATGGGTTTTCGATGTAAGATAGCTTGGGTCATTTTCTCTGGATTCTCCTTATTCTCCCTTACGCCTTTCCTCCGAAGTTGTTGGACTGTTCGGAAAGGGAAGTATGCCTTCATCACCGTGTAATTCTCCCCCGTCTCGCCGAGCACCTGAAGGTTAGCGAGAGCATGAGAGTGAGGCACTATCAACGGACAATCTTTCCGTTACAATGTGTATGCCGGAGTACAAGAAGGGTACAAAGACAGGAGGAAGTTCGAATGGGGAAAGTGTCAACGGCAAGTTCTAGGTTCTTCCATATCATCCCGCTCCACTCTTTGTTCGCTACTGTCACAGCACAAAAGGCTCAAAGGTAGGATGACCGGGTGACAATAACGCTGGTGAGGGATGGTGAAGATAAGGTTAAACGACGTTGAAATGAGCAACTCGCCTGGAAGAAGAACTCCGTTTCCCACTGTAGCCACCTCTCGTTCGAACTATGTTTCTTGGAAAAACTAGCAGAATTGATCATCCTCGTTTCATCGTCTTCCTCCATCACCTCTCTCCCAGTATCTTCCAACAACCGTCTTCTCTGTTCTTCCTGTCTTTCTCGCCATTCTTCCAGATGATTCCCATCTTCATCCTCTTCTTCATCCCCCTCGTCGCCTTCTTCCCGTTCCTGAGCTAATATGTTGAATCCAGCTCGTGCAAGAGCAGCCAAGGCTTCGTCTCCCTCTTCTCCTCCCTCAACTATACCTTCCCGTTCACCGTCCTGCTGTGAAATACCATCCTGCTCTCCTACCGGTCTTCTATCAACCACAGCTTCTTCGTCATCTTCCTGCTCTCCTTCGACCTCTGCATCATCTCCTTCCGCCGCCGCCGCATTTTCCTCATCTCCTGCTTCCTCTACTTGATCATTATCTCCCTCATCCTCTGCTTGTTCCTGCTCCTGCTCCACCTCCGGATCTGGAGTACTAGGCGGAGTCAATCGATCCGGTCGAACCTCATACTCTTCCTCCGAGTCATCTTCATCCACTGAAACGTTCCCTTGATCAAATCCCATCTGACCCAATTCGATCCTTCTCCTCGCCCGATCAGCATTTTTCATAGCTCTCAGCTTTCTCCTCTGTATCTGTTTCTCCCTCCATCTATCTTCTTGTCTCGCTGCAGTCTGCCGCTTCTTCCTCGCATCTTCCTCCTGAGCATGTATCCAAAGACGGATTCCTCTTTGAGATACTTTCCCACTCCCTGCTTTTGGATCTTGGGCCAAGTCTGCCATTGTCACAATGCTGGGATCGATGGCTTCTCCGAGCATTTCGTCTGGCGTGGCAACATTCATCTGTGACGTAGGGAGTTCCTCTCTCCTGATCCGTTTCCGTCTCCGCGGGTCTTTTTTCGATCTACGAGATTGAACATTGCGAGAGGCAGTAGATGGTTGAGGAGTAACACCATAGGTTTCATCATCGAGGTGAGAAGCTTCGCCCGATGATTCGGAACCGTTCAATTTTTCATGTTCACCCTCCTCGGGAGTTTGCGGTCGTGGAACAGCTCTTCGTCTCGCCGATATTCGTTTGGGAGGTGGCATCTTCCTGACTCTTGTGGAACTTTCTCCATTTTCCTGATCATCTTCTTGTCCACGCCCAGCAGTCCCACGTTTGGTCCGCTTCTTTGGCGGAGGGACTATATCTCGTATACTAGCCACTGCCGCCGCTGCCAATGTAGCCGGGTCAAGTTCATCATCTTCGCCTTCCACCCCTGAATGTTCAGAGCCAAATGTGCGCACTACAGGTGGTACTCCAAAGAACAATGGTTCAGACTCGGGAGTTGCAGCCATCACTTGAGGAGGTAAACCAGAAGCAGGTGACGCCGGCGTAGCCTGAACCCTCGGAATAAAACTCGGAACAGGGGTCATAGACATGCGTGATGGTGCTCTTGACGGTGGTGGTGGCGGACGAGGGGGTGGGACAGGAGTGACAGAAGCTCTGGCAGATCGAGAGGCTAGAGCTGACAGCGGTCCTGGTGAGGCGGCGGCAGCAGCAATAAGAGCCGGAACGCCGGAGTATTGAGAGACAGGGGCAGGAGTGACGGACCTTCTGGCAGAAGGGGGTTGAGGAGTAGTGTGAGGGGTGGCCTTGAGGTAAGTTCGGAGGCCTTGAGCTGGCGTTGAACCTCGGTTGGGAACTCTGGAGGGCAGATCACGGGATGGAGTCGAGGCCGTTTGTATTGGAAATTGAGGTGCGACCACAGGAAGGGTAGGTGGTTCGGCGCCAACAGAGGGTATAATAGTCATCCCAGTCTGGTTTGAGACCTCGGTGATGGTTGTCGGAGCTACATCTTCGGTCGGAATGACGGAAGGTATCGCACCATCTGCGGATGAGGTAGGTAATGGCGCTGAGAGTATGGGAGTGGGTAGAGAGGTGGATGGGCCAGCTTGAAGCGCAGGTGTAGCGGCTTGAGAGGAAGGGGTTGCTGCAGGTCTAAAGACGTTCTTGTTCTTTACAGGGGCAAACTTCCTCTGACTCGCTGTTCATCAGTCCAAGAGACGACCAGGAGAGTATAGCAAAAGAGTGACTCACGTAGCCGGGTCGCCATGATGACTCAATATCCGCTACCGCTGTGGACCTTCCCCTCTGCTCACCTCGCTAATGGTGAATAAACTCTCCTTAGTCGTCGCACCAGCTTGATAATGAAATGTTTGATGTCTTGTAAAAGCAACAACGTTATAAACAGTCGAAAATCACTGCGGTTAGCACTCCACTCGTAAGGATCGCTCCATCTGGCGCGCCTACATTCCCCCGTGATGGCCCTGAGAAAGCGCGCGCCTATCTCTTTCACTAATCTCCGATGCAATTGGTGATGGTACTTACTTAGACTTTGACAACGCCATTCATCACAAAACATCATGCTCCGCTCTTCCCTCTTACGAACTGTCCGCCCGGTAAGATGTAGCCCTATGACAGCGGCGAGAAGGTGTGCTTCGACCCACGAACCGACCGTCTCCTCCGGTCCCGGTAATTCGATGGGGATCGATGCTCCGTTACCTCCAGGAGAAGAGATAGACCCTCAGTGTGGGTGTCTTCTCACTTTCCTTTATCCATCACATTCTTCACATCTCTGCTATCGTATCATTCTAGTATAGCAGGCTCTGCCATCACGTATACATCGACCCTCATCTACGTCTCACAAGCGAGTAAGGGAAGTAGGAATGACAGGCAAAATTCCGCGGATGAATGAAGCCTCAGTCTGTCCATCGATACTTACTGATCAACAGTGAATGGATATCCTCAATTACCCTATGTCTCTCTACAGTCTCGCTCACCTTTTGGATGGTGGGATCAACAAGAACGAAAGAATTTCGGGGAAGTGGTGAGGACTTCTGTTTCCTCTTTGCAACCACCTCTCTTTTCTTCCCTCTCTTCCTCCTCTCACAACACTCGTATACGGACTTCATGTAAGAAGTGTTCCAAATGCTAATGATAGGTACATGAAGAAGAAGATCGTTTGGGAATGTGGGGTCCTGACGTCCATCGAATTTCTGGAGGGAGCGCTCTCATGCAGGTAAGTTCGGTGCTATCCTTTCTTCCTGTCAACTATGTCCCTGCTTCTGCTGCTTCGGTATATCAAGAAAGGGAAGAGGGTTCTAGACCCTCCATTACGTCAGGATATGATTGAGCAATGGAAATTGATTAGCAGCTCGGACTAGCTTTCTCCCTCATCGGTTTATTCGCATATGGTCTTTCTGTCACTCGTCCTCAACGTCCAGTCGCTCAGCGTACATACCCTTACGGCGGTCTGGCGGTCGAGTTGGGTGGGAACGCCATCGCCCGCGCGGAGGAAGACGGTATGGATGAGTGACCGTTCATTCTCTGTTTGAGAACCATGGGGAAGAAGGTATGCATGGATCTTCACATGACGTCGACGAGGTCCAGACTCAAAGGCCTCGAATTTCATGATACGTCCTTCTCTCCCTTCCAAGTCCAGACTTTCTCTCACACTTCTTCTCAATTCAGTAATAAGATTACAGCCAGGCCTAGACTTGCCAATCTACCTGCTAGATGTGATCTTGCACAGGATTCGATGACATGTATGTCAAGAGAGTTTCTCTCCCTCTTGACATCTCAGGGGCTTCTAATAGGAACTACCTCTGTCTAGGTCCTGCCTCTCAAGACTTATAAAGGTTTCAACACCCCACTCATTATTCTTCATTCTTCATTCTTTATTCTTCATTTACCACTCTTCACACTTTGAACTTTACACTTCACACCCAATCTTCAATTGTTGACTCACAACCACTTGCAAACTAGAATATGCCCTGGCTTACCCGAAGACCCAATGACCCAGTGAGCTTGGCCGAAGATCGTGGAACGGCTGAGGGTGAAGTTCGAACATTTGCAGAAACCATCTTCTGTTGTATGGACATACTCGGGGCTATCATGGGAGAGTCTATGCCTATGCCTAATACGCAAAATGAGGCCTTACAAAGGATTAACATGAATTGCGCAATCACGATTGCAGAACTATCATCGGCCGCCAACACTGTCTATCGACCCCAGCAGAATACGTCGCCGGAGGATATCAAATCAGCCAAGAATTTGCTTTGGTATTCAACAACCGAGCCATATCTCGAGTCTCTGAATCATATGAGAAAAGTGGGGCAAGCAGCCTTCCCACGGCTTACAAGCGTAGAAATGACTTCAGATGTGCGAACCCGTGGTCAAATCTATGCAACCTTGTTCCAGTCTTCAGCTCATCTTGCAATTGTCTTGATGACAAAAGCTGCAAATGACTATCCGGATCCATCAGCATTGTAGGTACAAGTGCAATCCAAATGGATGGATCATGCTGACATCTCCAGGGGAAGAGACTTTTCGACCAAAATCAAAAACACCTGGTCCTGGATCAAACGTAGAGATTATAGTCAAAACTTTCGGGATATATATCTGCGAAGCGCTAGACTAACTCAAGAAAAGCTCGACCTTTTTTACCCCGAGGATCCTGATTTTGATCCAGCTGGCCTGGCGAGGCAGCCAAGAGACCTTTCCTCCGATTGGATGCATTTGGTTGTGAACGCTTTGGTCACAGGGCCAGAGGCCGTCCCTCCAAGCGCAGTGGGACCCCCCCGGGACATCACCCAATCTGTTATTCCACCCAACATTTCTGTCCATGCCGCCGCCTCGGACACAAGCTCTGTGCGTTCCGAACATGTCGGAGCATGATGTGAGAACTTGCCTTTGAAATCCTGTCATGCACACCACATGACTCGATTCCCACAACACAAGTATGATGACGGAACGATAGGAATCAATGATGATAGCATGATGCATGGAACGATGATGAGAGCGATCAAACACTAACTCTTTGTCTCTTTGCCCTTTCCACCCTTTCCCATTCCTCTGCCTCCCGTACCAATCTACACCTTTCTTCTCTCACCATCCCCACATCAAACCCACCCCAATTGTCCCCCGCTACCATCGAATGATCTTCCCAGCCTGCTCCCACACCCATATCCCACATTCTCGTTTCCGATCGAGTAGACAATGGTCCGAACTGTTCCCCACTCGTGGACAATAAGTTTAGTTCTCCGTTCGAACTCCAATTCCAGACTTCACCCATAGGCCAGACTCCGCCGGGTGGATATGAATTCACAAAGTCGTATTCGATACTTGTCAATCCGGTCATTTGGACGCCAGATGGGGGGTATTGGGTTTGATCGAGAGTGGGATATGGAGCGAGACGAGTGAGGGTAGCGGTGGTCGGTTGGGTATGAAGTGGGATATGAGGTGTATGAGTATGAGGCTGAGGATAAGTTGGTGAACATTCTCTCTTGGAACGTGACATTCTTTTCGTAACCGTCCTTTGTCTGGATCCAATAAGGCCGAACAAGAAGATGAAAAAGATCTCGATGAATGACATTGTTCCTTGTGATGTGTCAGAATAAACTCACCTCGTACGCCGCTTGAACGACACCTTCCGACCAAGGAAGTCTTCCATTCCTTCTATTTTCCTCCTCTGGAGTTTGAACGATAATGGTTCCCGCACCATCCGGAACTGGTCTCACCGCTTCCATGATTATATCTCCCTCCACGTTCCCACCCTCTTGTTTGGTGGTCTCTTCGTCACCTACCTTATTTCCCCCTTCCTCCGTCCTTTTCGCCTGCACCAACCTCGGCCTCGTTGACTGGCCCAGACCACCATATAACCCCGCCCACACCCAAGGTCGTGCATCATCACCTTCCAACACCGACAATCTCTCCTGTCTATATCCTCTCAACGTTTCGTCAAGTGCTCTGCTTTCCTCTGCATACCTCAAAATCCAATCTTCTTCCGTCACTTCCATTCCGCGCAACTTGGCACGTTTATTACCCATCCCGGCATCAGTCCAAGGGTCCAAACCAGCGGTACCGAATTGGGTTGTAGGACCCCCAAGAGTGTAGACTGGTGCAAGAGAAACATTCGATCTTGTTGGGTACTCAGAGATAGGAGGACGATTGTGATGACCTGAAGTAAGAGCGTTTGACAGGATTTCATCTTCGTGTACTGGACCGTAGGGCGTGAAACCACTTTGAGCACATTTGGTGAGAGCTTCTTCTTCGTAATAATCGTCTGTGACCCATTTACCGTCTATTCTCAGTATACTCTTCAATTCACCAAGTGGAGATTTTGAAATTACTCACCCTTGATCAGTCTCGCACCCATCACCTTGAATGTATTCCGCATACACACCATGGTGACCATACGATGTTTCAGATTTCCAGACACGCGTCCAATATCTATCAACATCTGCCGTTCTTCCTCTTTGCATGACAACTTGAGTAGCAGGGGACATCTTCGGAGGAAAGCGAGCGAGTCAACGTAACCGCATGCGCGAGCGACATCGATTGTTAGACCGTAAAGACGATTGGGATTACGTCGATATGGGGAAGTGAAAGTGACGATTTTGTATTCTCGGCCTGTGCTTCAGTGCACGATCTAATGTTTGCTCATGATCCCTTTGCACTTTGCCGATGTACAAAGAGGATCCAAGAATTATGCAATGCGAGAGGGCCATGAGGAGTAGGCGATAATGAAAGACACCTACCGCCTAACAGTCTCCCTTCTAAATCAATTTTCGCATCACCCTTCACGTCATCCGGCAGGACCAACTCGTCATCTCCCACTGTATATTCCTTCCCTTTGAGAGTCATACTACTTCCAACTTCGAAAGTCTCCACATTCGGTCTCTGCTCCCTCCTCCCTCCGCCTGCAGCTTTGACTCTGCGAGGAGTATCGCCATCCGAATCTTCTCCCCTCTCTGCCTTCTCCCTACGTACTTTGTCCCACCTGGCCCTAGCGGCAGCTGCCGCGGCGCCCTTGACGCTGAAGCCACCTCTTCCTGACCCTATACGCTCGATGGTCTTGGGTGGGGGCGTATTGTCAGACTCTCCATCTGCGGATTTCCTGCTGCGACGAGGTGAGGGCGCGGGGACCTCTGACAAGCGTGCTGAGCCTCGCTGTCGAGAACGGGTCGGTTCCACTGTGTAAGTTAGTCAAATATACCTCGTCCAAAATTGAATTAACTCACGTTCTGGAGGTACAGACATGGATAAAGATGTATCCGCGTCATCATCTATAGGTACTTCTTTGTAGCTTACAGATTTTTTCAACTTTGACCGTCTCGTACTGCGACCTTCGGTGACATCTTCTTCACCGCTATCCAGCTTGATCTCGTTGACTCGTCCTCGGGTTCGCTGTTTGCGTTCGTCGATCACGTCGGGCGTGATCTCTGGGTTCTCTTCTTCCCCTACCGCATCGTCGGTTTCCCCCTCTGCGTCTTCATCAAGCAAGACAGGAGCTTCGATTTTCGTCGTTCTTCTTGTGTTTCGTCGGGTGCCAGTGGATAAGGCTTCCGGTGTAGGTAAAGCCCCTACCAGAGGAGTATTCCTAGACGCCCTAGAACGTGTAGAGCTCATTGCTTTTTTGGACTGACAAGTGAAGTCGTTTCTATAGCCGATGTATGTCGGTGACGTTTGAGCGTTATCAGCTGGAGACGGCACTTAAGCCACGTCAGAGGTTTGCCGTAGAGTACGACGCGGTCCGAGCGTGACGCCGATCAGGACTAGGTCCACGGTCCCACCCGACTGCGCCCGTCCCTGAGATTACTTACGATCAGGGTTCCGTGCTTTTGCCCATGTTCTTTCTTGGCAACGACGCACGCGTTGGTTCATTGTTCGAGACATGTTTTTCCAAGGTTTCAACAGCAGCAGCCATGACAGAGACAAGCTTCACAGGAACGGAATCTACTGACGTTGTTACTCTCCTATTTCATCTCAAACTCGATGGACCCAAATTTGAAACAACAAACCCTCGGATCTTTCAAAGTGACTGGAACGCTCATTTGTTACTCTTCCCCTTGTTCAATAGCTTCCTTTTGATAGTTCTGACCCCTTTCAGCAAGTCTTGATCTCGATTTCTTCTTCGTTCACTCTTCCTCCTACAACCCACTAGCAGTACGACATTCGACTGAATTCGCTCTTTTGCACAGCCCGATCTTTACTCGATTCAACTGGACAAACGCTCAACGTCTACCACGTTTGTCAATTTTGGCACGACTCAAACCTGCCGCAATCCACACACCTTCCTTTTAACCAACCTCCGCCTGGCTTGCGGATCAAAGGAACGACTTTGCGGCTCACCATCATAGACTCATTGACCCCGTGCAACCCTTAGACCGTCAAATCTCACTTTCGATAAATCCTCACAACCTCGACTCTTCACCCGTGGCCAAGTCTTGGCGTGGGCTAGCTTAGTGGATAGACTGCATGTTGTAAGACATCAATATCGAAGACTAAGACCAGGGCTTTTTGCCTGATACTCTCTGTCGATCCTTGAATACCACTCCGACTCCGCTCGATAAGTTGAACAGGACGAGTCCGTCTACGACGGTCTCTTGCGTGCATCCCTACCAACTCCTCTCGACTCGCCCAACCCGTCAAACACGATGACATCCCTCGCTCTCCTAACCCTTGCTCTCTTAACCCTTCGTTCAGTCTCTTCACTCTCATTATGGTACACCGAGCCAGGTAGCAGCTCCCCGGCAGGCTCCGTCGCTGGCGACAAAGTTCGAGGCGTGAATCTTGGCGGATGGTTCATCCTGGTGAGTGTATACCTGTATGGCTCGTTTTCTTAAAGACTCCATCGCCTGTCTGATGTTCATGAGGCAGTTGACTCGCTGACCACTAGGAAAATTGGATGATGCCCTCTTTCTTCGGTGTAGCACCATTAGATCAATACAATATTCTTGACGAAGTCAGTTGACCTTTTCTCATATGTCTCCCTCCTTCCGTGGCGTCTCGCGGCATGCTGTTCATACCTAAAAGTAGCAGCACACGCTAATATGGCAGTGGCATTACTGTTCTATCCTTGGCAAAGACGAATGCGCATCTAGATTAACAGACCACTGGGCTACATATGTCACAGAAGATGATTTCATGCGATTTGCCAACTAGTACATTTCCCCTTTGTTCCACAATGAGCCAGCTACTGATTCTTGTAGCTCACTGAATACGGTGCGTATACCCGTAGGATATTGGATGTGGATCGATCTGGAAGATTACGAGCCGTAAGTTCTTTCTCATCCCTCTATCATTTTCTCTGTCCGAAAGAGGGTGAAATTGACTGGCAGATATGTTCAAGGACAATTACCTTATCTTGAAAAAGCACTAGGTTGGGCGGACAAATATGGTTTGGACGTCATGATTGATATGCACGGTTTACCAGGTAAGTCTTTCACACCATCTCTTCTTCCCCTCTTCTTCTCAAAGCCGTTAATGTTGTACGCTCGTCAGTACTTATGGGTTCACTAGAGTTGTTATCTGAACCACAGGCGGCCAGAATGGTCAAGATAATCAAGGTGTCAAAGGTCCTATCGAGTTCGCATACAATCAAACAAATTCAGATAGAGCATTGTCTGCTGTTCAGAATATGACTCAATGGGTTACGCAAGATAAGTTTAACGGGATTGTCAAAGCTATCGAGTTGGCCAATGAGGTGAATATTTTTCTCTTCTGTACTCCTCCACCGTCTCCTTCCCACCTGATCGGTCTCTGCCCCTTGGGCTAACAGGAACCATATCACACGTAAGAGAAATATACTAAAGGAACAGCCATACATACAGGAATATAATCCAGGTGGCATGTTATTCGAAGATCTTGCCAATTACTACGTTCAGTCTTATCAAGTTGTACGAAATTCAGAACATATCATAGATGGTGGACATGAAGTTATGGTGTTTATACATGATGCTTTTCAAGTTCGTCGTCTCACAAAACCTTCTTTCAGATTAGAGTATTGATGATCAGCCTCTCGCCAATTGGGATTACTTCTTTTCCACTGAAGGTCTCGGTTTAAGTTGGACGAATTATGGCGTAGACACACGTGAGTCAAATATCCCTTCGTTGGAGCAGATTCATTGACTTGAAAGATATATACGACGCATTCGGTTCTTCACCAGATAAGACATGGCAAGAACATTTAGATACCATGTGTTATTTAGCTAGTTCTATAGCTTCAGCACAGACCAAATTCCCAGTCGTACGTTTTTATCCCCTGTCCTCTACCCCTACTGCCTTCTCTTCCGGGATCAACCCCCTTCTCATACATCATAAACATGATCAGATGCTGACCTATAGATTGTCGGTGAATTCTCTTTAGGGACCAACACCTATTGCGTAGATTATCAATCATGTTTCGGAGCGGTAAGTCTTTCATAATGACATAAGTCAAAAGCAGTTGGTCGTGTCTGACGGGTCAGACTTTAGCAGATACTATCGCCAATTTGACAGATTACGAAACCTCCCTTTTTCTTCGACAATTTTGGGAAGTTCAAAGTGACGTATATGAACTAGGAGCCGGATGGATTTTCTGGTCACATGCTAATGAATTGTCAGCTCTTATACCTTATTGTGAATGCCAGCTAACGGTTAGTGCTGCTCCATGGTCATGGTCTCAATCAGCAGCACAAAATTGGATTCCTGAAGATCCGACTGAAAAGATGTACGTCGATTTCTTTCCTTCCCTCTTCCGTCTCTTCTCTACTCTCATCCCATTTCTTCCCTTATCTGTATTTTGGTTTTTTAGGTTTATAAAGTCGTACCTATGTCGCCTATCCGTTTGCTCGACTCAACAATAATCTGCCCGTGGTCCAACAACATGATGCGTATAGAATTGAGGTCAAGCTGACATACAGCTGGCCATTCTACTCCGACGCATCATCCGGTTGTTTAGATATCTCAAACCCTATCGCCGGCGACCAAAATTTGCCTTATTTCCCCGGATACGCGAATAATATCTCTAATATCAATATAGACTTTGTGAGAGCAAAATACGCCAGTGCCTCATCTGCCTCATCCACAAATGATAATTCAACTTCAGCATCAATATCATCTTCATCTGGAACCTCAAGCGTGACATCTCCAAGTTCCGGTTCGTCTCCGAGCGCAAGTGCGAGTGCGAGTTCCTCAGCTTCTGGCGCGAGAAGACGAATACGGGGAGAGGCGACAGAGGTGTTAGGGATGTTGTTGCTGGTTGTGGGGATCATGTTCTGAGGAAGTATGATTTTCATGGAATGAGACTATAACATGTAGCTCTGTGATGCCATTTGTTGTGTTTTACATATTGGCTTAGTCATCCAAGTAAGAAATTAATGGGCTGGGTCATGAAGGCTTCACCTCATCTTGAGATGTGCTATTACATGTACCAAGTCACCTCACTGTCCACATATGGTCAGGACTGCCACAATCAGTACTTAGAGCAAAAAACATGACTCCAAGCAGGTGTTGATATTTAGCCTTTTCACTGGTTCATGATTGCAGTCTTGCTAGCTGCTCATGTGTCACAGACCATATCGTAACATCCCCTTACAACCACCATCATCGACCCTCCTTTCACCATCAATGAACCCCTATTCATCATCAAGCACCACAACCCCGGACCACTGAGACCGACTACAACGAAGTTACGAGAACCTAGGGAGTATTAGTCACAACAACCCTGCCTAGCCGAGAACTACAGCGAAGTTAGGAGAAGGAGCTTGAGGGATACAGGGTGGAGAGTAGAAGTAAGTGGAAGCACAACGGACTGCGGCGAAGTGAGCGGAGTAGGACTTCGGGGATATGGCGAGGTTGTCAGGACCAGACGTTGAAAATAGTCTGCGTCTATGAGCTATGGCTATAGGGCCTCGTAGGGAACAGACCTAGTGATGTAGTTTATAGTCTAGTGATGTAGTGGATCGAAGAGACTATAAGTCGATGAGATCAAGTGGCAAAAGATTTGCTAAGTGACGAGAAAATACATTCAGCAAGACATCTACGAAAAAGGGCTGTTTCTATATACTAAAAAGGGAGCGGAGTGATACCGAAATCTACGGAGTAAATGTGGAATACGATATGGGGTGTAAGAGCGAAGGAAGACGGAGATAGATGAGGGACACGGAGATGAAGGAAAAGTATAGCATGGTAAAGAACTAGCGATTAGGTAGGACAGGAGAACGGAGGACGCCGTAGCGGGATTAGTGAAGCGGGGACGGGAACGGGCATGTGAAGTACGACTTCTGTGTACGACTCTTGAGGAACCCGTCTATAGGTACCCGTGATTCTGACAGAGGTACAGCAAAGCTGAACAAAAGAGGACTGAGCGCAAGGCAGTGGAGGGGTTGAGGGATATTCTATGAGGATGTCACAAGCATCGTCTCTTCTTCTCTCCTGACCGACGGTTGACAAACCTTGGCTAACTATGTTGTACTGGGGTGTTGATGTCTCCCTGAGACAGGGTACTTGTCGGGGAACTACGGCTAACTACGCCATGGTAATACGTCAAGTGGTAAACAATAAGGTGATCATTGTTGAACTGCGGCTAACATCGCCGTGGTACGTTGAACTGCTGGGTGGTAGCTCTCCCTAACTTGAAGGTTGTAGCTACTGAATATATCTCTCGCTGCAGACAACAATCAAGGCTCGCTGAAGAAGTTCAGTGACCTGTCAACTATCATACTTCTCTCCTCTGCTCATAGAACATCCCTCAACTCCTGCACAGCCTCGCACTCAGTACCCTTCGTTCAACCTTGCCGTACCTTGCCATTTCCCCTATGTCCTACACCGCTCACTTTGCCTGTTATGATCCTATCATAACACCTTAGTATACTGTACATAGTCTTAGTAGATCCATGTAGCTGTCAAAAAGCATGTGACAAGTCGAGCAAAAGTTGGGGAAGGGTATTTAACCAGCAATCGGCGGTAGGGTTAACCGCCGATTAATAGGCCTTTTCGTCACAGTGGATAACAACACTGTCACGGTGGGCACTGTTTGTCACGCGGTGCCGCGTGACATCATCTTTTCCCATCAATGAGGTTCCTTTGGACATCAGTTCGCCATCAACGATCCAGTTCTCATGAACTTCATCACCCACGAGGGTATTAGGAGGCTAGCTTCGTCGAAGACGAAGTTAGTCATGTAGGAAGTTAGGGAGATACAAGGTTAGGGAGATATGAGGTTAGGGAGATACGAGGTTAGGGAGATACGAGGTTAGGGAGATACGAGGTTAGGGAGATACGAGGTTAGGGAGGTATGAAGTTAGGGAGATACGAGGTTAGGGAGGTATGAAGTTAGGGAGGCACGAACTTCGTCGGGGACGAAGTTAGGGAGGTACAAAGGTCGGGACTTTGGGTTGAACGAAGTTCTGCGTTGAAGAAGTTAGGGAAAGACGAAGTACTTAAGGGCTGAAGTTCCCAGAGATCTTTGACGATCTCTGGTTGTTGTCTTAGTAGTAGAAGTTAGTAAAGCACAAAGTTATTACACCCAGAAGTTATTGTCATCTAGTCATATCTCGAAGGACAGGATTGTCAAAGGTCGAATCCCACAAAGTTATTGGCCGTCGGTCCTAAGGAGTTAACGAAGAACCAGCCCTGTGACACTGTTATATCGAGCCAATGCTGGTTAGTTGGTCCTTGTCACGGACGTCGAACGACTACTCTCTATCAGACCGACGGTCGACGAACCTCGGATAACTTGACGCTTCTAAGTCGATGTCTCACCCAACCAGGAGGGCGCAGACGTCGAAAGGAGTGTAACTACGGCGTACTTGGGCGTAGTTACTCAAACTGGGGTATTGTTCTACTAATGGCAATGTATCTCAATTTGTATATAGCTATCTCTATCTGTCTTTCACTCCTGACAACAATCAAGGATCGCTGAAGAACTTCAGCGATCTTCTCAGCTAATATTATTTACTCCTCCTAGATCTTCACCCAACCCTCTCGCGCGTAGACGTACTTCAACGCACTTCGTCCAACTTCCCCGAGTCCCGGCCGTCCTTCTCCGTCCTTCAACTAACTCCGCCCAACATTGCCGCACTTCTGCTCCCATTGTCCCTATTTCACCTAACTCCACCTAACTTCGCCGTACTTCTGCTCCCATTGTCCCTGGCTCACCTAACTCCGTCTAACTTCGCTGTACTTGGTCTCAGATGTCCTAAGTTACGTGTGGGGTGACGAGGTTAAGATGTGATAGGGGTTTGATGGTCAAAGGAGGGTCATTGCTGGTGGAATCCTTGAGGTGTCACGACGGAGTTTGTGACAGTCCTCGTGACAGATTAATCGGCGGTTACGGGTAGGGTCCTGGGTTCGACTCCCGGACGGCGCCGGGGGTAATTCAGCCCCTACTTGGAAAACCTCCCTCTCGGAGTAAGTTTTCGGTCTGTCATACCCTTCCCAGTGTGAGGGCCCAAAGCGGGGTCCCCTTGTTGGGGCCCCACGTGGGGGTCCAAGAGGGTGCATAATGTCACAAAGCATGTGACAAGTCACGCGAAAGTTGGGGAAGGGTATTTAACCAGCGATCGGCGGTAGGGTTAACCGCCGATTAATAGGCCTTTTCGTCACATTGGTTAACAACACTGTCACGTTGGGCACTGTTATATCAAGCCAATGCTGGTTAGTTGGTCCTCATGACAAGTGTGGGGCATTGTTATACGCAAACTCTGCAAGTGGGAGGAGTCTTGCCCATTCTCCTTGTTGGTAATCAACATAAAGTCAAAGATATTGCTCAAGGATCTGGTTGAACTCGCTCTGTTTGACTATCTGTCTCTGGATGAAAGCTGGTACTGAAGTTGAGCTTGATGTCCATCAACTTCATGAGCTGTTTCCGAAACTCAGAAGTGAATTCAGAGCCTCGGTCAAAACCAATGTCAAGAGGAAGCCCATGTTTGGAGAACACATGGGTGAGGAAAAGCTAAGCTAGCTCTTCTGCTGTAAGATTTGTAGATGTTGGAACAAAGACTGCTTGCTTTGTCAAACGGTCTACAACAACTAAAACGGAGTTGTGACCTGATGACTCTGGAAGAAATTCAAACAGGTCCATGGAGATGGAACTCCAGGGGTATGGTGGTGTTGGTAACGTCCTGAGTTCACCATAGGGTTTATGTCGGCGTGGTTTGGAACGTGCACATTGGGTGCAGGAGTCGACATAATTATGCACATAGGCCTTTAGCTTAGGCCACCAATAGTAGCGAGAGACCAGTTGTATGGTCTTTTGTCGACCAGGATGACCAGCGGTGTTACTGTCGTGAAATTGTCAAAGGATTGTAAGTCAAAGATTGTGGTTGTCAGGAATGTATTGTTGACCATGATAATGTAGGATCCCGTCTTCCACCTTGAAGTCGGATCCTGAGGTGATGTTGATGATAGTCTCCTGAGCGAAGTCATCCATTTCTTGAGCTTGCTTTATCTTTGAACCAAGCTTTGGAGAGATACTAAATTGTGAAAGTACTCCTAAATACTGATGTGGTTTAATCAATGTTTGTTGATTCTATGGACTGTGATCTGGATCTGAACTAGCTCCACGTGTGTGTGGGTGTACGTCTGAACGTCATGTCAACACATCTGGTTTGGTACCTTGTACTCCAGGGCGGTAAATGATCAGAAAGTTGAAATCTGCTAGGAATTCTGACGAATGGGCTTGACGTCTATTGAGCTGTTTTGAAGTTGTGATGTATTCCAAGCTTTGGTGGTCGGTATAAACTTTTGTTTGATGTTGAGATTCCTCAAGGTAGTGTTGCCACTCTTTGAATGATGCGATTATGGCAAGCATCTCCTTATCATGAATTTCGTAGTTCAGTTCCGCCAGGACCATCTTACGGGACATGAAAGCGATTGGGTACAACTTCCCATCCTCTTCCTGTGATAAGATTCCCGCAATGGCAAAATCAGATGCGTCTGTTTCTAAGACCATCTGTGTGTTGGGTCGTAATGCTTGAGGAGATCTGCACTAGTGAATGCAGCCTTGAGCTGATCAAACGCTTGTTGCTGTGGATGAACCCAGCTATAAGGAAGGTCCTTCTTGGTGAGCTGGGTCAAGGGATGTGCAATCTCTGAGTAGTTTCGTATAAATCTTCGGTAGAAGTTGCAGAATCCAAGGAAGGATCTCAACTCGGAAAGGTTGGCTGGGATGGGCCACTCGGTAATGGTCTTCACCTTCTTGGTGTCCATGGATATCCCACTTGGAGAGATAATGTAGCCCAAGAATTCAACACTGGTAGTGTGAAATTCACACTTCGCAGCCTTGGCATAAAGCCCAACCTGTCGCAAACACTTCAGGACTTGTTTTACGTGCTGCCTATGCTGATCCATGTCTGAGCTAAAGATGAGAATGTCATCAAGGTAACAGATGACATAGTGATTTATCATGTCACGGAAGTTGTGATTCATGAGGTGCTGGAATGAGGCGGGGGCATTGGTGAGGCCAAAAGGCATCACCTTGTATTCGTATAAACCGTACCGAGTACGGAATGCTGTCTTCCATTCTTCTCCCTTAGCAATGCGCAAAAGGTTGTATGCTCCTCTGAGATCGATCTTTGAGAATACCTTTGCGCTGCAAAGTCTGTCTAACAGCTCCGGAATGAGTGGGAGTGGATAACAATTTATGACTGTAATTTCATTCAAACCCCTGTAGTCAACACACAGGCGCAAGCTACCATCTTTCCTTTTGACAAATAGTATAGGTGCTCCTGCAGAGGACTCAGAGGGTGTGATGAAACCTTTCTCAAGATTCTCATCTAGGTATTGGTGTAAGGCCTTCAGTTCATTTTCTGACAAGGAGTAGATTGGACCCCATGGGGGTGTTTGACCTTCCTCCAATGGGATCTTGTGATCATAAGGACGGTGTTCAGGAAGTTTGTTTGCTTCTCTTTCACTGAAGACATCACTGTATTCCAAATAATCTTTAGTAATACTTGGTACAGTGACGTCCCCTTGTTGAGAAGTAGTGTAGAGGGTGGACTTAGGATCATCAGATCCTGGGTGAATGGTCATGTTAGACCAGTTGATGACTGGATTGTGTTCTGTCAACCATGGCAGTCCCAAGACAATTGGGAATACACAGGTCTTCAGAACAGGGAGGGACACTTCTACAGGTTCAAATGGGGGTGAAAGGTTGATGATAATAGTTGCCTTTTCGTGGGCAATGAACTGCCCTCCCATACCATCCGATAGGTGAATCGGTACTGCTTCATTTTTCTTTATGTCTAATTTATTTTCTTTTACAAACTTGGAGTCAATGTAATTAGAAGAGGCACCACTGTCTATCAAAGCGCAATGTTTTTGTTTTGAGCCGGGAATGGAGAACAAAATTGTGAAGTGTTGATTGTCTTGGTGTTTTGATGTTTTATGATGTTTTTGGTTATTCCTGGTACTTTGTTTGCTGAATCTGTACTACCTGTATCAATCAGTTGGAGAGGCCCCAACCCATGGGTAGATGCATGGGGCTGGAGCCTCAATCTTTTGCTGAGACTACTTGTTTGTAAGTCTTGTGAGCTTGAGGTGCGGTGGCTCGGTATGTACTTGGTCGTTTGGGTGGGGGAGCTGACGGACACTTTAAGACTTGATGGCCCTGCTGACCACAGTACAGGCAGAGATTATTGTCTCTACGTCTTTTGTACTCGGCAGGGGTAAGCTTACCTTGACGTGTGTGTTGCTCCCTTGAGGTATGACCAGTTGTCATACAAAATGATTCTGTGGGACGTGTGGTGTGACTTTCCTGTCGCACATAGGTGGTAGTCCGAGGGACAAGACAGTTGAAACCTGTGTTATCTCACCTTTTTCAACGTGTCTTTCAAATAGGCAAGTGTCACGGTCCTGTCCTTGACAGACCTGAATGGATCAAAGACAGGTGGACTGCAACTGTTTAGTTAGCTTGGACAACGACAGTTAGTATGTTGTCCGTAGACTTGTGATGTGGTCAGACGACTAAAGTGACTTGCAAAGGATCCGGGCAGGTCGAGATGACGATATGGGCGTGTGTGATGGAGTGGACAGGGGTAATGATGATGAGGGATGTGTTGTATGTAAGTAGTATGTCAAGAAGAGGTCTTTTGCGAGTGGCAAATAATATTTTGATCCTTGAGAAGAAGAAACTACAAGCTAGAAATGTCCTCCTTATATCCTTTTCCAAGGGACTTCTGAGTCGCAAACTACTTGTATGTTTTCAGGTTAGTTCATATGAATTCATGTGAATTCCTGGTCATCTCGTATGAATTTGTGCTCTTTTCATATGAATTCAGGTGAATTCGTGTGAACTCATGTGAATTCGTATGAATTCGGGTGAACTCATGTGAATTCGGGTGAACTCGTGTGAATTCAGGTGAACTCGTGTGAATTCGTATGAATTCGTATGAAAAGTATGAAATTCCCTGAATTATGGGTCACGGCTTCACCGGGTCGTGACAGCGAGTGTCAATCTGAATAGCAGCATCCTGCAATTTTTGTTGAGATCATGGGGACGCCCAATGCGAGCCAATTCGTCTTTGATGGGATCTATCAGACCCCTGTAGAATTGGGCTGCCTTGGCTTCGTCATTCCACTTCACCAGAACTGTGTACCTCATGAAGTCAGCCAAATAGGCTGCTACAGAGCCACGCTGTTTCAAAGCGTACAACTGTCGTTCAGCAGTTGCTACTTCATCTGAATCTCCAAAGGTTTTCTTCAATTTTTCACAGAAGAGTTTGAAGTTACTCATGTGGAGTGGTTGGGGGTTTGTCGTGACCATTGGTCAAAACCATAAGAAAGCGGTGTCACATAGGAATGATCCAGCGTAGTATACCTTTGAAACTTCTGTAGGGAAGCGGTTTGGTTGTAGGTTCAAAACCAAAGTGACTTGTGTGTGATGAATGTTGATAGCTTGTTACATTACCCATGAAAGAACTCAGGTGCAGCAACCTTTGGTTCCGAGGTTCTCCCAACACTGTTGATTGTTGTTGAGGGTGATTGCTCCCTGGTGTTGTCTGGAGGACCAGGAGTAGCATTGGCTACAGTTGAACTGGCAGCCCCAAGGTTGGGGTTGACAATTGGTTGTCCATTCTCACCAACAGTAGGAGCAGGGAGCAGAGTAAGTTCTGCAACCCTGTTACTAAGGTTGGTGTTCTCTTGTTGAAGTTGTTCTTGGGTGGAAAGGGCCTCGGCTAATCTTGCTTCAAGGTTGGCACAGGTGGGTTGCCGTGGATTACCAGATATAATAATGACCAGTCACAAGCGTGAAGGATCAAATTATACTGTTACGAACCGTCCAACGTAGACCTCACTGACGTAAGACAATTGGAAAGTGAAGGTTTACAAGGGGTGTGACTACGAGGAATGAAGTAGTCAATACCTGTGAATTGGTTGAAGGTGGTGAATCAACTTGGAAGGATCCGGCAAGTTGTGCAAGTTTCTTGAAGAAATAAGTAAGCTAGTTATTGGGTTGAGGTCAAGTGAAGTAACTTTTGATAATTTGCTCCTTGGGGAAAAGATGGCCAGGAAGGCCAGCTTTTATCCTTTTCGGCCTCCTCCAAAGAACCCCTGTCTGGGTGGCAAATCTACCTTTGAGCGGATCGTGAACCAGTTCTATGAGGTTCTCCGCACCCCTTCTAGGTGTTCACTTACAGAACCCATTCTAAGAGCAACTTGTCGAGCCCGTTCTAAGAGTAGCTCGCCGAACCCCTTCTAAGAGGTGGTTCAATCTTGGGTTCTTAGAAGTCCTTCTTAGAAGCGGTCCTTTGGTGGCACTCCCCTTGGCTACAAGGATCTACTAAGACTATGTACAGTATACTAAGGTGTTATGATAGGCTCATAATATCGCCGCACTTTGTCTCACTTCCTCCACTCTACTCTGTGTCCCTTGGTCTCCTTCTCCTAACTTCGCCGTAGTTCTCCGCCAGGCGGGGTTGTTGTGACAAATGCTCCCTAGGTTCTCGTAACTTTGTCGTAGTTGGTCTCAGTCGTTCAGGGTTGTGGTGGTTGATGACGGATATGGGTTCAGTGATGGTGAAAGGAGGGTCGATGATGGTGGTTGTCAGGGGATGTTACGATATGGTTTGTGACAAGTTGAGAGATGTTGTACAAGGAGAGCAGAGAGGTATAGATAGTTGATAGATCACTGAACTTCTTCAGCAATCCTTGATTGTTGTCAGCAGCGAGAGATATATTCCATAGCTACAACTTTCGAGTTAGGGAGAGCTACCATCCAGCAGTTCAACTTAACACAGCAATGTTAGCCGCAGTTCCACGACGGTCACCTTATCGTTTACCACTCAACATATTACTATGGTGTAATTAGCCGTAGTTCCCCAACAAAGACCCTGTTTCTGCAAGACGTCAACACCCCAGTACGACATAGTCAGCCAATGCTTGTCGACCATCGTTGAGTAGAAAAGAAGCAACAATGTTTGTGACAGATCAAGAACAATAAAGCTAAGCCAAAGCGGGTCAGGGGTAAGTGTTCCAGATGTGTTTCAAGTATGGGAACATGGGTGTCATAACTCTCAAATATCTGTAAATACCACATGCATATCATCCACTCAAGTCCAGTCAACTTTACTCAACTCGTCTCAATTCGTTCCATCGTACGACATGTGGATCACCATTCAACCTCAATCACCCTCCATTCACTGAGTCAACCTGACTCAACATTGTATACATCAATCACGTCATCTGTCGTCATCCCAAGCTCCAGCCAACATGTACAAGATTCCGCTCAGACCGGACGAACGTATAAGCGAGGGTACCTCGGGAGCAATATTAGCCTCAAATTGTACAATCAGGTGTAAGATGGGGGGTAACCCCACTAGCAAGGAGGAATTCAGGTATGAGCTTTGAGCCCTTTGCTGCGTACTGTACGGTCGTGTCACAAGACATACTAACCAGCATATGCACGATATAACAGTGCCCTTCAGAGACAGTGGTCTAAACCACTGTGCTAAAAGGCCTATTAACCGGCGGTTAAGCGTAACCATTGGTCGCTGGTTAAATACCCAACCCATCCAACTCTAACCAAACTGTCTTGTCACTTCGTGACAGGTTGTCACAAGGACCAACTAACCAGCATTGGCTCGATATAACAGTGCCCATTGTGACAGTGATGTTAACCTGATTCGGGAGGAGAATGCTGAGCACAAGGCAACAACCTTGCGCTAAAACAACACTGTGACAAACAGGCCTATTTATTGGCGGTTAACCCTACCGCCAATCACTGGTTAAATACCCTTCCCTGACTTTCACTCGACTTGTCACACGCTTTGTGACATTATGCACCCTCTTGGGCCTCCACACTGGGAAGGGTACAATAGACCAAAAACTTACTCCGAGAGGGAGGTTTTCCAAGTAGGGCCTGGGTTACCCCCGGCGCCGTCCGGGGAGTCGAACCCAGGATCCTACCTGTAACCGCCGGATAATCTGTCACAAGGACCAACTAACCAGCATTGGCTCGATATAACAGTGCCCAATGTGACAGTGATGTTAACCACTGTGACAAAAAGGCCTCTTAATCGGCGGCTAACCCTACCACCAATCATTGGTTAAACACCCTTCCCCGACTTTCGCTCGACTTGTCACACGCTTTGTGACAACGGTTGGCTTGGTAAGACTGATAGCAGCAGCCCAGAATGGACCAATCATAGAGTTCAAAGTACCTTCGTTTGTTGTATTGGATTGTGCACGTTTTGACTTGTGCTTTCAAATCCTTCGCCTTCCCCTTTGATCCCTTTGATTTCCGTTTCTGTTCATTCCTGATCCTCTTCCTACATTCCTTCTTAAGATGTCCCTTCTTATGACAATAGTGACACTCTGCTGTCTTGATCCAATCCCTATTTGCATGTGTATGTGTATGCGTATGCGCATGATCCGCACTTGTATTATTGATCTGAGCAGACACTGTAGGGGTAGTGAGTTGTGCACAATCTGCGACTCTGACTTGATTCAAGCGTCAAAGTTTGGCCCACGTCTTTGAAGTTGTAGGGAGATTAATGTAGAGAGATCACATGACTTTGAAGTCGCTGTGAGGCAGCAAATCAAGGAGCCAAAGCGCACAAGTATCAACTGAGAAGTTGCATCATGACTCTTCAGCCTCCAGCCAGAGTAGGTTAAACTTCTGTAGGTGATGTGTCATATCTGTAGGATTCAACTCAAGCATGAGCATTTGTAGCTTGCGTTTGACGTCCGTACAATGTTTGGGCGTCTGTAGTTGCATATCTGTTGCAAGGAATGTTGTCACGAACCATGTCGTAACATCCCTGACAACCACCATCATCAACCCTCCTTTCACCATCACCGAACCCCTATCCATCGCCAACCACCACAACCCCAAACCACTGAGACCGACTACGACAAAGTTACGAGAACCTAGGGAGCATTTGTCACAACAACCCCGCCTGGCAGAGAACTACGGCGAAGTTAGGAGATGAAGACCGAGGGAGACAGAACAGAGTGGAGGAAGTTCGGCGAAGTTAGTCAAAGTGAGCGGAGTAGGATATCTGGAATATGGCGAGGTATGGTGAAGTTGAACGAAGGGGACTGAGCGCAAGGCTGTGCAGGAGTTGTGGGATGTTATATTAGCAGAGGAGAGAAGTATAGATAGTTTACAGATCGCTGAACTTCTTCAGCGATCCTTGATTGTTGTCTGCCGCGAGAGATATATTCAGTAGCTACAACCTTTGAGTTAGGGAGAGCCACCACCCAGCAGTTCGACATACCACGGCAAAGTTAGCCGCAGTTCAACAACGATCATCTTCTTGTTTACCACTCGATGTATCACTACGGCGTAGTTAGCCGTAGTTCCCTGACGAGTACCCTGTCTCAGCGAGACATCAACACCCCAAGACGACATAGTTAGCCAAGGTTTGTCGACCGTTGGTCAGTAGAGAAGAAGAACCGACGTTTGTGACAAATGTCCACATTCCGTATGCGGCTTGAATGCTTTGTAGATAAATGAGCAAAACATTTGACTTTGCTCATGATTGCACCTTGAGCACAAAGTTCGCATTTACGCCACAATTCCCAGCGCTCTTTGTCATCTGAATCAAGTAAGGTGTGGGTGATAGTCTCCTTGGCTGTAGGTACAACTGAGCCCTCAAACCGTACAAGCAATTGTAGGTTGACGGTAAGGTGTCACGCCTGCGGGTAGACTGCGGTAGCAAAGGACTGCCTTGGGAACTGAGGGGTTTTGTCATGGTCCTGTCCTTGACAGATCTCTAAAGATCACAGACAGGTGGACTGCAACTATATAGTTAGCTTGAACAACGACGGTTAGTATGTTGTTCGTGAACTTGTGATGTGGTCGGACGGCTAAAGTGACTTGCGAAGGATCCGAACAAGTCGAGATGACAACAAGAGTGTGTGATATGACGTGGACAGGGGTTTTGTTGATGGAAGGCGTCTTAAAGATGAGTATATGTCAAGAAGAGAGATCTTTGTGAAGTGGCAAATAATATTTTGATCCTTGAGAAAAAGAAAACTACAAAGTAGATATGTGCTCCTTTTATACCTTTCAGAGGGATTGAGAATGAGCTTTTCAATGAGTCGACTCATTGACTCATCCTTGTCTCGTCTCTCCTTTTCCCCTCTAACCTCATTTTCTCATTGCGTCTCAATAAGTATCAAGGAGTCTCAATGAGTATCAATGAGTCTCAATGAGTCTCAATGAGTATCAATGAGTCTTCAGGGTAACTCAATGAGTTTTGATGAGTCGTGACAGGTTTAGTCTCTGGCTCGTGGACCTTAGTGACTGCCTTGAATACTGAGGGTTTGAGAGGTTGGGTTAGAACCAACTGAGTGACTCATCAAACAAGGGGATGGGGATTGAGAAGATATCTTGCTGAAGAAGAAACTACAGCACTAGATAGGGTTTAAATACTAAAATCAGCCTTTTCCAAGAGGCTTGTGCAGACCTGCGGAATACGAGCGTTGTCACAAGGCTGGTTCTTCGTTAACTCCTTAGGACCGACGGCCAATAACTTTGTGGGATTTGACCTTTGACAATCCTGGCCTTCGAGTTATGACTAGATGATAATAACTTCTGGGTGTAATAACTTTGTGCTTTACTAACTTCTACTACTAAGACAACAACCAGAGATCGTCAAAGATCTCTGGGAACTTCAGCCCTTAAGTACTTTGTCTTTCCCTAACTTCTTCAACGCAGAACTTCGTTCAACCCGGAGTCCCGAGCTTCGTACCTCACGAACTTCGTCCCCGACGAAGTTTGTGCCTCCCTAACTTCATACCTCCCTAACCTCGTCTCTCCCTAACCTCGTATCTCCCTAACCTCGTATCTCCTTCACTTCCTACATGACTAACTTCGTCTTCGACGAAGCTAGCCTCCTAATACCCTCGTGGGTGATGAAGTTCATGAGAACTAGATCGTTGATGGCAAACTGATGTCCAAAGGAACCTTGTTGATGGGAAAAGATGATGTCACATGGTGCCGCGTGACAAGCGTCCTGAACCGTCCTGCCCTGTCCTGCATGCATTCCCATGCATCCCACCGATTACCACTGATATCCTACAATGCCATATCTGTGTTTACCTACGTCCTACTATAATACCCTACGTGATGTGCCGTAAGTCTGTGACTTTGTCGAAGGTGGTCGATGGGGAACTATGAGGAACATAGAAGAGCGGCAAGAACAAGAGACTGAGAGATTATGCCTTACAAGGCATCCAAACAGAGGAAAGAGAAAGTAGAGATGTACTTGGGGCATATGCCTTCCAGGCATGAGAGCACAGGAAAGATAGTCTTGGGGTTGATGTCACGGTCGTTGTTTCTTCTTCTCTACTGACCGACGGTTGACAAACCTTGGCTAACTATGTTGTAGTGGGGCGTCGATGTCTCACTAGGACAGGGTACTCGTCAGGGGAACCACGTCTGACTTCGCCGTAGTTCTCCGCTAGGCAGGGTCAATTGTGACAAATACCCTCTAGGTTCTTGCAGCTTTGCCGTAGTTGGTCTCAGTGGTCCGGGTGGTGGTTGGTGATGGGTAGTGGTTTGGTGATGGTGAAAGGAGGGTCGGTGATGGTTGTTGTCAGGGATGTTGCGACGTGGTTCGTGACAGTTGATGCCTGATAGGCTTGAGAGCAGAGGAAGATATCAGAGTGGAGGTGTCACAGACCATGACTAACCAGCATCCGGCTGTATAACAGTGCCCAACGGAACAGTGATACTAACCACTGCGACGAAAAGGCCTATCAACCGGCGATATCTACAATCGCCGATTGCTGGTTAAATACCCAATCCATCCTAAACCGTGACCAAACCGTGACTAAACTTAACTGGGTAACAACATAACCTTCCTCATGTCACGACAACTTGTGACAGGAGGTTTGAACTTGTCATTATGACAAGTCATGATTTGATATTGTCATTCATGACATAAGGTTCAACATTTGTACCATCAATTGTCCTAAGACATCCATGGATAAGGAAATAGTTTTCAATGGCAAGTCTCCAAGCAGTAGTTGCTTTGACTCAATAGTATGGGTACGGATTCAAGACCTATTGTAGTGGAACGATTGTGTGACGTCCTGCTTCAATTTCAGCGTATGAATCGTATTATAACAATAGACTCTCATAAAGGACTTATTGTATGCAAGATGTGCACCAGAGGCCTCTACTGTGCACACCACCAGCACGGACTGGTTTTTATACGTCTACGAGTGTCACGAACCATGTCGTGACACCCCTGACAACTACCATCACCGACCCTCCTTTCACCATCACCGAACCACTATCCACCATCACCCCGAACCACTGAGACCAACTACTGCGAAGTTACGAGAACCTAGGGGTTATTTGTCACGACAACCCCGCCTAACGGAGAACTACGGCGAAGTTAGGGGAAGGAAACCGAGGGAGAATGGAGTAGGGGAAGTTAAGCGAAGTTAGTCGAAGTAGGCGGAGTAGGATATCACGGATATGGCGAGGTACGGCGAAGTTGAGCGAAGAGGACTGAGCGCGAGGCTGTGCAGAGGTTGAGGGACATTCTATGAGAAGAGAGGAGAAGTATAGATAGTTTACAGATTGCTGAACTTCTTCAGCGATCCTTGATTGTTGTCAGTAGTGAAAGACATAGAGATAGCTATATACAATCAAGATACATCGCCATCAGTAGAACAAAACCCCCGTTAGAGTAACTACGCCAAAGTACGCCGTAGTTACACTCCTTTCGACGTCTGCACCCTCCAGGTTGGGTGAGACATTGACTTAGAAGCGTCAAGTTAGCCAAGGTTCGTCGACCGTCGGTCTGCTAGAAGATAGTTGTTCGACAGCCGTGATAGTATCAAGGATCGCTCTTACCGACGACCCGTGCGAACCTCGGAGAAGTACGAAGATATTATGGAACCAGAAAGGAGAATTACGCGAGGGATGAGTAGGGATGGAGACAGTATGGAGGAGAACGAGAGGAGAGCATTGGAGGAGCTTAGCAGAGCAATGGGGCAGGACCTTGGGGTGGAAGATAGTGTGGGGTGATCAATTCAAGGAGATGAGTTCGTTCCACCAGTACCTTCCAATCCTCCTACCCCTGCGGGTAATACTCTCCCACCTGTAGGATCCCCAGTTGGATCGGATCAAACCCCACGGCCAGAAAACACTGGAAGTGGGACGAACTTCGGAGAAGAAGGGACACAAGGGGTGGTGTTGGCCTTGATGCAGATGGTGGCGAATATGAACAAAGACATGATGGAGGAGAGAAGGCGTAGGGAGGAATGGGAACAGAGAAGAGAAAGGGATACAGTGGGCGGGATTGCAGAAGGGATATCAGAAGGGGTGAGGTACGCCATGGGACGGCAAACTTCGGCGACCCCAAGCGTAGCTGGAGAACAACGGAAGGGAATAAAGTTGCCTAACCCAGACCTCTGGAGAGGAGACCGGAATAAGTTAACCGCTTTTCTGTCTGAGTGCGACGTACACTTCGAATTAAACTCTCACCTTTTCCCCGACGACACTAAGAAAGTCTTTTTCATGATCTCTCATTTGCGCGAAACACCTCTTCTTGCTGTTCAACCCGACCTATCTAAAAGGCCTCTCCCGGAATACCTCACGACACACAACCAATTCGTTAAGTATCTCAAGACAAATTTCGGTGACCCTGATGAGGAAGGGACTGCAGCGCGACAGCTCAATGATCTTAAGCAAACTGGGTCTGCTTCGGACTACTTCTCCGCCTTTCAGCGACATGTTGCGATACTCAAGTGGTCTGACGACGGAAATCTAGTTGATCGAGCCAAGAAAGGTTTGAAATCACACCTCCTAGATGAAATTGCAAGACACGGTAGATCGTTTGGGACTGTGAAAGAGCTATTGGAGTTTGTTACTCCCTTGGACAACCGCCTGTGGAGGAGGCAAGTAGAGAAGGAGGCACAGAGGAAGAGGGAAGGAGGGATGAGGACAACGACAGTGGTGGAGAGCCAGAGGACGGAGAAGAAAGAAGAGAAGAACAGGGAAAAGGGGCAACCTTCGACGCAGGGTGGTGTCCAAACAACTATGATGTTGACGGTAGTAAGGAGTGCGCCGCCGAACATCGACGAAGTTCGCCAAAGATGGCCTAGGCCGAGTTTCGATCTGAGGGAGACAAGGAGAAAAGAGGGGAAGTGTACGGAATGTGGTGAAACAGGACATTGGCTGAAGGAATGTCCTGTAAGGGAGGCAAAGGTTAAGGTTGGGCTGTTGCCTCCCTGGGGGGAGAAGTTCGGAGAACGTGGTGGAGGATCGGGAGGGAACGCAGTACCTCTTGGACATAGGAGGAACTTGAATGTGGTTGGAGGAGAAGTAGATTTGGAAGAGGACCAGGGAAAAGAAGAGGACCTGTCACAGTAGGCGAGGCTTGGCCGGTCCGCCATATTCTCTCGGCCACCATTCCCAAACCTATAAAAGAGACACAGCTGATGGAGCCAGAGGATTGTGAATACAAAAATACACCACTGAGTACCCCTTGTTCATGCAATGTCGATAACCATCTCCTCATCCTTTCCACTTCTAGAGATCAACCTAAATCGCACATTTTCATTAATGGAATGAAGCTAACTACGCTCTGGGACACTGGGGCTACTTGTTCATATATAAGTCCTAGGGCAGCGGCGAAGATAGGCGCAGAAAGGAGACAATACCTGGTGAGCGTACCCGTTCACATGTTTGATGGCTCGGTTAGTGTTGCTGGACCTATCACCGAGTTTGTCGAAGTCGGTTTTAGTTTGACGAAGGACGCCAAAGTGCGATCTGTTTGTCTCGATGTAACAACGCTCTGCGATGCAGATGTTGTGATAGGGTGGGACTGGATGAGGAAGGAAGGGGTTGTTCTTGATGGAAGAGACAACTCGGTGAAATTCCCCATCCCAAGCCCACCAAGTGCGGCGAAGTTAGCGGCCATAGGGCTGCCAACTCCGACAGACGCGATAGATCTCCGAGACAAAGATGACCAGGATGAACTGAGTCCGGAGGAACAGGAGGAATTGTATCAGGTGGTTCCTGAACAATATCACTCCTTCATTGACGTGTTTAACCCAAAGAAGGGAGGTGAAGAGTTACCTCCCTCAAGGGAATATGATCTGGAGTTTGATCTTAAGGAGGGGGCGAACCTGAAGGTTGCTCCACTCTACTCACTCGGAGAAGATCAGAGAAGTGCGCTGAGAGACATCCTAGATCGCCAAATATCGGCCGGAAGAATTCGACCCAGTAATTCGCCCTACGGATCACCGATGTTCTTGGTACCAAAGAAAGCAAAAGGTCAATGGCGGATGGTCATTGACTACCGAAAGATAAACGAGGCAACGGTACCCGACGCCTATCCACTGCCTCTGATCGGCCAGATAACCGAAGAGCTGGGAAAGGCGAGGTATTTCAGCAAGTTAGATCTGATTGGGGCTTATCAGCTCCTACGAGTAAAGGAAGGACACGAACACTTGACAGCATTCAGAACCCAGTACGGTATGTTCGAGTCTCTTGTTGTCCGAGATGGTCTACGAAATGCTCCTGCTGTGTTCCAGCACTTCTTGAATGAAAGTTTTCGAGAGCTGTTGGGAAAGGGAGTAGTTGTCTACATAGACGATATACTCATTGTCATGAATCAAGAATCATGACCTAGTATCGTTATGGACTTAGAATTAGTGACTCATGATTAATTAGGAATTGATAAGTAATTAAGGAACTGCAATACAAACTGTAGTGCAGAATGTAGTGCAAACTGTATTACAGATATTGTGGACCAACTGTAGGACAGTTGGTAGAACCAAGTCTTGTCTGCAGTGCCATTGTACTACAGATGGTAACTAGTCAACAAGTATATAAACCCATAGTTTCAGTATCTTCTTCAGCAATGAATCTCCTTTTTCTCTTTTATCTTTTCTAACCTTTTCTCGATCATCCCCCTGGGTAAGAGAGAAAGAGACGTCACTCAGTTGGTTCTAACCCAACACTCTCATTCCTATCGCAGTCATTCCGTCTGACAAGCCAGAGACTAACCCTTTCAGTATCCAAGGCAGTCCCTTTGTTATCGCAGTCTAACCGTAGGCGTGACAGTATTCATTGCTCAACACTCTTTAGTCCTTGCTCGTCATCTCGACCACTCTTGTAATCATCATTGATAAACTCAAGGTCACTCAAGGTCTTTGACACCTCCAAGGAAACTCTCGAACCATCAAAGGCAATACTCTCGACATCAATTCAAGGAAATAACTTTCAATTCATTCAAGGAATAACTCTCAAGCTATCTAAGGAAAAACTCTCAACCCATTCAAGGACAAAACTCTGGAAAAACTATACTAGTCTAAGGCTTTCTATTTCTTTTCTTCCTACCCTAAAATATAATACAAATTCAAAACATAATAATCCATTAAATAAAATAAAAACATTTACTGATACACAGATTTCAACACAATGGCGGAAAACATCAACAACACCCAGCTCACCGCTGAACAAGCTTTTCAAGCTCAACATGACATGATCCTCCAACTTCAAGCCCAAATTGACGCTCTCCAAGCCTCTTCTAATAACATTAGGCCTGAGCATATCAAGGAACCTAAGATCTCTCATCCACTTCCTTTCACAGGACGTAAGGATCAGACTTTAGAATTCTTGGCTAAGTGCAATATGGTCTTTGCTGTTCAACCTCGAACCTACTCTACAGACACAACTCGTATTGCTTTTGCCACCAACCTTCTCAAGGATGAAGCTTATCGCTGGGTTCTCCCTTATTTGGGGATGGACGCAGCAGATCAACCTACTTGGCTTCATGTGTGGGATGACTTTCAAATTGAATTTAAGAAATATTTTGGAGACTCAAACCTTATGGAAACTTCTCGATACAAACTTCGCAACCTTCGTCAGACAGGCTCAGCTAGTGTCTATGCTACTGAGTTTCAGCGTCATGCTGCCTATGTCCATTGGAATGACGACACCAAGAAACAAAACTTCTTTGATGGACTTAAGGATGATGTCAAGGATCGACTTCTTGCCCCAAGCAAGTTTAAGGATTATGAGACTTTAGTCTCTTCAGCTATTGAATATGACGACCTACTTTATCAAAGGCGACGCTCCAACAACAATTCTCGTACACAATCAAACATCAACCAACGCTTTAACAACAACAATATTACTCCTCCTTCCAACACCTTCACCAACAACAACACACGGACCACCTTTACCCCCAAGTACAACAACACTTTTACTCCTCGTACCACCTCAACCTCAACCTTTACTCCAACTTCTATGGAAATTGACGCGACTCAAACACATCAAACTTATGGTCCTCTCACCCCAGCAGAGCGTGAACATCGAATGAAGAACAACCTCTGTAACTATTGTGGGAAACCAGGACACAAGGCTTATGAATGTCGTGCTGCTCAACGCCGTCGTCAAATCAAGACTCAAGTCAACGCTACTACTACTGTAGACACCAAGGCAAAAAACTCTCAGCCCCAGGCTTAGGCGTGCCCCCACCTCTGGGGCTCTCTAAAGGGCACAACACGGTATCAACAAATCAACTTTGGATCACGGCAACATCGCTACTACCCTCTACAATAATTCCTGAATCACCCAAGGATCACCTCTGTCTTCCCATTACTCTCATGTTTGGGAACTCTCGTTACAACACTAAGGCTATGATAGATTCTGGAGCAACTGCCAGTTTCATCAATTCAGCCTTCCTCGACACAACAAATATCTCAAGGCAACCCAAGGACACACCCCTCGAAGTATCAGTCATTGACGGAAGACCTATTGCATCTGGCGCCATCACACATCACTCCGCTCCCATTCATTTGTGCCTTCCTGGTCATGAGGAAATAATCTCCCTTGACATCACATCACTTGGCACCTATCCCGTCATCTTAGGACTCCCATGGCTCTCTCGACACAACCCAAGCATTGATTGGTCCCGTCAGACCATCAAGTTCAATTCCCAGTATTGCCTGGAGCAATGCAACAGGTATGACAAACCTGTGGGAAGAGATTCTGCTCTTCAGTACCCTCGTAATTCAAGGAACATCTCGAGCTCAGGTAACTTGCCCAGCAAGAAAGCTGCAAGTACGCCATCAACCAACAAAGGAAACATCAACAAAGGAAATATCAACAACTCTCGTAAATCAAGGACAAACACAAACATCACTACGTCACTCTCGCTACCCTCAACACTTCAGGCTCTTGTCAAGATATCTCTTGTCAGTGCAGCATCCTTCCGCTCTGCCATGAAGAGCGCAGAAATTTATGGAATCACTACCTCAGGTCAAGTCTCAAGCCTCATTGATCCTCATCCAGCTGAGGATGATGACGATGATGACTCTCCCGCAGACATTCAGAAACTCAAGGAAATTATCCCCGCAGACTTCCATTCTCATTTGGAAGTATTTAGTAAATCCAAATCCGACAAGCTCCCAGAACATGGACCATATGATCATGCCATAACACTTGAAGGCAATGCGCAGCCTAAGTTTGGCCCAATCTATAGTCTTTCTGAAGTAGAGTTAAAGGCTTTGGATGAATATCTCAAGGAAAACCTCAAGAAAGGATTTATACAACCAAGTTCAAGCCCCGCTGGATCACCTATACTCTTTGTCAAAAAACCTGATGGAACTCTCCGCCTATGTGTGGACTATCGACAACTCAACAGTATCACTCGCAAAAATCGCTACCCACTCCCGTTAATTCAAGAATCCCTTGATCGACTCAAAGGTGCTTCATGGTTCAGCAAGATTGACTTGCGTGCTGCCTACAATCAAGTCCGCATTGCCAAAGGCAATGAATGGAAGACAGCATTCCGCACCCGTTATGGACACTATGAATATCTTGTGATGCCTTTTGGTCTCACAAATGCCCCAGCCTCTTTCCAGAATCTCATCAATGACGTTCTTAGAGACTTTTTGGATATCTTTGTCATTGTCTATTTGGATGATATTTTAGTCTTTAGTAAAACAAAGGAGGAACATATTACCCACGTCAAGAAAGTTCTGGAACGACTTCAACAACATCAATTGTGGGCAAAGGCAGAAAAGTGTACCTTCTTCAAACATGAGGTTGATTTCCTAGGCTACCTTGTCTCAGACAAAGGTGTCAGAATGGACCCTCATAAAGTAGAAGCTGTTACAAACTGGCCCCCACCAAAATCAGTTCATGATGTTCAAGTCTTCCTTGGCTTTGCCAACTTCTACCGTCGCTTCATCGAGGCATACTCCAAGGTCACGGCACCCCTCACTCAACTCCTTCGCAAAGAAGTCAAGTTTGATTGGGGTGAAACTCAACAAAACGCATTCGACACTCTAAAAAAATCATTCACCACTGCCCCTATACTTCAACACTTCCAACCCAGTAAATCTATCGTTGTGGAGACAGACGCATCTGACTTTGCTATTGCAGGAGTGCTCTCCCATTCAGACAACAATCAACTCAATCCCATTGCTTTCTACTCTCGAAAACTTCAACCTGCAGAACTCAACTATGAGATTTATGACAAAGAAATGCTTGCTATAGTGGAAGCATTCAAACATTGGCGACCATACCTTGAAGGAACTAAGGAGATCACTGTATACACAGACCACAAGAACCTCGAATACTTCACAACATCTAAGGTGCTCAACAGACGACAAGCTCGTTGGGCAGAACTCCTTGCAAACTTCAACTTCAAAATTCACTACCGACCTGGAACAAAGATGGGTAAACCAGATGCCCTGACCAGGAGGTCAGACCTTCAAGGGGGGAGTAGAGCTGCAGACGCACCTCCACACACACTCCTTAAACCGGGACAATTTGTCATTGGTGCCCTCATTCCTCCAGACACTCCCAATGCACCCCCAAGCTCAGATATTATTGCTAGAATAAAGCAACTTCAGCCTGAGGATCCCATCCTCCAAGAGCTTTTGCCTTACCTGCAATCTCCCGCTACTCCCGTACCCCAAGGACTTCAGGGAAAACTTAAGAATTTCAGTACAAAGGATGACATTATCTATTACAACAACAAGATTTACCTCCCCAGCAGCAAGGAACTCAAAATTGATTTACTTCAACAGTGTCATAATTCCCCTACCTCGGGACACTATGGACAACATAAAACATACCAACTCCTCTCTCGACACTATTTCTTCCCAGGCATGAGACAATTTACCAACACCTATGTTGATGGATGTCACACATGTGCACGTAACAAAATCCCTCGACATAAACCTTATGGACCACTCCAACCACTCCCCATTCCTTCACAACCCTGGCAGTCCATTTCTATGGATGCTATTGTCAAACTCCCAGTCTCAAACAACTTCGACTCCATCATGGTCTTTGTTGATCGCTTCACCAAACAAGCCCACTTCATCCCATTCAAGGAAGACGGCTTTGATGCACCCAACCTAGCTACCATGTTCAGACAAAATATTTGGAGACTTCATGGACTACCCAAGGATATTGTTTCAGATCGCGGATCAAGTCTTCCTCAACAGACGTAACATTCAAACCCTGCGACCCTCGCTCAAACTTGATCAAAGAATGCTTGGTCCCTTTAAAATCATTGAAGCCACATCATCTCCACTTGCATTCAAACTTGATCTACCACCCTCAATGAAAATACATCCCGTATTCCATGTCAACCTTCTTGAACCTATGCGTAAAGGTCACCCTGAACAACCTCAAGATCCTCCACCCCGCATTGAAGTTAATGGTCAAGAAGAATACATTGTCAATCACATACTTGACTCTCGTATCAGCACAGATAATGGATATGATTATCTGGTCAACTGGAAAGACTACTCTAGTGCTCATGATTCATGGGAACCCTGGGAAAACATTCATCACACCACCGCATATAAAACCTTCCGCAGAAAACACCACAAGGATCCTCAACACCATTTCCCTACAGTTAAAGCACATCAGAAAATCAAGGAACCTCAAACTCAAGACAACAACAAAAGATCTCAGCGTAGATCATCAAGGCTCAGAGGACTTCGCCCTTAGAGGGGGAGCTCCTGTCATGAATCAAGAATCATGACCTAGTATCGTTATGGACTTAGAATTAGTGACTCATGATTAATTAGGAATTGATAAGTAATTAAGGAACTGCAATACAAACTGTAGTGCAGAATGTAGTGCAAACTGTATTACAGATATTGTGGACCAACTGTAGGACAGTTGGTAGAACCAAGTCTTGTCTGCAGTGCCATTGTACTACAGATGGTAACTAGTCAACAAGTATATAAACCCATAGTTTCAGTATCTTCTTCAGCAATGAATCTCCTTTTTCTCTTTTATCTTTTCTAACCTTTTCTCGATCATCCCCCTGGGTAAGAGAGAAAGAGACGTCACTCAGTTGGTTCTAACCCAACACTCTCATTCCTATCGCAGTCATTCCGTCTGACAAGCCAGAGACTAACCCTTTCAGTATCCAAGGCAGTCCCTTTGTTATCGCAGTCTAACCGCAGGCGTGACACTCATCCTATGGTCAAACGTTGGAAGAATTGAGAGGAACTACGGCGAAGGTATTCGAAGTGCTTCGAAGGTCGAATTTGTTCGTAAAAGCTAGTAAGTGCGAGTTTGAGAGGGATTCGGTGGTCTTCCTGGGGTTTGTGGTCTCACGGGAGGGAGTTTCCAGTAATCCGGAATATATCGATGCTGTCGTATCTTTTCCCCGTCCTAAGAACTTGCGAGAGAGCAGAGGATTTATGGGAGTTGTCAGCTATTATCGGCGTTTCGTCCCCAACTTCTCCAGGATTGCTAAACCGATCAATGATCTCACCAGGAAGGATGTACCGTTTGTTTGGGGAGTGGAACAAGAAAGGGCTTTTTAAGAATTGAAGGATAGAATGTGTAGGGCCCCAGTATTGGCTCACTTTGATCCTTCGCTGAAGACACTACTACAAACAGATGCGTCGTTCTTCGGCTGGGGCTTCATAATATCGCAGGTGAACGAGTTAGGACAAGAACATCCGGTAGCTATCGAGTCAGGAGCGTTTCAAGCGGTGCAGTTAAATTATACGGTAGGCGAGAAGGAACTACTAGCTATCGTTGAGGCTTTTAGAAGAAGGAGACACTTACTGTTACAGGTAGAGACTACAGTTCTCACGGACCACTTGAACTTGACATACTGGATGGAACCGAAGCAGTTAAGCCCGAGGCAGGGCAGGTGGGTCAAAGAGCTTTCTAACTTTAGGTTTAAGATGGTGTATCGACCTGGGAAACAAGCTACGCTGCCGGAAGGGCTCTCGAGAAGAGCAGACTACCACTCTGGAAAAGGAAGTACTATGGTGCAAGAGAGCAACCTTATTCAAGGATTGCCGAAGTTCAACGAACTTGACGGCACTAGCTCTGGGTTACAACACCTGCTTCGGGCCCTACAAGGGACAAAGGAAGTACGAGAGAACGACCTTATTGACCCTATGGATTTGATAGTTGGAATACACGACGACAAAGAGGTGGAGGAGGTTAGAGAAGAGTTATTGGGAGTAATCTGTACTGAGTGCTCCCACCCGACATGTCATGATAACATACAGGAACCAGAGTCGGTCGCCGAATTACGCCGTAGTTCGCGGTCTCCCTTAATACTTCGTGGGGGATGGAAATCAAGGGGGTTCCTCACGTTCGATGACCGTACTTATGTGCCGAACTACGCCGATGCTCGGCTAAAGATCATGAAGATGCGACATGACTCGGCTTTAGCTGGTCACCCAGGTTCAGCAAAGACCCTCGAACTAGTCCTGAGGGATTACGTTTGGGTTGGAGTAAGGAAGGATGTCGAAGACTATATCGCTGGATGTGTGGTATGTCAGAGAGCGAAGACTAACAGGCAGAAACCTCATGGGGAGCTTAAACCACTGGAAGTGGCTACAAAACCTTGGTCCAGCATCTCGATGGATTTTATCGAGGAACTCCCGAATTCCCATGGGTTTAACTCCATCCTGGTAGTGGTGGACCGATTGACCAAATGGGCCATTTTTATCCCGACTACGACGAAGTTAACCGCAGCTGGCCTATCAGAGTTGATAATGGACTACGTGGTGGCTCAGCATGGGCTACCAGAGAACATAGTATCGGACAGGGGATCGAAGTTCACCTCGAAGTTCTGGAAGAACTTGACCGATAGTCTCAGGATAAGACTACACCTCTCTACTGCATATCATCCACAGACTGACGGACAGACCGAACGAACCAACCAGTCTTTAGAGCTGTATCTTCGAATCTTCACCTCCTATCAGCAGAATGACTGGTTGAAGTTACTCGCTCGAGCTAGCTTTGCTTACAACAACACCCAACATTCTGCGATAAACAAAACACCATTCTATGCAAACTATGGATATCATCCCCGTTGGGCTGAAGAGATCAAGGCAAGCGAGGTCGAAGTACCCGCTGCTACAGTGGTGGTGAAGGATCTGACCGAGATACATAGAGAGTGTATCGAGGGAATTGAGAAAGCTAATGAGAAGTACGCCGAAGGGTACAATAGGAAACACCGAACTACGCCGAACTTCGTGGAAGGTGACCTAGTGATGCTGTCATTAGAGAACATTAAGACTAAAAGACCGATGAAGAAGTTAGATGTTAAGCAAAGTGGGCCGTACAAGGTAGTACGGCAGGTAGGTTCTCATGCTTGTAAATTGGAATTACCGGGAACGATGGCAGGTATCCATGATGTATTCCATGTCTCATTGCTTCGTCCCTATCATCCTCCAGTATTCCCTGGTCAGCAAGCTGAACCACCTGGTCCAGTAGAAGTAGATAACGTAGGAGAGTCGTGGGAGGTAAAGGATATTGTGGACGCTAGAATTAACAAGAGGTCGGGAAAGTTAGAGTATCTGGTAGAATGGTTAGGTTACGAAGGCTCAGATGACGCAGTATTGTGGGAACCAGTAGAAAATGTGGACGGAGCTAATGACATATTGGCAAAGTTCCACGAACTTCACCCTGATAAGCCGAAGAAAGGACGAGTGGTGAGACCACGAACGAGGAAGTAATTCATACAACAGGTATAACATCAGCTAAGTACAACTCACTACTGCGAACTTCCTCCCTGTTCCCCGTTCCCCGGTACGGGGCCACCTCCAGAACTACTCCCCGTAACCTTCGGTGGTGCCACCCGTCAAAGGGACCGAGCCTCTCTCCACGCTGCATTGAAGGCCAGAATGTGGGAGGTATGGAGAGCAGAGTCACGAGCGATGTTCAGACTAGGCAGCTTCCATAACTGTCGAAGTGTTCTAAGACAGTCCGGGGGAAGAGCCAGGATATCGAGGAAGGCAGCATCCTGAGAACTGAGTCGAGCCGGGTTGGGTGGCCTTAACCAGCCGAGCGTGGGGGGAAGGGCGTACTCGATGGGATTCAGGAGGAAGGGAGAATCGAAGAGATTGCGGTAGAAATCGTTCATGTCCGTCATGAGCTCTCGGGAGACTCTAGCTAACTCAGTCCGCGCTAATGGGCCTATATCGGAGGAGTTTACAAGAGTTGCCATCGTCCGGGACAGAGTGTTCATACCAGAGACCAGCTTCATGCAATATTCGAGAAGCTTCGCCGTATCTCGTCTATTGGCGTGTAACTGCGTGGTCAACCCAATGATGAGAGAACGGAAAGTAGCCAATTGTTTCTCCTCCTCTGGGATTCGAGGATCGTCGGCGATGTAGGGGTGGTCGAGGGGAGGAGGGAGTTCCTCTGGTAGCTGAGTACTTTCATTTTCTACCACTGCAGGTTCGAATTGGACGGCCTTCTTCTTCTTGCCTTTCCCTTTTGGAGATTTCGAAGGAGGAGTTTGGACAGGAAGAGCAGGAGTTGAGAGCCCAGTGGCAGGGGGGACAGAAGGTTGACGACTTCGGGTTCCAAGGGCAGGAGGAAGAGTGAGAGGAGAGTCCTCTTGTGCTGAGACAGGAGTAGGACAGCTCCTGGTAGGACGAGGCGAAGCGGCCGACGGGGTAGCCGGGAGACGAGATGGGCCAGCCACAGGAGTAGAAGGCCGGAGGACGGCGGAAGGAGCACAACGAGGAGTGGGACGGGACGGACCTGCCAAAGGAGTAGCGGGAAGACGAGACGGTCCGGCCGCAGGAGAGGTAGGCGGGCGGCGGGCGGCGGGTGACGGCGAGGTAGGGCCGGGAGAGGAGAAGTTCGCCGAAGGAGAGCGCGAAGGATAGTCCCTGTCTAGTCCTGTGGGGAGATGACGGCGGACAGCGGTGGACGGAGTGTACGGAGATCTAGGAGGAATGTCCCGAGCGGCGTTGGGGGGACAGAACGAGCATGGCCCAGAAGTGCAGGAAGCACAACGGGATCCACGATTACGAGGTTTGACCGGTCGTAAACACGGCCACTTCTTCCTCCTGTACGTGATAATTTCGCGACTATTGATCAGCAGATGAATAAACCTCTGTGGAAGAAACCTACCGACATCTATCACACGACTCCTCTATACTGACGACCTCCCAACGTTCCCTTTTGTCCTCGAACAACTTCCATAATCTTTCCTGCTCCCGCAACGACGCCTTACGAGCACTCCCTGGCTCCTTAGCAGGAGGGGGAGACACTTCTCTCAGTACAGGCGAAGGCCGACTAGGAGTACCTTTGGCCCGCTTCGCCGAAGGAAGGGGAGGGTCGTCGTGGACCGAAGGGGAGCGGCGACGTTTCTCGGACTTCACCTCGACCAACTTAGCCATGTAGGCTACTCGTTTCCTCCCGTTGGAGCTCTGTATCGTCACACGAAGCTCGGGAGATCCTTCGATGACGCGAATAGCTGGCCATGTTAGCACTCACAAACAGGTAACGCGACAGGGAACGTACGACTCAATCCTCCTAACTCGGCCAACCAACCATCCCTATCCTTGAACAACTCCTGGTCACCGAGATCAATATCATACATCTCCTCATCCACATCGCCCATTCCTTCTCCATCATCTGCACCACCCGTTTCCTCATCATCAACAACACCAGTCATCTCTTCATCACTATCAACAACATCCATCTCCTCGCCGTCATCATCAATCTCCACCACGGTAGCAGACTGACCCGAAGCTTGCGAAGGGCCAACAGGAGCAGGTCTGGCCTCCTGTTGGCCAGAGGAGAGAGAGGTCGGAGCCATAGCGGGGGACACGGCAGCAGAAGGAACCGCAGCAGAGGGTCCGGCAGCAGGAGGGGCCGCGACAGACGGCGAACCATCAGTGATGGCGAGGGCTCCAAAGCCCATGGACGAATCTTGGCGGGGGGAATTCCCCTGCTGAGAGACTGATATAATCAGCGAAGATCTAACTTATGACTAGCACGAGTGGACTTATGGACAGCGGTGAAGCGATCTACAAAGATGCGGTAGGCGTTGAATTCTGGTCGAGAGGTCATATTGTTAGAAATATATTAAATGGATATGTTTGGTAAGGTAAAAGCTGAGAATCGATAGACGATGATAGTACGATTTAGGAATAGTACTGGGTAAGAAGAAGAAGTGGGCCGAAGTACTGAGTATTTAGTATAACTTACACGACGACTCGTCGTCAGGGCGCTGGTAACTTCGCATAACAAGGTGTCTCAGCAACAACAAACACCATGGCGACGATCAAAATTCCCACGCTACGTGTCTCACATTCATATAAGTTAGGGATACGCTGACGAACTTCGACGAGGTTTGATATACCCCAAATCCTCTGTCTCACATACAACGTAATTACCACGGGTAACAATAACAACCACGATGAACTTCGACGAAGTAGTCCGTCTCATCACCAACAACCTACGGGCCACCTACCAACAACTGGTGCTTTGACGTTTGTTTTCCTACAACCTGCTGAGTGTCCTTTTTCTTCATTACATGCATACGAAGCTCACGAGGACGTTCACACCTAAGGAGGGGGCGACTGTCACGAACCATGTCGTGACACCCCTGACAACTACCATCACCGACCCTCCTCTCACCATCACCGAACCACTATCCACCATCACCCCGAACCACTGAGACCAACTACTTCGAAGTTACGAGAACCTAGGGGTTATTTGTCACGACAACCCCGCCTAACGGAGAACTACGGCGAAGTTAGGGGAAGGAAACCGAGGGAGAATGGAGTAGGGGAAGTTAAGCGAAGTTAGTCGAAGTAGGCGGAGTAGGATATCACGGATATGGCGAGGTACGGCGAAGTTGAGCGAAGAGGACTGAGCGCGAGGCTGTGCAGAGGTTGAGGGACATTCTATGAGAAGAGAGGAGAAGTATAGATAGTTTACAGATTGCTGAACTTCTTCAGCGATCCTTGATTGTTGTCAGTAGTGAAAGACATAGAGATAGCTATATACAATCGAGATACATCGCCATCAGTAGAACAAAACCCCCGTTAGAGTAACTACGCCAAAGTACGCCGTAGTTACACTCCTTTCGACGTCTGCGCCCTCCAGGTTGGGTGAGACATCGACTTAGAAGCGTCAAGTTAGCCGAGGTTCGTCGACCGTCGGTCTGCTAGAAGATTGTTGTTCGACAGCCGTGATAACGAGGTGATGTCTACGTCACAACCGAAGCAGGACTGTCCTTATTTCTCCAACTACACCAGTACGGTGCTTTGTGTACGGTCTGTTGTACGGTTTCCAATGTCTTGTTGGGTCAGTTTGTATGCACGTGTAAGTGCGTATAATCGTTGTGATATCTTCACTATATCCAGAGGTACTGTGACTTGTAATCTATTTGAAGTGTACGACGAGTACAATATTACAATGATAGTAAAGAGTTGCATCGAAGACTACAAATCAAAATTGGATTACCAATCTGTATCACAGTTATGTGGCATTACTAATCAACATCAGGGGATCTCACAATATAGTTTGTGACAGGCACTTCTGTCCTGACTCTTTTTTGGGGGCAAAACTTGGCCCAGACTGTTCCATGCTCTAAGAATAGCAGGGGCATCAATATCCCCCTGCTAATCCTGGACTGGGAGGTATTTGCGCCTTATGAGGTGCCAATAGCTTTGCTGGGGCGCGACCTGATCAAATATGTTTGTATGTTCATTACCCGGCTTGCCTGTTCACACCTCCTGCAAGTTTTAGCTGAAGATTCCATGTGAGTCATCATGTCACTCACTGTTTGGAATACCCATTTGTCAACAATGTATCCCAAGCTTGCCCCATTGCCAGTTCTGCGCAGCAACATTCTGCCCAAGCAGTTGGGGTACTGCAGTGATAGGCATCAAGTGTGTCCACCCACCCACTCACAATCTTCAGTGGTGTCAATACCTGTCCCACTGGCACAAGCGAGGCAGGCCCGTGTGTCACAGCCCGTGAAGTCACTTTAAGTATCTCACCAAGGGCTTTAGAAACATTGTCATCTGCTTCTGTGAAGGGGACAGTATGACCGAGAACACTCATTGTGGTGTGCAGAATCAACGCAGAACATGAGAAGAGGTGTACACCCCATTTTTTAATCCTACTATCCCCAGACTGAGGGGAATCTGCGCCTTGTGAGGTGGCAATAGCTTTGCTGGGGCGTGACTTGATCAAATATGTTTGTATGTCCAAAACCCGGCTTGCCTGTTCACACCTCCTGCAAGTTTCAGCTCAAGATTTCTGGTGAGTCATCATGCCACTCACTGTTCGGAATACTCATTTGTCAACAATGTATCCCAAGCTTGCCCCATTGCCAGTTCTGCACAGCAACATTCCACTCGAGCAGTCGGGGTCCTGCAGTGATAGGCATCAAGTGTGTCCACCCACCCACTCACAATCTTCAGTGGTGTCAGTACCTGTCCCACTGGCACAAGCGAAGCAGGCCCGTGTGTCAGAGCCCGTGCAGTCACTTCAAGTATCTCACCAAGGGCTTTAGAAACATTGTCATCTGCTTCTGTGAAGGGAACAGTACACTCGAGGACACTCATTGTGCTTTGCAAAATGAACGCAGAACACAGGATGGAGTCTACCTCCCCTTCTGTGTTGAGACGACTAACTTGTAGGTCCATTGAAGTTGACAATCTGCTTTGGATGAGAGTTGAATGAATGAACGTGTTTGAGAGATGGCTAGAAACACGACCCTGCACGTCTATTTATGGCTTGAGACGGGGTCGGGCAGTCGGTCATTAGACGGGGGAGGCGGTGGTCACCCGTTCGATGCACTGCCTGTTCGATGGCTAGCCGGGTGGAAGGAGTGGGTGACGTCACCGAGAGGCGGTGAGGCTATTCCCTTTGATCATCCAGAATTTGCACAGTGCACCGGAAGCCCACGGACACGCCAACGGACTCCGAAGAGATGACAGGCATGGAAGGTGAGGTGAAAACTCGATCTTGTTGCCTTGTGATTGACGCCGTCTGTCCGCTTTATCTCCCAGGCAAAAGAAACGTCAAGGGAAGGATGTGTTGGGAGGTCTGTGGTGGAGAGTCATCATTACATCACTCGTGTAGACGTGAGAAGATAGGAATGGTCGAGGAAGACGCGATCGAATCGATTTGGTGTGGTGTGGGAACGTGTGAGGTTGTAGTCAAGACGAAGTTGTCGAGTCTTGATCTTCCTACGGCCTCTATTATACGAGCGCAGGGATCGGTCACTGTCCATTAGCATCGGTCCTGGGAGGATATAAGGGTGGAACTCGTATCGTCACTTGACGACTCACGACTCACGCCCGCATGAAGCTGGTGGTGGGGATATAGACGCCAGGATTTGGTTCACTCAGATCGTGTTTCCAACTCCAGAGCCATATCTTCATCTCAGCGTTGGCACTTTACTTAGTGATGACTTACTAGAGGTGTAGTGAATAGCATTCCCCCGGATGGAAGGTTTTCTCCACTTCCCACCGACAAGTTGATCACTTGGCTTGACATCTGACAGATTCCGTCCTCAAACCCCTGACATTCACATTGTTGTATGATGCGAGCTTGTTTGTCTGTTAACATGAATTCAATCAATAGAATGATACAATACGAAGTCACTATCGAGAGGTTGCGTATGCGCAGGAATGAAGAGAGGATCAGTTTACTTCCTTACTACCGAAGGTGAAAAGGTTACCAAGCAACCGCCGGCCGCCGGCCCCCCACCTGGCCATCATAGGGACGACTTTCGGATTTCTACCTTTGGTCAGTGATTGATGGACACTGGCCCTGACCTAGAAGCTAGTGTCATGGTAACATGGATGAATACTCAGTGCTAGATTCCATTTTCATCCCCGTGACCCAAAACCCTTCTTCACCCTAGACTGTCCTCAAGAGCTTTCATATCTGACGAATCATCCTACTACGAATGTCAGCCCAAGTCTTCTCTCTTGAAATGCGGTCTACTATCCCAGCTTTATCATCAAATACATACGTTTTTGGCATCATCCCAATTTCAACTTCATGCATCTTTCCTTCGGTTCAATAGGCTTCGCTATCAACCCGGTTCTAATTTTACCCGCACCCCGAACTACTTCCTGCATATAGCTCTGTCAATGCAGTCCTTATCAGCGTTCGTTAAACCCTCGCCTTCAAGTATGAGATCTGGTCACTGTGTCTCTCAATTGGGTGGGTTCCGGGGTTGACTGAATTGTTGGAACTGTATTGTCAAATGATGCCCTGTTCATGGTTAGAAGTCTGATCCATCCCCAGACTGGGAAAGTCTATACCCAGACGCTGTGGGTTCAGGGAGTGAGTTCACAGATTCACGAAGTTCCTGAAGACGGTCATAAAGTTCACCCACACACTTGGTAACTGACTTTTCCAGGTCTCTGCTTAAATTAGCTTGACATACGACAGTGAGAGAGCGGGGCAACTGACAGTAATGAATCTTCAAATGACAGTAGTGAACTCTCTGACACCTTGTAATGTACTGCAGACGGTGGAGGAGCATGAACGTAGGGTAAGTCCCCTAAACCAACCCAGCGATCCCCCCAAAAGACTTCATCCTCCGTAGGGGCCGGGCTGTCTTGGGATACGTCCTCTGTATGTTCACTCGGATGTCCTTCAACATTCTCTGCTACTCGTGGAGTCAGCAGAGATAGAATTCATAGTTGCCAGATAATCTAAATTCGGTTGTACGATGCTGTCGGATAGTAGAGATTGAGTTCTAAGGAAGAGGGTGTGGTGTCAAATACTTGATTCATACAAATGCTCTAGATTTGGCTCGGAAACCCGGTCGAATCGGTCATGACGTTTTCGAGGCGATGGTCGATCCATTGATGTAGTCTTCGGTCTACGACTAGTATAAAGGTTCGTCATCGCCTCAAAATCGTAGGCTGTGCTAGATCGGAATTGAATAGGAAATGGAAGTCCCAACCTGCGAAAAAGCGTCTAAATCTTGCATAGCTAGAAGGACAATGGAGGGATCGAGTGAAGAGAAGAAGTTGTTGTTTCCTTTTCCTATAAATTGTCAGGATGATAGAAGGGAATTTAAGTTGCGATATTTGCTAGTCGTGACAACGTGGGGTGAGAAGGGGTGAAGGACGTTGATAGGGTGGTAGTGAATCAACCGGCCGAGAGCGGAAATATGATGACGAAAGATGTCTCATACTCGTTTGGTGGAAAGATTGTGAGGAGAACTCGTTCCTGATCATAGTCAACTAAATTTGGAGATTGTACGGTCCGAGTATATGTCAGTCTTGACGTCGACATAGCTATTTTAGGGTTCTGTATTCGAACTTTGAATGATCTGTTGATCCGGCATGAACCCTGTTGTACGTCTTCGGTCGGGATGAAGTATGGATATATTGCTTTGAAATAATCGTCCAGTAGCGATAAGGAGCGAGCCGGATTGAGGTACATCATTGACCAATTTAAGAGTTCATCGGCATATCGCCATCCCACTTGATCCCAAACATCGATGCCCATAACTGTTAGTCAGCATTTCCATCTCGATCTCCTGACTCAGAACCAATCAATTACTCTGAATAATGCAATCTGAAGATGAAGATGGTCAAGGGGCAATATCACCAACCTGAGTCAAAGTATCATTATCTTGTCCTATAATCCCATCTGCTCCTCCTTGCGATCCCATTCCAGAGGTGGCTGAAGCGGTACGACTCAACCCTGTGAGTCCGGTATATTGATCACCCGGACGAAATTCCGCGTCTCCGTTTCCCGCTTCAGGTATATACTGGGTTCTTATTTGGCTAGGTGCGGAGTATTCTGGAAACGCTCGGATTTGCGATAAAGGCTTCGTTTCGGATAACTGATCAGTGTTGGGTATTGCCGATGGGTCTGGAGCGGACCAGAGTCCATGATCATGTATCACACATGTAGAGAGTCGTTGATTGATAGCGGCACTGATATCAGCATATGACAGCGGCGTGAAGGATGAAACATGAGGTGAATTTGGCTGATCGTTATGTGATACGACATGGGATGAGATGAGATGAAAGCAAAAAAGAACTCACGTTGCTAGTTTCTCCAATCTGACCAATCCCCGGCAGAGATCAGTTTGAACAGGATGAGCACTGTTCCACTTCGCGATCCTATTCTCAAACATTTCGATGGCTCCTCGTAGATCATCGAGACATCGTTGACCTTTCGGTGTTCCGGGTTGACGGATAGCTATGAAAGCGCATACGGCTCCTGCTTGGAAGGCCTGGTGGTCAACACTGGTCACATTATACAGCAGCGAATCACCGTGGTAGTGAACGGATGAGACCAGAAAGAGGTTGCAGCCACTCACACGATAAGTGTATGTCCACCAAAGCCAAAAGATGGAACTACGAGTATCATATGCCAACCGATATGCTGAGAGGATTGTATGAGCAGCACGAGTGCAGATCTCTGCTGAATCGGGATAGGCCGACGGGTCTGCTCGGAGGTAAGGTCGATGGAGGACCATCCTGAGATGTTAGATCCACCTTGTTCAAATCCGATGAAGTTTCCACAGACTCCAGTCATACACGCATGTGGCAACACCGCATAATCATACTATCCCATCTTGAGTCATCTCACAGGAGCGCTGTTGTTTGCTTTTCTGGTATTGAGACGGCATAGGGAAGTGGACGAGAGGGAGACGACAGGTGATGTGAAGAGAAAGTTGTTTGATTCGTAGGGGTAAGGGACCATACCACTCACACAATCATGAAAGTCTTGACACATAACAACAAAGTTTGTCCAATATGTACTCTACTCCTCGTACTCATATACTCTTCCGCGGTATCTTTATCAGGATCAAATCGCATTCCACTCGGTAGATGACTATACCAAGTGAATATATCTAACGCCAACCTAACAGCATCTTCGTACGTATGTCGACAAGCATCGTGATCCGAAATGGTGTCGTCTCGAGGAGTAGGTGAAAACCAACCGTAAATAGCCGAACGTGAGTATTTTCTATCAACCGAAAAGACTCGTTCGAGAAGTTCGTATGATGGAATAGTGAGTTGAAAATAGGCTGCGTGAAATGTCATCTCTGTAGTTTCATTACGAATCACGTTGGATGGTGGCAAAAGTAGTTGACAAGAGCCAGGAAGATCGGAAAGTCGATCATCTGCTCGATCTTGGGGGAGACTAGTGGTGTAGAAGTTTACGGCGGAAGGACGACCGAAGGAAATGCATAGGAGTGCGTCGAGACTGGCGACTGTCCACCTGGATGTCAGTGGAGTTGATAAATCTTCAAAGGAGGAAAACCGAAAGAAGAAGATGGTGCTTGAGTTGGACAGATGACGCAGTTTCACATTAGCAGATTTAAAGAGGGCGCGGAATGAGGTAGGTGAAAAGGGAGAAGGAGGGGAAGGGAGACTCCCACCATATACGACGCTTCACTTCTGCTGTCCTCATAGAAATCTTCGAATCTAGATTCGCAGGGTCGACATGTAATCCCAAAGCTATGCATTGTCTCACTAGAACTCCTGTGAGACTCCAAGCGTCTGCTGCGCGTTCACTATTGATCAAATAAACATTGATGAGTATCTGACGTCAATCAGTGTCATGATATATAGAGAGGGATGACATACCGAAGTTTGGATGGTGTAGATGTTCGGATTGGACAGGAAGGAACAAAGTCTTAAAGCTTGATCCGCCCCGGACACTATGGTCAGCAATGATGCTCCCATACACTGGGTTGGCCCTACCGTCCCCCACTTCTTTTCCGTGATATGGACATCGGTCAGAGGGCGAAGCTCCACGACGATGATGATTGAGTCGTTTTCGCGAGAATTAAAGAAATCATGGATGAAGGGAGGATCGTCTCATTATGAGCTATGCGAGGATGCGCGGGCAGATGATGATAAACCGGCAGAGAAAAGATGGGGTCAGGTGAAGAGTCGGGGAGGGGGTACAGGAATAGACAGCCAAGGTGGAATGTGATGAGTACGAGTGAATGGAGACTCACGATACAGCTCACTTTGCAACCTACTACATGTTAAGTCCTTTTGGTCTCTCATCGTGCCTTTAGTCCTCTCATCCTCCATGCTGGAATTTCGCGACGAAGAGTCAATCATCGCTTCGCCAAAGATTTCGAGCTTAGACGCCCGCATCAGTGATCCTGTAAGTTAGCAACCTCCTTCCCTGCATTCACACTGCGAAGCAATGCGAGGATAACGAAGTGAGGTTGGAAAGAGACACACCCAGGGCACAGATCATGAGATACAATGCTAGACAGAAAAGTGGAACATTCTTCTTCTCTGATGTGGTGAGGGAGAAAAACCTCCTGTACTCCGCTTCGAGGGTCGGTCTGAAGTGAGCGATGATTCTGCGTCTCGTGATACCTCCAATGGGATACACCCAACACCATAGAAAAATGGTAGGTAGCAGGCAAGTGCGATAGTAGTGTGAACGTGAAGGAAGACATGTCAAGATTGAGTAGTGTTATGTGGAGAGTAATTTCAATCGACCGATGTTTCGGGCGAGCATGATGGGGGGCGTGCATTTGAGGGCGAACATATGATGGAAGATACAAAGTGAAAAACAGTATACGATATCGTCGCCAAAAAGACAAGATATGGATAAGAATAGAAGGAATACTCACTGATGCCAAGCGAGAAAAAAGACACAAATCTCTTCTTTGAACGATTCCAACAACATTTCCGATTGTTCTTTGTTAGGTAACAAATCGATAATCTCATCTATAAACTTATCCTGTCTCCATATAGTTGCAAAAGGGAAAGTTTTCCGTATATCAGGTAAAACACCAGAGTACACAGTATCTTCCGGGACTGTGAGAAGTTCATCTTCTCCCACTGGAGGAGAAGATGTAAGTGGGGATGAAAGGTTGGTGGTGTTGATATATGGATTATTGGTGGTTATTTCTCTCAACTAAAGGATCAGCCCGATTCCTAAGTACGAAAAAATGTGAAAAGAAAGAGGAGATGATGGCATGGTTGTTACTTACTCTTCTTAATAATGCTCTACCAGCTGTGACACCTAGAAAAGTCTTTTGACCCACTCCGTCAACTACCATTTCTTCCCCTGCTAAAAGATGAGTGGAGTAAGGTTCTTTTCTATACCAATTCCCATTCCCTTCTTTCCGTTCATCGACATGATTCGTTGTGATACCATCATTCCTCACCGAGGATGATAGTGTGTGTTCAGCTGGAATGTTAGGGGTAGATCTTTGGGTAGGAAGAGTGGCAGTTTGGGAGAAGGGTTGAATAATGGCTGAAGCTGCCACTTGCATCATGGCAGCTTCGTCCAATTTAAACCGTGCGAATCTATCCACGATTATCCTTCTTATTTGTTCCGCATTCGTACCTTCTTGTCTTTCGTTTTTCCTCCTTAGTTGTATTATCCTTTCCAAATCTTTCCGATCTTCCACATTACCCATATCATAGGATTCAAGGTCGACATGAACACTACCCTCCATTGAAGAAGGATGTCTCTCTCCCAGAACTCGTGACGCAAAAGTAGGATATCTGTCTGTGGGATTATCATCTTGAGAAGTGGGACGATCTGGTCGAATATCCTCCTGGACACTGACAATATTTGGATTCACATGTGACTGGTGTATACTGAGAGAAGGTCGAGAAGAACGTTGTCGTAATTCCCTTGTGACCTGTTCCAGTTCAGCAACCCTCCTTCTTAATGTTGCACTTCGTCTAATGCAACGTCGGAGGAATCTTGTATTCCATCTACTTCATAAACGCAAGAACCAGTCATGTTCAATGCTGTGCATCGACCACAAGGTCTTTTCCTGTCGCACTGTCTGTCAGCTACTGATCAAGGGAGTTAAGGATTGTCTCATCACAAGTCAAGGGTCCCGAACAAGGTCCGGCATGTAAGGTGAGCATTGACGGGAAGGTCAGAACGACCGCCCGTTATAGATAGCTCAGGGAGAAGGACAAGTAAAGAGGTTCAGGTATCAGGTTAATGTACGTATCAGTCGCTGAGAGAGTACGAAATCAAGGATGAAACTTCACGAAGTGAGAGGTCCCGGGCGAGGGCGGGTCTGGAACAAGGGACAGGGAGTATAAGTTGGGAGTACGAATGAGCGAGCGGTGTGAGGGATGGACTGAATCAAGAAACACCTAGTGAGGAGCGAGAGTCGGGCGATCAAGGCGGGAGACAAAAAGAGGGAAGGTAAAGTCTGACAGCTGGAAGAAACGAGACGACTCACTCCACGTTTGTTACGATTACAAGGTAAACAGCTTTGTATCGTTCTATTTCTTTTTTTCTTCCTATGATCCATTTTCTCCTCTGCCTCTTCTTCTTCTTTCAATTCTAAGCCCTTTCCATCTTCTTCTTCCTTCAAATCTTTTTCCTTTTCTTTACCTTTATCTTTCTTCCTCTTGACGTGGATGATCCGTTCAGATTCTAACCCTATATTCTCATTCTTTCTGACAAAGTCGATGTTGTGTCGACCTATATGTGGGGATAAATTCGAATGTGGGGGTAAAATCGAGGGTGAGCGAGGATACTCTTCCTTTCCTCTAGGCTGTAACATACTAATACTTCCATTCTCCCTTTTGACCCCCCCATTCTCAGTAAAAGATGTTACCTGAGAGTTCGCTTCTCCAAAAACCGGAGAATGTGTTGTATCCCAACTCAAGTTCCTTCCATCCATCAAATCCGAAGTATCCGTTGAGGGAGGTAGGAGTTCATATGTATAATGTACCATCTCCATCCTTTCTTGAGACTGAGGAATCAAATGACTCATCGAACTTGATCCAGAAGTAGAAGCCGTGTTAGGGAGTAGATGTGAATGTGGTCCGTGGTGTGTTTGTTCATGGCTGGGTTGAATCGGTTGATACATATTTGATTGGTGGGTGTATGAGTGCACGGGATTCGAAGGGTTCTGAGATGTCATATAAGGTGGATATAGAAAAGAAGATGGGTTAGGGGGATGATTCATCTTTGAAAGAGTATTGTTAAGTTTGATTCGCTTCGTTCGTTTATCGGTCCTTTAATCTATCGGTGGTGTATTGGTCTTCGACTCTATCGGTCTGTCGATCTGAGAAGTGAGAAGTCGACTGTTGGTCTGTTCGTCCTTGTCGTCATACACCGTTTACATATATCCTTTCTGTCTGTATAAAAGAAGTCGGGTCTATTTACGTATTCGTATGTCCCTCTATGCCTTCTTGAGAGAAGATAAGAGAGAAATAGATGAAGCTGAATGTTTACTCTTGACCTTTCAAATCTCTTATATCATTTATCGATCCAGTTCACTAAGATGGTGTTGAGAAGTAAAGCTATATATCACAGACTGGCAAACTCACAGATTCGCAAAGTCGAAAGGTATGTCGAAGGTCTTTCCCAAGAAGTCGATGTGTACTGCAGTGGAGCGAAGCGAAGCGATAAAAGGAAAGCATGATAAACTTTGCGTGTGTTTTTCTTCTTCACTCCGCCTCTTTGGCATGACGATAGCGATGAGAATCAACTTATAATATGATCAACCATCCCTCTTCCCGGTTACAGTCCTTATCGAAGTGATGTGGATGTGGAAGGGGTGCACGGAATGAGTCAAAGTAAGAAGGAAGGAAGGGAAATTGATGAGAGATGTTTATAAAGGTGTTTTATGAAGAATTCCTGAACATGTCAGCTTAAGTTTCGGAAAAGTATTTGATTCATCTTATACAAATCACCTATCTTGATAAATCTTTAAGAACAGAACGGTCTAGTAACTTCTGATCCATCTCTTCCTCGTTTATCCAAACATTTCCTTCAGATTCTGAAGTAATCTCGGAATCTCGAAGTCTCAACCCCTCGGAACCTTTGATCGTGGCTAAGACCAATATGATCACCACAACCCGACCAAGACCGTTATCATATTTATTTCTTCATGTATCTACCTTCCTCTCATCCACTGACAAACCCGTGTTGAAGGATCTATAACCTGGACCGTCGGATAAGGGGGAAAGAAAGAAGTAAACAAAGTGACAAGTGACAGACCTTTCCGTGTGTTTGTTCCCTACCATCGATTCACTTCCAATCTTATACGAAATCCCAAGTTTTAACGGAGGTACATAATCGTTTCTATCTTCTTTACTGATCAAGAGCTTAAAGGGAAGTTCGTTTACAGTACATAGATCTCTCTGAGTGATATGTGTTAGATGAAGAGGAAGATGTCGATTGTGGCACAAATGACATAAATGGCATAAATCGAGGGAAAGAAGTAATGATGTATGAGGGTTTCCCCATACGCCCTTCTCCCCGAAGGATTCATGATGTTCTTATCTGAGACTTAATTTCCTGAAAGTGAAAAGAAATATCTAAGGGTGACGACGAACTCGGCACATGTGATTGAAGGCTTTGGAGGATGGAGGATGGGGAATGGGGAAGATGATGTCCGTGCATAAGGATATATCGTATTTCTTACATACGTGTGTGAATTTCTCATTTCAAGTGAACGAATCTTTTGTCATTTGATTTGGTAGCATGAAATATGACAGCTTTGTTATGGTTTTGAAGATGTGGAGAGGAATATGGATTATTGTTTCTAGAGCATCACAATTTATCGGTAGATTGTACATAGTAAAACTGGATTTGACCCGAGGCATTTGTCAGTTGCATCTGCCACTTTGCCTCGGACCTTGCTAGAAGGGGAGTCGTACTAAACGTAACTCCCACACCGATGCACAAAGTATAAACATGTCATCGAAAGCATGGAATACAACTCGTACAATACTCTAGATACATAACTCAGTCTTCTCATCATTTGATCGTATATAAATCCAAAGCATGATCGACCATTTCAACCGACAAGCATCACGCGCTTCCCTTCTTCACCTCACGATTTCGTAAAGGTGATTGTGATTGTTGACCGAGTGAAAACCCTCCGAGACATCACAATCTCACTTCACTAGTCTCACTCTCACTCCCACTTCTCGTCAAAACTTGTCCTTTCCTCGTCCCCATGATCCCATAAATGATACTAGTACCCATATCAGGTGTGGTAGCCATATCCCTATCTTCTTCCTCATCACTCGTCGATGTTCCCATGGGGGGTAAAGATCCTACCGAACTGACTGGTGAACCTCCAACATCAACACCATCAGTGATACCTTTCTCCTCTCCGACCATGACGTGATCATTCACTTCCATATCGTCGTCATCCTCTTCCACCGCGTGCTCAAAATCAGCGGGTATCAAACCACCACTTAAAAGACAAGCTTTAAGTCTCGCCGCTACTCTTTCCCTCGTGTCAGGTGTGGAAGCTACGAATGGTCGGTGAACTTGTTTGGAGGATGTCAGGAGGATGACGGCGTCATGGAGCCAATCCTGTGCTTCGGGAGACATATCAAGGATTTCCGGTAGGTGAACGAGGTCTTGAATGATGCCATCGGGGATAGGCGAGATAATGGCGAGTGAAGGAAGTGGGTAGTCGTTGAGGAATTTGTTGAGAGATTTGAAGAGATAAGAGAGGATAGTATGGATCCCAGTAGGGGTGAAACGCCCTGTGCGTCAGACTTCGTCCCTAGTATATAAACCGCCACGGCTACTCAAGTCAATGAAGGAGCCCGGGACATGATAAGGATCGAGTGTCATTATTGTGACATCACCAGGTCGATCCGGCAGGGGCTGGCGAGACTCGACACGAGAGTCATAATCACAGAGAAGACAATATCGTGGTGATGCGAGGAATTTTTACCCACCCTCAAAGCTCCATTCGAGTATCTCAACGCCCCACGAAGCGAAAGCAAAGTCGAATCTCGGTTTCAAACTATACTCCGCCAATCTTTTCCTCTCAGCCCTTTCGTGCGCTTTGGCCTCATCAATGACTTTTGGCTTTGTGGTGCTTAGCGCAGGGAGGGAAGATAAACCTGAAAGACCTGTAAAACTTCCAAAGGTCGCTCGAGTGGGACCAGGAGAAGGACAGGGAGTTGTAGCTGGTGTGAGGGAGAATGGTGTTGGGGCCGAGAGGTTCGGGCATGGAAATCCTCCTACACGTAAGCCAAATTAAACTCATCGGAGAATATCATGATTTTCGTCGAGATTATCGAAATGAAAAAGGGATCGAATTGCGAGAGGGTAGATCTAACAAATAAAGATATGGAGAGACAGACTGACCCTGCACCATCAACTTCCTCAAAACACCCTCCGCCGCCCAACGTTGACCGGCAGCGATGATGACGGGATGTACGCAGACGGTGGAGTATGTCCTTTGTTCGTTTGCCTCCTGTGCCGCGTTGAGCCTGATGTCAGCGATGTGTGTAAATTACATACTGATCGACGTCGTCGACTTAAGCCACAAAGGAGATACACCTTTGCGAGTGATGGACGTTTCACAATTACGCCTCTTGCGATCATGATCAAGAAGCGATATAGTATCACTGCCGTCACATCGCCACCCGTATCCGATCTTCCTCTCCAGGAGTTCCAAGGTTGGTCCCGCAGTCTCAAGATGATTTCAGAAAGAATCGTAGAATCATGGATACGAGATATGATCATAGGGGATGTGGGTAGTTGATGAGGGAAATAGAAGCGGAGTGGAAAGAACGAAAAAGAAATATGTCCTCACCATCTAACTTCCACAGGCCTTACATTCTCTAAAACCTCCAATAACAACTCCATTCTCTCATCCGAATCTTGACAATATTCTCCACCTCGAAGTGTCAAAATACATACGTTGGGAAGAACCAAAGGTCCTATTCCTTCGCCTTGTTTGATATCTTCGTAAGAAGAAGGGACGAAACGAATATCAAGGTCGAGATGTTCGATGGTGTTTCCTTGGTCTGACGGAGCGCGGAAGGCTCCTTGAGGTGAGAACAGGGAAGACCATTGAGAAAGAGATGCTACTCTAGCATAAGTCGGTGCAGGGGATATCATTTTGTATCTTCCAATTTTATCTTGAAAATCTGAAGAACCGTTGAATATTTATGTTTCTTGAAATTGATTGATGAGTGGTCGAGGGATGAAAGTGGTTTGACAAGCTGTTTAAGCAAGTGAGAGAATTTGAAAACGGTTGGGTTCTGAGAAGTAAGCCACGGGTGGGATCAAAAGACAAAGTAAGATCTGTGGGGGGGGGGAAGAGGAAAAGTATGACGGGGGAATAAAGGGCGAAGTCGGGTAATTAAACCGTTGCCGCTTCGTGATGATGATGATGTAGATGGCCGCCGGTCCGAATAGCCAGCGCAGCGAATAAGGAGAGGAGAAAGATGAGCGCAGAGTGATGATGCGAGTGATTTGGAAGAACAAGGGGTAAAGGGGGGTAATGACGTTTCTTTCTTTCGTTCTCCTTTCTCCCTTGTCGAATTTGTAAGAGACAGAGAGGGGGGTCCTTTCTAACGTTTCTTCCGTCCGTGTCTCGGATGACCCCCGTTCGTAGGGGTACCTTTGATGACGATGAGCGATGAGCGATGCGATGAGAAGTGAAGAAGTCCCTCCACCACCTCGCCTCTTCTGCCTTCTTCTCTTTCGGATCAAGAGGGGTCGGTAAAGTTGACCGGGGGAAGGAAGTTTATTCGGATGACTTGAGAATCTTTCGGAAAGGGATGTCTTTGAAGTGATCTACTATCCTAGGATTACTCTATTCGTTTCAGTCGCACGTGTGACAAATCTGAGGTTCGAGGAGGATAATGGAAGATGTTTGGGATTGAAGGTGGAGAGCTGTAGCCTGTAGCAAGTAGAAAGACAATTCGGAGGAGGAATGCACAGCACAAAGAAAAGCCAAGAAATCGGGATATTCGGATACGTCCGGGACCCCACTAAGTAGATATCAGGCACCCAATTCCACTACCCCGCGGCCCCGCGGCACACCGCCGGCAGCTGGCAGAGACAACGACGCCCTTGTTGATGGTCACAGATGTCGAGTCAAGCGAAGCGGTAAATGCATCATGCATGATGCATCAATCTTTCCCTCTTCCCGCCTTACTTCGGCTTTGATGGAAACACCGAGGGTGCAAGAGGGGACAGAAGAAATGGGGGAAAGGATGTCAGGAGGGTTCTAGAAACATCGGCTCGTCGGGACGATTTGCCGGAGTCTTCTCATTTTGGCAACACACAGTGACGAGTGAAATCATCAAGACAAAGATGAGAACCCCAGATCATTTCTGATTGTACTTGCAACAGGATTGTTCGGCGAGAAGATATTGAATCATTCTGAATGTCTCTCTACTTGCGATATACTCATGTCTATCACTGAGATGGCCAAAGCGTCTGACGGATCCGAACCGAAAGAAAGAGAAGAACGAAGATCACGTCGCAACTCTCCTAGCGCGATACCTTTTGCTTTGGCCTGAGCCACTCGGGAAGCTTTTTCTTCTTTTGATCGAGATAGTCGGATGTTCCTTTTCCTCAGCTGTCACAAAAGGTATGCGAACTGAGCGAGTCGGATAATCCCATCTCGTCCGCTGTCGTAACGAACGAGAATCGGAGAGGAGGGGAAAGGAGAACAAATTTGACTCACCGTCTATGTACTCGAGAAGACAGATGTTTTCTCCATTCTTTTGCCAAGACGGAGAATGGTCTACCAGTTTCCGAACATAGTGGACATTCTTTCCTTGCGTTAACTATCTGTCTCCTAATCATCAATTTCTTTCCGCCTCACTCAACGTTCGCCAAACTCGTATCATCAACAAAGGGCGATCTACCTCCCCATGCCATGCCGATCTCGCGCAGTGGAGAACTCGACGAAGAGGTGGGAGGTGTTAAGAGAAACGGATCAAAGGCAGACATCAAGGGTTGAACACTCACTCGGCCGTATCCGGTACTTTCATCCCTGACTCTTCCAAGACTTGAAGCAACTCCACAGCCTGTGAATGTCCTATCGTTTTTGGATCTGGCATATCTTCATCTCGCAGAAAACCTGTCCTTTAGTCTCACTCAGTACTCACAAACACTCTTTCCCTGCCACTAACTGGAATTCCAATCAGGACCGATTTCTGCAATACAAGTTGGACTTATATTTGACAAAAGCTTCAGGTAGAGATATGTAATGAGAGTTGGAGTCGATGACACTCACAAGATAAGATATTTCTTGCCACTTTCTCTCCCTCTTCTCCGCCTGGAATCACATAAACCCACACCTCCCCTCCTAACTCTCTAGCCTCACCGACAGCCGGAAGCAGCTGCTTTCTGATCCATTTCAATTGTGATCGGGCGTATTGCTGAGTAGACAATTTCATACGATTCAACATGGTTGAAAAATGAGGATCAGACCGAGCGGCGTTGATGTTGGTGATGTCGAGAGGTAAAGAGGAGAATTCTTTGAAGCCTGAGATTAGCGAACTCTCCTATACCCCGCATTACCAGTCATGATCCCCAGCGGACTTGAAGGTAGAGGACAGTCGGCTCGTCGAGATCACCCTTGACTACTGCTTCTGGCTGATAAGGACCAGCTTCTGAGGACCGCCGAGGCAGCGGGAGATGATACGGGGATGGGAGAAACAAACAGGGAAACGATAGCTCACCGATGGATTGAAAGATCCCTTCTGTGTAGTCCACTTGTTCGCTTGACCCATATATCCGTGTCGCAATCTCACGCATTTCCGCAATCTCTTTCAACAGACCATTCTATCAGTCAGCAAAAGCTCATCTCCGTATCATGTTCTCTTCCTACAGCCTCTGACTACGCGGAAATTCGAAAACGCATCGACACATTGATAGATAGATGAGTGCCAAACACACCATACCTACCTCTAACATCTTGTCCACCCTCTTATCCAGCTTCGGCCCAAGAGTATCCATCCCTTCGTATACCCAGAAAATCAATGTACGGAATTTAGCTCGACTTCCCAACTTATTGATCCCGATTAAATGTCTTCCTTCCACAAAAGCATCACCGTGCCCATTCTCCTCTCCATGTCGAGCAGCTGACGTTGATTCATCCTGTGACATCGTCCCGCTTGCGCAAGACCCACATCGCTCCCACCACCTTTCTAACCCTCTTCGGACTTTACGTCCATCACGCCAATGCCATCTTCCAGCTTCTTTCGGATCGACGGCTTGTAACAATTGATGTAAAGCTAAGAGATGAGCTTCCCGCAACGTGGTACGACTTGCGCCTCTTCTCTGCGTTTCTTGTTCATGACCCTGATTCGAGGACTCGGCTGTTCCCTTCTCTCCGTCGAACAAGCCAGTGGCGGATTTCTTTATTTGAAGATCTGCTGAGTTCTGATCTGACAGTGGAGGAGACTGATATTGTGAAACTGTCTCTTCCCGACTTATGACAGATTTTGGCCATATGGGCTGATTAGTCCAGAAGGTATTTAACAACATTTCCCATTCTTCTCCTAAACCTGAAGTGCTCGGTCGTGGACACGGTGGTGTCCATTTATCCTTACCCTTCAGGGAACCAGTAGGAGGCCGTACAATGGACAGCTCAGAGGGGGGAAACAAGAAATGTTGTATGAAGTAATGTGTTCCTCCGCAAATGATAGGGAGGGTTGAATTTTCCAGAGAGTCAATCTACCATCAGAATGTGTCCAATCGTATGTACAGATCCTAACTTGAAATCAGGGCCAACCATCGATCAGGATGATAAGGTGGACAGATGGGGGTTAATGCTGAAGAGGGATGAGCGGAAGAAGTGAAAAGTTGACGAACCTTCGTACCAGCTTCAAGACACCATCTTCCCAATTCCCAACTCGGCTCACCAGGAGAAACCATATTCATACCCCAATGTTCCACCCCACATTGTTCTTCCACACTAGCTTTATTGGTGATGACGTCCAATCCGCGATACAGCTGCATCGAGTCCGCCGACAAGACCACGGCCTTGGTCGGGATGGTCCTCGTGCTCACCTCACTTTGGTCGGTCGTGAATTGGACATCCCCGTTCCTTAGAAGATCTTGACGGGGTTTTGATGGACCAGGTTCATCCACTGATAACAATGTAAGTTCTCTTGTCAACTCGGTAGGGGATGCGACATAGGAAGGAAGGGTGTCGAGTGATCGAGCGAGTGAGACTGCCAGTTGTGATTTGCCTGAGCCGGTGGTACCTATCACGGCGACTATATCTCTTAATCTTGAAGAGTTCATATTGAACATCCGTGTGAGCATCCGTATCAGTCCATGCCAGCTTGTAATGTGCTAGATATACAGGTAATCGAAGTAAGTAGCCGAAGTATCCAGAGCGAAAAGTTGGGAGTGAGGGTTCGTTTCCGCCGGAAGATGTACGCGGTCGAGTGTGGCAGTGTGTGACGTGTGGCAAAAATCGTGCAAAGTTGATCCGCGCGGAAACTCCACCAGCGATCCACTCGTGTCATACGACGGGATGGCGAGATTTTGTCTACTTGTACTTACTCGGATGATATGTGCAGGTGAGACATTCATACAGATGGACGGACTATCTGTAGATGTACTGTGTCAATTTGCCATCAACGATCCCGTTCTCACAAACTTCACCACCCACAAGGGTGTCACGAGACATACTGACCAGCATATGCACGATATAACAGTGCCCAACGGAACAGTGATCTAAACCACTGCGACGAAAAGGCCTATTAATCGGCGGTTAACTCTACCGCCGATCGCTGGTTAAATACCCTTCCCCACTTTCGCTCGACTTGTCACACACTTTGTGACATTATGCACTCTCTTTGTCACGGTCCTGTCCTTGACAGACCTCAATGGATCAAAGACAGGTGGACTGCAACTATTCAATTAGCTTGGACAACGGCGGTTAGTATGTTGTCCGTAGACTTGTGATGTGGTCGGACGACTAAAGTGACTTGCGAAGGATCCGGGCAGGTCGAGATGATGGTGAGGGTGGGTGTGATGGTGTGGACAGGGGTGATGATGATGAGGGATGTGTCGGATGTAAGTAGTATGTCAAGAAGAGGTCTTTTGTGAGTGGCAAATAATATTTTGATCCTTGAGAAAAGGAAACTACAAAATAGATACGAGCTCTTTATATACTTTTCGAAAGCCCTCTCACCCGATAATCAGTACGATTCTCGTATAATGGAGTCACCTGATAATCGGATGAGAATTGAACAATAATCACCTGATATCATGCATTATCGTGTGATAATCACCTGATATCATGCATTATCATGTGATAATCACCTCATAATTGGTGTATTAGCTGACATTGGTGATAGTCAGGTGAGAATCATACGAGAATCAGGTGATAATGTGGTGGATCAGGTGAGAGTTAGGTGAAAATCCCTGACTCAGATGATAGTCAGATGACACTCAGGTGACAGTCCCTGAATCAGGTGATTTGGGGCACGACTTGGTAGAGTCGTGACACTCTTGGGCCCCCGCTTTGGGGCCCCGACAAGGGGACCCCGCTTGGGCCCCCACACTTGGGAAGGGTACGATAGACCGAAAACTTACTCCGAGAGGGAGGTTTTCCAAGTAGGGCCTGGGTTACCCCCGGCGCCGTCCGGGGAGTCGAACCCAGGATCCTACCCGCAACCGCCGATTAATCTGTCACGAGACATACTGACCAGCATATGCACGATATAACAGTGCCCAACGGAACAGTGATCTAAACCTGATTTGGGAGGAGGCTGCTGTGCACAAGGCATCAAGCCCAGCGCTAAAACAAGCCTACTATAAGAACTATAGCATGAATGGCTTGCACAGACTCATGTACAAGGGGAACCGGAGTGCCACTGCGACGAAAAGGCCTATTAATCGGCAGTTAACTCTACAGCCGATCGCTGGTTAAATACCCTTCCCCAACTTTCGCTCGACTTGTCACACACTTTGTGACACTACAACTGTCTCTCAACGCATAGCAAAGTGCTGTGTTGCAAGACATGTACTTGCACCACAATGCATGCAGACCTCCAACCAGACTCGATGGATCTCAGAGGATAGCAATGCAGAGCATAGGAAAGAGCTGAATGTATTGCAGCAGAGCAATGATAAGCATAGGAAGGCGCTAGAAATCTGGTGGCCTGTGGAGCAGGCCCCCTGGGACCATCTGTAGACTATTTAAACCCTACAGCTTCTTTCCATAGTTTCTTTTCTTTAGAAATCAATTATCATACGTTTTCACCAATTACTGACCAAGTTCTTGATACTGAGCTTGACTTCAACCTTGTCCTCAACATAGGCCCCAAGCCTCAATCTCTTCAACACCTTTGGCCCTATCATTGTCATCAGACACCCTCTTGCCATCATCATCTTGGACTCTCTTATTGTCAGTAAGTAATCTTGTCCAGTGTATCAAAGTTTCACTCTCTCTCTCCTTCTTCGTTACCTTGTCATCATCTCCTCTCTCTTCATCACTTGTTCACCTGTTGTCTTTTCTTTAACACAGCCAGGCTCAACAGTATGATTGATCTCTCCCAAGTCCTTTGATACACTCATTTGGTACACTAATCTTTAGGTACCGTTCACTATGGCTGGCCCCACTTTGGCAGAACGCCTTAGTGCCATGGAAGTTCAACTCCGTGAAGCCCAAGAGGCCAGTGATGCTTTTATGCAAGAGAAGGGTGACCTCCTTGCTCAGATTATGGAACTTCAAAGTGTCATGAACTACGTCGTGACACCTTGAATATCCCACCATCAACAACCCTCCTTTGACCATCAAAACTCCTACCACGTCTTAACCTCTTCACCCTACACGTAACTTAGGACATCTGAGACCAACTACAGCAAAGTACAACGGGAGAATAAGTTGTACAGGGGTCTGGAGCATAAGGACGGCAAAGTGCGGCGAAGCTAGGCGGAGTTAGGGGGACCAGGGACAATGGAAGCAGAAGTATGGCAAAGTTAGATGGAGTTAGGCTGAGTAGGGACAATGGGAGCAGAAGTACGGCACAGTTAGACAAAGTTAGGCTGAGTAGGGACAATGGAAGCAGAAGTGCGGCGATGTTAGGCGGAGTTAGTCGAAGGGAGGAGAAGGACGGCCTGGGTCTTGGAGAAGTTGGATGAAGTGCGTTCATGTCACGAACCTGCAACCTCAGTCGTGACATCAGGTTATAGCCGGATCGCAATCATAGGGCTGATTGCAATATTGTGCCTTTTAGCACAGTGGCTTAAGATGTCACATGCATGGCCAGTGTATGGCCTGGTGCTGGTTAGCCAGGTCGTCACAGAACTCTCGTGGAAATCTAGGTGTCTCTGGTGCTATGCAATGGATCGTGTCTGCTCTGCATTTGATGTAGCCCAAGAATGATATTGAAGAATCAGCAAAGTTGGTAATTTGCTGATTGTACTATATACTGTCTACAGGTATCCTTGTCCTCGTCCTCCCCCTACTGCAAGCGTCTACGTACATACTTGGACAGGTAAAAAACCGCTTTCGAGCAAACCCAGTGGGAAAATCTCAAAAAGGGAAAACCCGTCCCTACCTAAAGCAGCACTGCCTCCAAATCCCGCTTTACTCTACCCTAATCCATCGAATTCAATGGAGTTGTCTTAAATCGTTGTTACCCCGTAACACCCCACGTCTGGTCTTTACACCCGGGATAAGTCTGTGACAGTAATGCAGCACTTAATGCACGCATATCCTCATCAAATTGAGGTGTAGCTGTATAGTCCAAAAAGGCATCAAGCTCAGCTTGATTGGAAGACTGCCCCATGGTTTCCACTGGGCTGAACAGGGCACGTCCCTGGACCAATGAATGACTTTCCTGTACTTGTGACTGATCATGACTCAGTGGGCCCAGGACACCCATGATCAATGAGGGGTCAGTAATCCCCTCTCCAGGATATTCCTCTTTGGTCCCCTCCTGGAAGCCCGTACTCTCCCGTGCATTGATCCTGGATCCTGGTGGTGTTTGTATGTTCTGGAGCGCTCAATGATATGGGAACAGGCACTTCTGGGAAAGCTCCTGCCTGACTGTCTAGGTCACCATCCTGGCTATCCTCGCTGTTGCTTGGAGTCAAAGTGCTCAATGATGAGTCATCACTATCCATGTCTTCCTCGGTTCCCATGTCTGTCTGGCATGCAGGTATCATCTTCCAACTTTGGACTCGTAATCCTGGATAGGTTTTCTTCCTCTTCTCCTTCTCAAAATTCAGGTCTTGGTTTATGTAGTAGATAGTTTCTGAAATTCATGTCCAGTTGCCTGTAATTGTCATGTCCTTCTGGCTCAAAGCGTTCTGCACAGTGATTGTCCGATTTCTGATCATATTATAATGCAATCTCCTGTCGGAAGCTGTAAGGTTATTGAAAACCTCTGGATCAAGAATCAACCAAGCAACCCTGGAAGCACCCGCCCTCATTGTTTGTATCCGAGCCAGTTCAGTTACTTCTGTTCTCGTCAGCAGATGCGCAAAGTCAAGTTCGTCCCAGTAGTACTGTACGTTCATACTGTAGAATGTGGGTCCATAAACTTAGGAGAGCGATGGTCCGGAGTCCATTCTGATCTGCAAAGTGGGCATTGAACAAATGAAAATACTTACTATCTTGTGGGGGGGTGTTGTGTTGTGTTATCTCGCAGATCTGGTCTTCTGTGAGGTAACCCCCCGGTTTGAGTGTAAAACCTCCTCTGGAGTTGATTTGAGAAGGGTAACGACGTGATGAGTAGAACTCAACTGCTCCTACAAGAATAGCAGCACCTAGGCGGACTTTGTCCACTGGACTTGCGGTAGTGTGTGTCTCTAGTTCAAGATGGCCTTGGAAATCTTCTGAGAATAAATGGAATGACATTGTCTTATTGTCCATAGCTTCCTGAATATCTCTATCAAGAGTATATTGTCTGTTTTGAGACAATGAGAGCCCGGGAAATGGAAGATTGCCTTGCCCTGATAGAGCCTTGTAAACATCAAAGATACGTCTAGAGATATCAGTCCATTTGTCATAAGAGGTATTCACGGCAGTATTGAGTATCTTTGCCCTGTGTCGACGAGTATCTAGATATCCCTTCCTCTTTTTGGTCGCCTAGCTCTCAACCCTTGGATCCACAAGCAGTGTTCTGAGGATGCGCTGAAGCGCTTCTATTGTGGTGTGAAGCCTTGTTAACGCTTATAATTAGATGATAATACAGAGGGGAAAAAGAGCATACATCAATTCTACATGTCTCTATACTTATCACATTCCACTCACACGCATAAAACCAGAGACGATCGAATAAAGTTCAGAGGATAAGTTGAACGGAGAAATATTCGACGGAAGGGGTAATTCTAACGGCGGTTCGGCCGTCCCGGCCCGATTCTATCGGCTAACACTCCCCCACGGGACAATGCACGACTCTGCAGTAGTCCCGGACGATTTATCGATGGCGACGGCGAGGTTTGTGATGATGTAGAAGGTAGTAATGATGAAATATTGAGTGTTATGTGTGTGGTAGTAGTGGTAGGTGAAATCGTGAAATGAATTACTGTGGGGCCCCCCGCGGGGCTCCGCTCTGACACGTGGCTACCACTCACTACTGACGACTGACTCTTCTCTATCTTTCCTTTTACTTCATCACTTTTACCTCCAATTAACGGTATGTCCACCTTTCGTCTTTCTCCACTTCTATCTCTCATTTGTGACTCTCTGAACTTCCCTTTATCCTTTCTGCTTCTTAAAACTTCAGGTTTGCTAGTAGGATCCCGAGAATCGATGAAATTGCTTCGAGTACCAGGCTGACGATATCTATCATTAGTAGCGAAATCATCATGTCCCAAATTTCTCCTGCTGTTCTCGCGACTATCGCTACTCCCTCGGTTCCTGGACCGTCTGATCGTCCTGTCCTTAGGTTGCTCCCCAGCAATCCTCCCGACTGTAAGTTTATTACTGTTCGTCATGTCATGAACTTTATTGAGTTTGAGATCTCGCTCAGAAGGTACAATTTGAACTGGGGATCTTGAAATCGAACCTCGATAAACATTTCCTTTTGCTAGGGAACGCTCTATTGGAAGGTGGTGGTACCCATGCGAGGGTACAAGAGATCGTTGATACTGTTGACTCTCTCCACGAAAAGATCGAGGCTGTCCTCGGTGGTTATAAAGTCGCTGGTTACCAGCCCAAGTTTCCGAAATTCGTGGATTTGACGATGGAGGTTGAGTAGAACCTCCACTATGTATCATCTTATCCCTTCTCTTACTCTTCTCTTTCATCTCTCTAATGACTCTAGGTTCTACCGGTGGTTTTTGACCTATCTTCGAATTACTCACATTCTTAGGTACACCTGAAAATTTTACATTTTGGCTCACGAGAACTTTTCCTTCGGTGGGTTTCTCTGAAGTTCCTTCCACCCACACTTCTCCTTCTGGTACTACTTCTCTCTCTGGTACCACTTCGTTCTCTGTACCACCTGACAGATCTCCTAGATCCTCGAAATCAGAATAATCGTAATCGATGATTTCATCATCATCTAATGTCACGTATACTGAACCAGTGTTTTTCTTCTTCGGTGGTTCTACACGTATCGCTGACATATTCACCGAGTGTACTGGTCCACCTAAAGCTTTCGTAAGTACATCTGCTCTCTGATAGACAGTGCTGACGTATGCTAGTTCAATAACTTTATTACTGACTAGATCTCGAAGAGCATGATGTCGAATATCGATATGTTTTGTCCTCTGGTGAGTACCAGGTTTTCTCGCCAGTGATATCGATCCTTGGTTATCGCAGTTTAATGTAGTAGGATTTAGCTGATCATAGCCTATCTCCCTCAATAATCCTCTCAACCACTGAGCTTCCTTCGCTGCTTCAGCCATCGCGATGTATTCTGCTTCGACTGTCGACGACGATACTGTAGCTTGTCTTTTTGAACTCCAGGTTATCGGTGAGTTGTTCATCATGAATATCCAACCTGTAGTTGATCGTCGTGTGTCTTTACAACCTGCCCAATCGGCATCAACCCATCCTGCTAGATCGCTAGCCTCGCCACCGAGACGAATACCATGTAAACGAGTGGACCGAAGGTAGGTAATTACCATTATCCCTTCTTCCCATACTTTCTTCGTCGGTTTAGTGAGGTACCTAGCAAGGTATGAGGCGGCATATGATATGTCGGGTCGAGTACATGTGGCTAACCACTGTAGACATCCTATTAATTCTTGAAATGGTCGAATTTCACTCTCCACCTCCGACATCGATGGATTTTTCGCAGTAAGGGGTAATGGCGTTTTTCGGTCTCGATGTAAGTCGTTTTCTGGAAACTTCTGAATTATCTTATCGATATATGCTGGTTGGTTTAACCATATCGTCTTTTCTTCTCTGTTCCTTGTTACCTTCATACCTAAGATAGTACTTATCTCCCCCAGGTCGGTTATTATCCACCTTTTACCTAGCCCATCGAAAATTTCCTTCGCTTCTTCCTTCGACTTCGTGGCTAATACCAGATCATCGACATAGGCTAGCAGTATTGCTGCTCCCTTTCCTTCGATTTTCCCTTCTGGTCTGTAGTAAAGACCCCAATCTGATTCGATTCTTGAAAAACCTAGGTGAGATAATCCTTCGCCGAGTTCTATCCACCATGTCCTGCCAGATTGCTTTAAACCGTAAAGAGACTTAACTAACTTCAAGGTATTACATCCAGGCTTCGGTTTTATCCCCTTGGGATACTTCATGTAAATTTCTACATCGAGTTTACCGTTTAAATACGCCCCTTCGACATCGGCCTGACGAATTTCGAGATCTTCGGTGGCCGCTATAGTCAAGAGTATTCGTAACGACCCCGATCTACCGACAGGTGCGAATGTCTCTTCGTAGTCGACACCTGGTACCTGTGAGAATCCTTGAGCTACTAGTCTGGATTTATACTTTAGTAAGTTTCCTTCTGAATCTGTCTTCACTTTGAATACCCATTTACATCCAATGGCTTTACGGCCCGGTGGTAACACCGTTTCCACCCATGTTTCTTTAGATTCGATGTTAGATATCTCTTTCTCCATGGATTCCAGCCACTTCTCACCATCTGGGCCGTTTACTGCTTCTTCAGGAGAGATAGGATCAATGAGAGAAGTATCACTTTCGATACCTGCGATAGAGGCGAGTGAGACTAACTTATTAGGCTCGCGACCAAAGTCTAGGAACGAGTCTGTTAGGCCTGCAAAACGGTGGGGGGGTCGAATAATTCGTCCGTGACGTGTCGTCAGGATCCCCTCATCCCCATCATTTCTTCCTTCCTCATCATTTCTCTCATTTTCGACGATATCGTTCTCATAGATCCAATTTCCTCCCCAAATGCCCTGTCCTCGTCGTCTTTCAGTAGGTTGTGGGCCTGTATTAGGTGAGTTGTCTCTATCGACATCATTTCCTTGTTCATTATCGATATTTTCCTGTTCGCCACTTTCTGAGCGGTCGTCAGGGAAAATTTCTTCGTTGACGACGGGGTCTAGGTCCACTTCGATGGCGTCAAGAGGGGTTTGGATGACATCTGGCGACTCTCTAGTAGCCACCATTCGTCCTGTCGAGCGACGAACGTCTCGTGAGTGTTCGATTCGTCCCGATCCGTCCATTCTAACGATCCAACCGCTCACACCCTCATCCTGACCTAGTATAATGGCTGACGAACCCCTAGGTATCGTGAAGTTCGACTTCAGCCTTATCTCTCTTGGTATCTGAACGAAACATCGTTCACCAAATCTCCACATGCTATCTAAGTTCGTGTCTCTTCCTGTGAGTGATGTCCAGCCTGATTTACCACTGACACCAATCGAGGTTTTCATAATTATAATGGCGGTGTATCTGACAGCATAGGACCAATATTCGTTCGGTAGTCCTGAGTTGAATAACATCGTTGATACCATCCCCTTCAAGGTACGTATCATTCTTTCCGCCACTCCATTTAATTCTGGTGTGTATCTTGGTGTGATGTAGTGGTTGATCCCTGCTGATAGGTGGAATTCCCTCATATCGAGGCTATCGAATTCACCTCCCCCATCAGACCTAATCACCCTCACCCTTTCACCAAGCTGTTTCTCTAATTTCGAGATACACTGTCGAACGATATCTGACGATTCGTTCTTCGTCGTTATCGGTACGGCGAACACAATTCGACTCGCCCTTTCTACACCAACGAAGAAATATCGTTCACCTTTTATCGCCGGACCGAACGGGCCAGCAATATCGACATCCATTCCTACTCCTTCACCATCTCCTTTTAACATTGGTGCTTCTTTATTCTTCGGTAGACGTGTTATCTTGGCCTGCATACAGGCGGGACATTTATCGGTTGTAAAGGGATCGTTCTTGTAAGTGTCCCAGTCCTTCTTCAATAGTCCCTGTCTACCTAGACTCTTTAGTTTATCTACACCTATATGTCCGAGTCGCTGATGCTCAGATTCAAGTGGTGAAGTCGCCTTCGGTGTCGATATCACGATCATCGCGGCAGACATCGCTCTGCCAAATCGTACCGACCATAGTGAGTCATGTTTCCTCAAACCTAGTTTCTCTTTACCTTTACCTATCCATCCACCACTGCTGCTTAGATTCGCCTTCCATCCCCATGAGAGTAACTTCGAGAGGGATAGAAGACTTATCTTCGCTGTGGGGACGTGATGTACATCTTTCAGTACCATTTTCTGTCCTGAATCTAGTTCGAGGTTAATGTCACCTGTTTCCCAAGCCGTCATTGACTTGCCAGATGCTAGTCCGAACACTCTCGGCTCCACTAGTCTTTTAATATTCGTCATTATCGACCTGTGAGGAGTTATGTGGTGAGTAGCACCACTGTCCACTACCCAGGTGGGGATTACACGAGTGTGGCTTACATC